TAGTTAGTCTGGCGCTCCGCACCGATGCGCCGCTCCGTAGATATAAATACTGCCTGTACGCTACTGTAGTTCCTTAGTTTAATTATCAACTTAGATCAACTTAGATCTCCCTTCTCAACTTAACTCTCCTCTAAGTCTTCAGGCTCAACGCCTCGAAGTACGTTCTCCTCGACCTTAGGACTTTAACGTTCTCTGGTCCGCTCCTCGTCATCGGCGATACCGCCGCTCCGACCTGGCTGCTACTTAGCTCCTCTCTCTCTACTCTCGCTCTCCGGGGACTAACGGCGTAACGGCGGTGTTGTTAATAACTTCACTACTGTCCCATTCGTATTCCGCACTTAGACACTCTGTGACCTCTGGCACGGTTACACGGGTTGCATGATCTTAACACGAGCTTGCCTCATTTTTGTGTGAAAGAGAAAGGAAGGAATCAAATGTGCACTCCAACCAACCAATCTAATACACAATATGCGAGTTCTCTGCTATCAAATTTATTTAATAGCAAGGGGTAGCATTGTCAAAGGTTCCACAAAGCTTTGAGAGCTAGGTAAGAAGCTTTGATCAATCAATTTGAATTATTCTAAGGATTCAGTATATTCCTTTGATTAAGGTAGATTCAGCACAATTTGTGCTTTGATTGTATTGATATGGGTATATCAAAATTTGGGGGTTTGAATCAAAGTAAATTAAAACCGAAACACACAGACCCCTACAGAGGGCTAGAACTATGTACTGGCACAACCACACAGCATGATTTGCCCTTAAGACCAATGACTGATCCTAAGTTCAAAGAATACCCAACAACTGGATATACTTCTCGCAGTCACAAGGAGCAGAACATGACATTCCTATACTCACAAGTGCCGGGCCCGAATGGCTGCTAGCGAAGAGGTTTCAGTCTGGCGGGAGTGTGTCTTTCCTTTTTATGGATTAGCACTGCAACGTCATCCCAAAATCACTTCCATTTCAGATACATCGGATCACTATTTATACATACAGGATATAGAGTTGCACAGTACAATTAATTTAATAAAATAAATGTTTGGAACTGCAAGGAAACTTCTACAATCAGTCAGATACTATTTAATTTGAATCTACATGTCCTTATTTGGTCCATAATAGTTCCAAGATTCTAGTATACCTCCAAACATAGGTAGGTACTTCAGTATTCATTTAATTTAATTGTTTTTGGAGAATGACTCAAATGGTGTTCAGCTGTCATCGCTGTTCAACATTTACTTTGATCGTTTGTCACCTCGTCCGGAGGCAAATCAGCTCTCCTCGATTCTAATCCTATCAATCTGATTCATCTGGATTAAACTAATTGCTTCTCTCTTTCAATAGACACCCATTGTGCCTATACTCTATCAAGGGAGTTATGCATAGTATTCATTTAATTGTATTCTTCAATATTTTCTATGTTAGGACTCTTTGACATTCATTTGATATGTCTTCGGAGCCTTGCAGTACTTCGATCGTTCTTTTAGTCATTTTCCTCAACCATGCAACCTGATTGGTCTATTAGACTAAATCGCAGTCTTTTAGACTAATGCATGATCTCATTCTAGAAGGAGTATTTGACAATTCCTGAGTTCTAGAAAGTCATTTTGAGTCAATCCTCGGCTCATGGTCACTTGAGTAAGTTCTTCCAAACTCCTGCCAGTGTAAGGTCCAATAAGAATACCCTTGGTATGTCATACATGAATGGTCATACTTCGGATGTAGTCCGAGTCTGGTATAATCCTGCTTGACAAACAGGTAGACTTTTATCCGAAGGTAGTATTGGGGATGGGTAAACTAACCAAGTTGTGGTAGTATGGGTATATGGTCCCTTCAACTTATTAGACTGATTCAGTATTGACTTTGACTGTCAATCTGGGTCTCAATTACAGTCCTCTCAATACAAATCTATGCGTGAAAATGTCACAATTCACAGCATAGACGTCTAGCCAAAATTTAGGTGTGTCAGTGGTGTTGTTAATAACATCACTACTGTCCCATTTGATTCTTTGCACTTAAATACTGACTGGCCCTTTATCTCCAAAGGCATGGCTTATTGTTACATATGATCTTAACAGTATACTGAATCTCTTCAGCTTCAACAGCTGAAGCTATGCCTCATAAACCTATCCAATAATTGCATTCTGTGTATTTTCTGAAATATTATCTGAATTGTCAGCAAGCAGGAGAATCATAATATGCAAGAGTTTCTGGCAATTGCATAAGAATCACATCTGAAAGCAATAACTAAAAGTTACAAACATTTTGAAATCTTAACTTCAATTTTCAAAAATGTATATTTGGCCTTGAGGGGACTGCTCAATCTCTGCTAACAACCAACAAAGCCAATAATCCAGTAATCATTCTTCAAATTTTCAAAAAATTCTCAACATTATCCTGGGACCACTTTAGCATATTTATGGGGATCCATTGGAGAAACCACCTGAATTGTCAGAACATCCTAAACCTTTTGTACCTACAGAAAGGTATACAGAGGAAAGGAAAAAAATAATAGATAAGAATTGTGCAAAAGGGTTTTTATGGGATTAAGCAAGAGATTTTATGCACAAAATGATATGTAAACAGGAATCAAGATTTACTTGGCAACCAAATAACACTAAGACCTTTAAGAATGAATTCTTTTCACCTGTGAAAGTACCTGTAATTCCACATGAACCATGGGTTGAAAGGAATATACCAATTCCACCAGGTATCTTTGAGAATGTCTGCAAAATAATTAAAAGTAAGATTAACTCAGGAATGTGTGAGAATCTCCTACACTGAGTCTTCAAATAACAAAAAATGAAGCTTACCCCTACTGCTTATGATACTCTAGCACCACCATTATCATGTTTCTCCTTCTTTCTCTTCAACTCTCTAATTGAGACCATTTGCCATGAGTTCTCATTAGTATTGGTTTGCACTCCTGGGAAGCTTTCAATTGAATAACATGAGTGATAAATATAGACAATTTGTCCTATACTACTTAAGTGAAGGTTAAAGATGTGCACTGTGATGAGTCATTGAATACACTAAGATGATATCTACAGTGTAGTCAATTTCTTGAATAAACACTTGTAGTTATGTTACTGTATCTTTGCCCCGGCAAGTATACAGGTTTTGTAGATCTTCCATACAATAATTATGAACACATCTATAAGTAAATCATCTTCATGTACAGAAATTTGATTCATCAATCAGGCTCTTGCAATTTATTGACATTCTACCTCTTTATCCATGAGTCTCAATGAAAATTTCACCCTTTTACCCTGGCTATAAAAATTCAGGAATTCTTGCTTTGATGCAAATGTTCCAAATCTTCTGAATATTGATTGCTGTAAGCATGCACTGTGCCATTGTATGTGATAGTAGTTTACCTCAACTGTCCAACATCACTTGTATAAATAGGAACATCTCGAATGAGAGTAAGACATTTACGTCATTCAATCAAATAACAGAAGTATTTTATACTATCTGCAGGCAATATCCATCAATAAAAATAAGTTGACGTGGTTTCATACAGTCAAACTCAGCTCTGATCATTCTCCCAAATACTATTCATGAGTGGAAGTCATGACATGAGCAAAGAACGACGTTTTCGTGAGTTTTCTTTGCGGAGAAGAACATTTGACAGGTCAAAGGCAATTGCAATGAGGCCATATTTACAAAGGCACCACACACACGCACATGAGCATATCCACTAATAACCTATACAATCAATACATCCCGTAAATACCCAGGCACGCTACTAATACTACGTATCGGAGGTATGTATGTAAACGCTATGTAATTCTTGGAAGAACCATGCGGGAGCCAGACGAGAAAAGTAATGAGGAACCGAGTGGGATGCTGTGGGATGCAAAGGAGCGAAAATTAATGTATCACTAATATTGAACATACTACTCCAATCTGAAATCCAAGGAGATATTTATTGATTTATGACGTCGATGTGAGCCTCTAAAACCCGTCCAATGGACAGGATGAAAATTCAATCCCGGGAATTGATGATGATTATGTTGTATAACGATGATTAAGAACATGTACACTTACAGCAGTGTTAACGCGTTCACTGTTCTGTTATTCGCTCCCGAGTCCCGAGCTGTCCCGAGCCATCCGTTAGTTAATCCAATGATGGATTAATCTCCCATAATCTCCCAGATGCCCAATGAAATCGCGATGCACGATTTGCTTGATGCGAACGATGGGATGATTTTTAGGTATGTAAAGTTTTAGGTTCTAGAACATGATAAATGTATCGAATCAAGGGCCTGAGAAAAGGGATTTGTATGGGTTTGTGAGATCGTCTATCAAGATAAAATCGGCTTTGGTGAGCTGTGTAATTTCCTGGAGATGTCTGAGTCTGGAGATGATTAGAAGAAGCACATATGTACATGAGATGATCTGAGGATGCTATTACGGCCTGTGAATAGTGAGGGAAGAGCTGTGAATATGGATATATCTAACCGATTTGAGTGGGGGGGTTTTTTTTCTTTTCTTCATAGTAATCTGTAGAGAAAAGTCCAAGTGGAGAGCAAGCGAGATAGCCAAGACGCGCCGTGTTGAGCGGTGACATAGGGATTATTCTAAACATGGGTTGAATTCCGCGGGTTACAAATTGAGAAATGGGGAATGCGCGAGCAATCGGATAAGTTGAGAATTAGGGATCAAAAGAGATCAGAAGGAAAATAAGTTGCTTATTTTTCGGTGGACACTTTTGCCATATGGCTTTTGATATGATCCCTTGCATTGGTATATACAATTACTAGTTGACACTGGTTTCCACCTATAACATTCATGTTTTCTTCTTAATTCTGCCAGATTCAAGCCCCGACTGGGCTCTACTGTTTTCTGGGCCCACCTTTAGGTTTCTGCCTTTGTACCTTTCTGCCTTTTGTCTTATCCTTTTTGATACTCAACCTATACGCCCCGACCAGAATCAAAGGAGAAGAAGAAGGAAAACTAGCGCGTTGGATTACAGAATTGCAGAGACACCCACAAAAATGGTACGAACTCAACGCCCGACACTACAGAATATTCGTATTCGTTCAACACTTGATGCGCACAAGATATTCTATTCTGTGTATCAAGGACATTTGGAGATGGTTACGCGAAGACTGGACGCTGACGAACGAATGGCGTTGGGCTCTGGATGTGTATATGCTTGGGAAGAGAGAGGGCCACATACGGAGATTACTGGGCTCGGAATTGAACGCTTCACAGAGGGAAGAAGATGGAGTCCTTCGAGGGTCAGGGATGTGAGTTTATTTCACTCTTTTTCAATAAACGAGATCTGGATAACCGTTTTCGGTTTTCGGTTTCTCGGTTTTTTGCTTCCGCCACTTTTACTTCCATTTTCCGTTTCTTTTGTTGTTTATTTGTGACTAAAGATGACCACAGGAGTTTCTGTTCTACTACGAGAAATACACGCCGCCGGAATCTGCAGCTGGACAAGCGAGGTGAGCAATTGTAATTCCTCGCCACAAAATTCGCTTACATATCCGTCACCTTCATATAGCGGCTCCGATAAACCACAAGCACCTAAAGATTGGGACCCACTTGTCAAGCAGACGTATTCTGTTTGGATAGACACAGAGAAGGGTCGAAGGAAGTGGCATTTGAGTGAGTACTTGGTCGTTTCATAAAGTGTTCACCCTGTCAGCTCAATTCATGATCATTATCGAAATCACTGCCAGCCGCGTATTTTACCCAGCTTACAGTCGACAACCTCGGTACCATTGATAATATCCCTGGCGTAGGCGATCTTACGGTCCCAGAGGGGATGTTCAAGAGCACGAGGGTTAACAAGAGCCGAACCAGTAATAACAAGGCCTTGGACGAGTCCTCTGTGTCGTCGTCGTCTGTGCGCGGTAATGATACTGCTTCGGGTTCAGGTTCTGGGTCTACATCTACGCCTGCGCAGCTAGTGACTAGAACATACGCTCCGTTCCCGGCGCCATATCCGTATGCAGTGGTTACCTCGAATCCCGTACCGATGTACGAGCCTTATCCAGCATACCCACAACAACTTTCACAAATCCCACAGCCCCTACAAAACCAGCAGCACCCACAACAGCTTGTTCTCCTTCCACGGCCTCAAGTTCCAGAACACATACTGGAACACCAACCGCCACATAGTCATTACACCCTAGCGGCCGTCACACCCGGTAACAGCACCCGCCACCTCCCACTCCCCACACGCACACCATACCAAAACGGGAACCGTGTCGAATATACCCACGACCCATCTGTTCGATATATTTCTTCTTCTGCTCCATCATCTTCTCCTCGGATTATTGCTGGTGCACCTCCGGGATCGGCGTACGTCCCGAATTACCCGATGACAACGAGTTATGGGGCCCCAGGACCTCCAGATCATACGATGTATTCATCTGTGCAATCGTTGTCTCCTCCTCTTCCACACGGACCTCACTCTCATCTACAGCAGCAGTCACCTTCGTCACCTTGGTACGACGAACAACACCAACATCATCCGCAATCCTCACCGGGGCCTTACTCAAGTGTGGAGTCTATATCCCCTCGTCCAGGTCCAGAATACGGCGAACAATCACCTCCTTCGAATACCTTCGAATCTCCATCACCTGTTGTCCCAACACTTGTACCTCTAAATCTATCTTCTGTTCGGACTCCGGCGGAAACGGAATATACCCTTGTAGATAACAACAATTCTCACTCTTCAACAGCATCAATGTCACCAATGTCCCCTGTATCTCCAACATCTCCCACGTCTCCCATGACTCCCTTACACCCCATGCCTCCCACGTCTCGTATACCCCCTATGCCTTCTATGACTCCCATGCCTGTCTTGCCTCCCCCGGTGTCTTCTATATCCTCTCCACATCCTAATACACCCCCAAACCCAGTACATTCACCTGTATACCAAAGCGTGTACACCATCCCCCGCGGTATGCCTTCTACATATTTGTACTCGAGTACCTACACCATGACTCCCGCATTTCAGTATTCTCCCGGCGGCGCTGCTGCTGTTACTAATCCTGCTACCATAGCTTCTATAGCGTACATGGGCGAAAGAGCAGCCACTCCCGCATCGCCTAGCACGGAATCCTCTGCTTCTGGATCTGTGCGTTCCGGAGGATCAGGCGGGTCTGTGAGGTCTATGAGATCCACCGGGTCTGCTGGATCAGGTGGTTCGGTCTACGTCCCAAGCTCATCATCACTATACGGACCAGGTGTTCCTGGTGTTTCTTCATCCCGAGCCTCCGCTGGTGATCTCCGCACGAACGAGCTCGTGCGTAGTGCGGAACTCGTTCGACTCAGTGAGCCTGGACATGCTGTGGGTTCTGCTGGAGGAGGAGATGCTGCCGGTGGAAGTCTCTCTGGAAGTCCTCAACGTGCAGTCCCGCTTCCCCCGCTTCATTCTCTGAAGCGCAGTCATCCGTATCGGAGACATCCGGAAGACGATAAGACGTTGAGGTTGTTGGATCCGAGACCGGTTTCTTCTGTGCCTTGAGAAGTGAAGGCGGGGAAGTTGAGAGGTAGCAAAAGAATAACGAGGAAAGAACACCGCTCCTTATATTGAGCAAAACAGGTCGACTCCGAGTCGAAATGACGACGAAAATGACGCGACGACGGGCCAGTGTATATTGATTCCACAGCCGACAGTTTCAGTTTGTTCTCCGATTGGAATTTCATTTTTCGATATTGAACACACGCGTAATCTCCTCATGCTTTGCATTCAATTACCTCCCCCGCCTAACCCCACATGCACACTTCCCTCGCGTCCTACTGACCCGAACATCGATGGTGTTTTCTGCACATCCTTCCGTCCTCCCTTACCACATGACATTCCACTCCACCACACCGCCATATCTTGTACATATATCTATCTGTTTGTGTACTTTAATGTCCAAATACTGCCCAGATAGTACCCAGATATTAGTACCCAGAGATGGACTTAGCCAGATACCTTCAGTAGTACGTTTTCGCGGACAACTATACGATCTATACGATAGCACGATAGTTACGACTACATACGAATATATATATTATATAGACTTTCGTATAGACTAAGCCCATGTACTCTACATATCTACCTCTACTCATTTTCACTGCGTTATCTGGAAAGGTTAGACTGGCCCTGAGTACTAGGTATGTCGACCATTCCTTCCATGATCTTGACAGCTCCTCCTACCAGCTCGATCTTTCTAACAACCACATCTCCATCGACATTCGCCTCCCTCTCCACATCAACCACCACCCCAATCCGACTCTCTCTCCCCATCTCAACACCCTGTATCACCTCAAATCTCCATCTACCGACCGCATTTTGTTGTTGCGATGCAACCCAACCACAGAGAGTCGAAGCTGCGGAGCCCGTAGCGGGGTCTTCAAACCCTCCAGATTGGAACATACGCGTTCGGAGACGGATTATTGGATGGATCAGATTGACGGGATCATCATCGTAGATATTGTCGAAGATAGAATTAGATTCGGTGGAGCGTGAAACAACGAAAACGTATAACGAGCTGAACCCTTTCCAATCACCCAAATGTTCATCTGGGATCAGACTCCCGGGCACAGCATCGTTGATCCCAACAAGCGGTTGAATTCTACTCAAACTACCCTCGTCTCTCAGTTGCATCAGCACAAACGACATCCCTTTCACGATCGACGCAACTGGCTCGGAACCGTCGACACCATTGACATAGTCCTCTGGCTCGAGCTGCGGTTGGCACAGGCTTGATTTGAGGGTCGATAACAGGGTAGAGCCATAAGGAGGGTGGGTTTTGAAATCGATGGGGATTCGAAGTTTCACGAGCTCCGCACTGGCTCGCGCGCGATCGTCAGCGGACGTCAAAGGACCAGGGATTTTCGTGACCCTCGAAACTAAAATCACCCCAGCCCTCGTATCCAATCTAAACTCCTTCCTATCCCTCCACCGTTCATGTCCTGCCAAAAACCACCCAGCTCCAATCGTCGGATGTCCGGCAAACGGGAGCTCCTCCGTAGTGGTGAATATATCTATAGCGAAAGGAACGCTGGGGTCATCGTAATTGGACTGAGTGATATGAATGAATACGGTTTCGGAAAGGTTGAATTCGCGCGCAATGAGTTGTTTTTGGTGTTGGGTGAGTACGGGAGGTCGTGGTTTGGGGTCGGAGGAATCGGAAGAGGACGATGGATGGTGGAGGAGGACGATGGCGAGAGGGTTTCCAAGGAAACGCGTCTGAGTGAATACGTCGACGGTGTGGAACGGGATCGACAATGCCATGGTTGACGTTGGTGGGTGAATCAAAGAGTGGTATGTGACTCACACCATCCCGAGCCCGTGGTCTGTCGCCAACCATTCGGAAATCGCCAACCATCCGGAGTCTTCACTTATCCGGTACCTTCGTATTCTAGGAAAAACCTAGGAGAAAACGCGGGAATGAGATCTGTTGAGAAAATCTTTCGTTGGCAGTACATATGTAAGAAACTCTTCAGTACTATACTAGAAAAAAAATAGGAAGTCAAGTTAATAACCTAAAGACCCAAAATTATAAATGCCAAAGTATCAAACTTGACTTGTGAACACAATCCATCTGACTCTTCATGATCATCTCAGATTAAATGATTCAATCCACAAGTTGAGTACGTCGAGTTTTAGGGTGCATATTGCATATGCACGGAACATCGTCGATCAACGTTGATCAACGATGGAATGGGAGGTTTATATGGCCTGGGAAGAAGAGACTGAAGGATGAAGTTGTGAATGGAACCAGGAATTCATAGACACTAAATGAAATCGGGGAAGCCAGAAAGGAGAAACAGCTGTTCAATTCCTGTATTTGACAACTGAGAAAGAACCTAAAAGAACCAAGTTCTCTTTAGTTAGAGGAATGCCCCCGAAATGACAACCGAATGCCGACTTTACCTTCGTGCGAGGAAGTCAGGTCGAAGCGAATATACAAGTCCAAAGTCCCGGAAATTGGTCAATCAACACGAAGACGAACAATTGCTGATTCCTGAGAGCAATTTCAGCGTGAAGGTGTAATCCGACCCAAGTAATCAAATGATGTCCCAGCGTGCGAGGTGGTCGAATTGGAACCGTGCAAAGCCGTATATAGATATATATATATACTGGTATTGGCCATCAACAGTGAAGCAAGTCAGCGAGCACGTAGATAGATTCATATCCCAGACTCCAAGGACACCGTGAAAGTTTTTGCCTGCCCTGACGAAGTTCGAAGAGGGTTAAAATCAATGAGAAAGTTGCTTCATCGATGTATGCATATGGTTCTAGGAATTCATAATTGGGAAAAGGGAAAGACGCTTTGGAACAATGCACTTCTAAGTTCTCACCGGTACCCATCTCATCTTCATGTTATCCCTTGGCACAACAAGATTGGATCTTTTTCTCCAAGATCCCATGTGCTCCATCTCCGTCTTCAACATCTATATTAAATACAGTTTGAGGTGTTTTGGCGTGTCGGGAAATAATTGGGAACAAGGGTCGGGAGTTGAAGTGCAGGCTAGAAAGAAATTCTTCAAATTAGAGCAGTTGCTCTTCTGATAAAGTTAACCAGTATCAGAGTGGGATCATAATAAAAGAGCGGCAACGATGAACGTGGAACGAGAGTCGACGGATTCGTTGCCAAAGGACGAAACTTCACGCATTTCGCACGCTCGATCACATCGATTTTCATGCGGGCCGACCTGGGCCGACTCCAATGCATATGCTTCCATCTAAGGCCATCCCGGATTCAAGTTACATTCAAGGCTCTTCAAAAGAACTCGCTTTTGGACGAGTATCCCCCCCCCCCAAGCATCCGGCATCGTAGCGGTTTTCCTCCTTCTTTTCCACTTCTTTTCCAAGTTTTTCCTATCATTGACTATATGATCTACGATGATATGCGTATCTATACGTATGTACCGTCGACATCAAAAGTTTCATCAACCACAGATTCAACCATAAGCCGTGTAATCTAATCCATCTATCAGAGATCCCTACAAGAGGTATAAAGTCAGTAAAAGAAAATAACAATGCCGCATATATACCCCCTCATTGAAGAAATAACCTCAAGCTGCTGGTCAGCTTCAATCTGTACACCCGCCACGTCGACCTTTGGGTGGTATACAGTCAAAAATTCTTTGCTATTAATCGTTACCTAGACGTTGTCTTGTCCACCGTCTTCACCCTCCCAAGTGAAATCGATATCATTGCGTCCTGAATTTTTCGATGCACTTCATCCTGGCCTACCTTGCTCTTGCCCTGGCTATTGCTTATGTTGGGCATGCTGCACCAGTAAATGTGCGCGCGCACTACCATCCCCTTTATTATTTGTGAATCATACTTTAACTTTGTCATATACAGACCACATCCCTCGACTTCCCAAACTCAACTCTTAAACCCCGTATCACCAGAACGGTCATCGTCCAGCTTGAATTCCGAGTTCCAAGTAACGGGGACGCGCTCAACCCCCCACGCTACGAACACAAACTCAAGCCGGACAAGGTCCACCAAGGAGTAGAGAGAGCCTTGGAGAGACATCAGGCTCTCTACACGGACTATCCATTCCATGAGGAGCCCGCGCAATACCTTGTTATGAACGAATTCAGAGACCATCCAGATTCCCTGTATTTCACGGTACACTTGGAACACCCGTGTGGGAATACCCCTTGTAATTCGACTTGGCGGGTCCCTTTTTATGAGAAGGTTGAACCGGTGCTGTTGAACGAAGGTACATAAGGTAGAGCTCAAGCAAGATCCGCACACGTCAGGTGACTGTGACCCACTGCTATTTTGATAGATTTTGATCGACAAAAAAATTAATAGCAGTCTCCTAGTTCCGCCTTCTCGAAATCGGTTCGCGCAGAAAGTTTCGGGTCCCTTCAGCAGAACTTTCCTTGGGAGCCAATTTTCTATATATGTCGACGAACGGCCGCTATTAATTTTTGAAGGTCATGTCACGCTGGTCAGGTGACGTGTGCGGAACTTGCATGAGCTCTACCTTAGTATCTTTATTATCAAATAATGACAAATAGGACCTAGATTTTGGAGCGTTTTGACAACGAAGGCAACGGTGGTCAGCACAGGCTGGCAGTGTCAATATTGATGGTTTTCATGTTAAATGAGAAATATATTAACAAATAGATATGGCGTTGTACATACTGGATAGCAGCCTTGGGTACAACCGTATCAAAAAAAAGCCCCACCCAGCGCTACCAGCATATAAAATATGACTCCCGAACTAGCAGGAATCAAGTAGCTTTCGAAGCTTTGACCACAGGGGTTGCTTGTGTTCCGGACGACTGGGTCACCGAAGTCGTCTTCGTTGATTGTTTAGCACCGCTCGTAGTAGACTCATTGTCATCTCCCGAACCCGAGCTTGACTTTGTCGGATTGGCAGAAGCAGTATCTGAAGTTGACGACGTAGACGATGTAGAATCCCCTTTACTCCCTGTTGATCCTGGATCTTTGGATGAAGATGGAGGAGAGTCGGAAGGAGAGTTACTGGTGGAAGTCGTAGGAGAGGCATCAGTGGAAGATGATGTATCGCTGGAAGAGGAGGAGTCGGCAGAAGATGAAGAATCCAAGGATGTTCCATTATTCTTGGTAGTGGAAGCATTATCAACCGAAGATGCATCAGTGCTAGAAGATGAAGAGTCAGTACTCGAGGAAGAGTCGGTATCACTCGTCGAATCTCCTGTGGAAGTAGAAGAGGAATCCGTATCCGAGGAAGAATCTCCGATAGAATTGCCGTCGGACGTCGTCGAATTACCAGACGAATTAGAGGATGAATCGGTGTCGGAGGTAGCAGACGTTGCGTCAGTATTATTCCCGAGCAAGGAGGGCCAATTACTATCATCCTGCGGTCCTTGGTTGGGAAAGAAGTTCGTTTGAGTGAACCCAACTAGGTACGCTTGGTTCGTCGTATCATTGTAAGTCACGAATTTGCTTCCAGTAGAATAATTCATCGTGCTGGTTGTTTTGCTCCCGCTGCCTCCGATACAGATGAACAAGATGCACACTCCTGCAGAGGCTGCAGATTGATGGAACGAGGATGCTTCATCAGCGGAGGAGAATTCTACGGAGAAAGAGGGCTGTTAAGGTAGTGAGTGGTTAGTTTGATGAATAGGGAAATTATTTCTCCGCATACCTGATACACAACCAACGCTTGATCTTTCCAGCTAGCCAATGGTCCAGGCTTACTTGCAGATCCGTAGTACTTTTGAAATACTGGCGTACCCTTCTTCGTAATAGCATCCGGAGGATTCTGCAGCGCCTCTGCGACTTCAGGAGTGTTCCACAATCCATATTCGACTCCAAACATGCTGATCTGACCGAACGATACAGACATCCCTACTGAGGAGACATTCGAAGTGGTTTTCGAAGACGAACTGGACCCGGCACCACTGCCAGAGAAATCTTCCCAGATGAAGCCGATCCCACCTCCACCAGATGTCGTAGTATTCGTGGATGAGCCAGTGGTGGAAGAACTGCTCCAGGTGAACGCAGGGGACGAGGAGAACCCATTGCTATTCGATTGCCATGCACTCATCGTTCCATTCAATGTAGGGATGGCATAATAGGGCTTGTACTTTCCAGCCCCTTTACCCGCAACGGCAGTCTCCGACGAAACCTCCATGTTGAGTCCATCAATAAGTGTAACGGATGCCGTGAGCTGCTCGATATTGTTCAATGCGCCAGAGAAAATGTAGAAATCGTCCCCGACGGCTCGACTAAGGGCAGACTGGTAAGTGTTCGTTGCGCTCTGGCAAATTGCGCTAGCCTGAGTATATTCAGGATCTTGTGCAGCGAACTGAAGGAACTCCGGGGAGGTAATATTTGGAGCTTGACCAGAATGCTGCTCAGCGTACTCTTTGGACACCGTGGTCGTAGTAGCACCCATTCCAGCGTAACAAGCTTTGCTAGATGCCTGCATGGCCTTAGTAACCTCCGGATTGCTAGCTCCACTCGTATTCAAGCTCATAGCGACATTCACGTCCTGGATGAAAGAAATTACCATCCCGCTATACGATATCGTCGTCGTCGCTCCTTGGATCTGGTCCGCAATGTAGAATATACTGTTCGCTGCCTCATCCCCATTGAGCGAGGTGCCGGTCCCAGCGAAGTCGATGGGCTTCCATCCATCAGAGATGGCGTGAAAGTTGGAAACACCGTTTTGGGCGGCGAGGTAGGTCTGCAAGGCGGTCTGCATGTAGTTTTGGACGGTGCCTACGGATTTACTGCTCGAGTCAGAGTCTCGTCTGAAACGCAGTGGAAGAGCTGAAGTAGTCGTTGCTATTAACGTGAGAAGGAGAAGGATGTCCACGACAGTGTTACACCGACGGTGTGTGATATTAAAGAAACGCATAGTGAGCAAAGGAAAGACGTTGTGACAAGCAGCCGTAGGAGAGAGCCAAAATTATTCGTGTCCTGCACGATTTGGGTGTCTGGGTGGCGGGTGTACGCTCAGCGTCGTTGAAGGGTATCTACATCCCATGACCGCATTTATAGTTTTATCTTCTGGTACGGAAACGAGATCTGTAAATTTACAACGTAGTTCAACCAATACTCTGATAAGCCACTACCTACCAAACGTTTCACCGGGAAAAGCGTAACAACGTAGCGGTATAATCTGCCAAAGAAAGCGCTGCCGATGCGAGTGTTTCGACGAGAGCAGATACATTCAGAGAACTCACCCCATTTGCTTCAAATCATTGCATTACTATTGCAGTTTCGGTACCCACACTCTATGGAACCATATATGCGTACCTAAAAAGGATGGACAATACAAGCCATGACCTATAGAAAGGTGAATGCACAGACATTAATCCCCTAACCCCTAACCCACAATGAAACGCCCCGACGACCAAGGGATCAAACAGCGGTTGTGGATAGTAGGATGTCCATGAGGCAGTCCACTAGCCTGTTCCAAAAATCTGAATACGCTGGTTCAAAGTCTGAGGCATACCAATCGGTATAACACTACAAATGCACTGAACGCCACATACCTAGTGTGTAGGACAAGAGGGGATCGGAATCGGAGCAAAAGTCAAACCGTTTTCCGGCCATCCCGGCCAGATTCTAACCGTTCCTCGAACTGATCGCAGGATTTCTCGAGGAATGGACAATTGAAGCAAATGAAGCAAATCTAGGTAACTGTTTCCTTCAATTCGAAGTTACCGATACCATTGGATCAAATGGACCCCCAAAAAGGACTAGGAACGAACATCGAGTCATCGACTGGGGATAGTAGATAGTGGATCATCAACAAGAGCTAAACGAGGGTTTCGAGAATCTTTTGAACGGTCGGACCTCGATCAGCAATTGAATCCTGGCAATCCTCTGAAAGATATGTCGTCGTGAAATGTGCTCATAGATCAAAGAAGTAGCCACGAAAAGGCCCTTACAAACTTCATATGATACCTGAATACCAAATAGTTTGTTAGCAGCGAATTGAAGTGCCTGAGACAAGAACTTGCGCTACCTGTGCCGAAAAATCCCAAGTGACATATTAAGTAGTGACTTGCGTCCAAGATAACTTCCGTTTCCGTTGTTATCGTTCATACGAACTTGACAGCAAGAGTCTGGAAAAATGCAGAGACAGAACGCACGCCATGCATGATAGTATTCTTGAAAACCATTTGAATTTTGACAACCATGAAGTACATTAAGCCAGGAGATTATATCTTATCTAGCAACGCAAGAAATCAGTCACGGATCGTTACAAGGATAGAGCAATAACAGACTTTGATTTGATTATGTATAAGGCCCGATGCGAACGCAGTGCAGTAAAGAGCAACCTCTCCTTTCTTCTCTCGGTCATGTACCAGCCATCCCCATAACCCCGACATGATCCCGTATCTTTGCTATGTCGCTCGCACTCAAATAGCCTTTGCTCGCAGCAAGAAAATCTTCGAATGCAGTGAGTGCGTCGGATTCGTTCGTGAACTCCGTTCTTTGATAGTGGACCATCAATTACGATCGAAACTGTACCAAAGATATGGGCGTACCTCAGAAATTGGATCAACTTATCCCAGAATCCCGGACTCGAGATCGTTAAATGATACGCACCCAAGGTTTCTTTGGGAGTACTACCCGTGCCGAGAGCGAGGTCGGTAGTGTCTAGTGTCAGGAGAACGTCCTTCCTCGGCTGCGCGCCAAGTTCATCCTCGTTGGACGGGGAGGGGGATAAGACAACGGAGGGGATGCGTTGGTGTCTCTTTCCTGTATGCCCCGAAGGAGCAGCAGGCGAGCCTCCTGACAGCAAAGAAGACGACAAGGACGTCCCAAAAGCTGGTTTCGGAGCAGGAGTGTTTAGAGTAACCACTGGCGGGTCCGCAGCAGAGGCAGCAGGATTCCACTCCACGCCGGGTTTGACCATCAAGTTAATCGTGTCTCCATCTTTCACCGGATATTCTTTCAACAGTTTGTTGTCCGCGAGAGCTTTACCCTTCAGAAGGAGTCTCTGAGCATCGGGAGCAGGAGCAGTTGGATTAGTGGTCGAGAGATGCTGTTTGATAGCGGAAATAGTATCGGTTGGGTGAATACCAGAAAGTGTGTAAGTTATGGGTGGTTTGGTGGACTTAATGAGCAACTTCAGTGTGGCTGTATGGGCAGAGTTAGTGCAAGATACAGCAATATCACCCTTGAACCCCTTACTGGAAGATGAACCAGCCGCAGTTTCTTCTACCTTACGAGCGGGTGGCTCTGGCACGGCTACTCCTGTTAAGACGGGGATCTTCTTCAACGAGTTTTCTGGTGGCTGTTGGTATTCATCGTCATAATTGATTGGTTGTGTAGATATAGTATTGACAAATGTCTTTATGAAGGCGAATTCTGCTTGGTCTGCCATCGTCGAGGAAAGAAAGCTGTTAATTAGGCGGATTTCCGCCGAAAATATTTGAGCCAGAGCCGGCCGAATGCCGCTCCACAAATCAGCATCCGCCGTACGGAGCGATAATCTATATGAGTAGCTTATTTTTTTGTAAGGACTGCCTCGAGTACTCTTCGACGTTAGTCGCTCGTTCTCCATTAATCATTCGTGGATAGATCATTCCACAACCAAATTTTGAAATCGGTCTAGTCGGGACCACTCTCGGACCGGTCCAGCTCAGTCGAGAATTCTCTCTAGTTGTTTATCACCATGAGCGCGATTTTCGCAAGCTTTCTTCCACCACTACAACGATGTCTTCTTCATTAGAATCTTCAAGCTCACCCTCCAACTCGAAGTCAATGCGTGGCAAGATGGAGTCATGGATCCGTTCTCTGCAAGAGGACATTGTCCAGGCACTAGAGAAACTCGATCCTAATGCTCCCAAATTCCAGCGTGATAGCTGGGTGAGGCCTGAAGGTGGAATGGGACAGTCTTGTGTCTTTGCTGCTCCCACAGCTAGCGAAGGACAGAAAGGTGAATTCATTCTCTCCTATACACCGAGCGATCATTCATAAACCAACACAGAATTCATCCTCGAAAAAGCCGGCGTCAATATCTCTATCGTTCATGGAACCCTTCCTCCTCCAGCTATCAAACAAATGCGCGCAGATCATACCTCGATGCCGCTACCGGAAGACGCTCCAGGCGGCTTGCCCTTCTTCGCAGCGGGCATTAGTTTGGTGATCCATCCCAAAAACCCGCATGCCCCGACGTGCCATGCAAATTATAGATATTTCGAGATTACGGATCCTGAGAGCGCTGCTGCTAGTGCGGATGTCGCACCAAAAACTCTTGCATGGTGGTTTGGCGGTGGCTCAGACTTGACGCCCTCCTACCTCTATCCTGCCGACGCGACTCACTTCCACCAAACCCACAAATCCGCATGTGATGCCTTTTCCCCTTCTTTCTACCCCGCTCTCAAGAAATGGTGCGATGAATATTTCTACATCCCTCATCGCAGCGAATCTCGAGGAATCGGGGGAATCTTCTTTGACGATCTCCATGCTGGCCCACACGCACGTCTTCCAGATAACCCATCAGATCACCCTCGTACCCTCGATTCCATTTTCGTGTTCGTAAAAAGTCTCGGAGCCGCTTTCATTCCGGCATACGTACCCATCGTAGAACAACGAGCCAAAATGCCTTACACCGATGAACAAAGGCGGTGGCAGCTTATTCGCAGAGGACGATATGTGGAGTTTAACCTTGTTGTTGATCGAGGGACGAAGTTTGGGTTGATGACTCCCGGGGCGAGGGTAGAGAGTATATTGATGAGTTTGCCAGAGACAGCAAGATGGGAGTATATGTCGGAAATGGGCGCAGATGAGGAGACGGAAGAGGGACAACTCATCCGGGTACTAAAGGAACCGAAGGAATGGGTTTAGGCTGGTGAGTAGGAGGAGTTTTTTGTGCACGTACGAAGGTACATATCATTTACCACCGCTCAATAATTTCCTGTACAATCAAACATCTGGCAGCTCCGATTGAGGGTGAGTCGTATAAGGGCCGGGTAAACCATCATGATACTCAACGGAACCTCAGCAGAACCTGAGTAGAACAAGCAAATTTATTTGACCCGGAAGTCATTCAGTGATCCACTGGACAATTTTAATGATACATACAGTATGTATATTTCATTCATATATGATTTTCACAATTTGTACTGGTGCTTACCCACTAGAAGTTTTCCCCTTATCTGCTGTTTGACAGAAGAAAGAAGTGGCATACTACATTCACCATGAGAATATATAGGGTTATAGAAGATAGAATACTGAATTCAATGAGGAGGGATTACAAGGGATTACAGGGGATTACCAAAAACGGCGGTGGCTGTGGCCTTGTGGGATTGACGCAATTTTCCACCCTATGGCCAGTATTGCTTCGCTTCGCTCGCAATAAAGATCCCCACTCTCTTGAAGTTTCCCCGCACCTTCTGCCAAGCGCTGGTTCGGTAGGTTGCATTTTCTTCCTTCTACCACCAGATCTAACTGTCATTACCCCCTCTCTCCGAACCTAATCATGCAATCCTTAATTTGCATTTGACGAATACATCACCACAGTTACTCAAACTTACGGGTCAAATTTGCTGGTCAAATTTCTTCCATTATCATTTGCTCAGTGGTATCCCGTATGTCCCTCCTATACCAGTCCTACCGTCGTTGTCGCCGATAGATATCTATCGTTTAACACAGTGCCATCTTGACTCATACGTTCAACATGCACGTATTTTTCCTCCTTTCAATTTCCAATGCCAAAAGTCAATTGTTGTACGCATGCTTCTTCCTTGTCGCTCTCCTCAGTATTACTGTGGTCGCTTCCCCCTTAAAACTTGCTCCTCGACCCCTCGGTGTGTAATATACCACCTGTTCTGGTCCGACCAAATGCTCATGGATAGTATGATATAGCACCGAACGTAGTCGTGCTCAGCCTCGGATGGGACGAAACCACATCATTCCTCCACGGTGAACAAAGACCAGCTCTTTTCTTCTACAACAATTACGGTCTGACAGCTGGACGTGATCCGCATGGCGGCATATACATTTATCCACTCCAGAGGAGTCCGAAGGGCTTGCAGAACTTAGGACCGGATAATACGCAGCTTATAGCTTACTTCCGTGATGAGGAGCAATTCAGGAGTACCATGGCGACTTTGAGAGACTTGCGGGCACTTGGTAAACTTGGTGCTGGTCCTCGGACAATGTCATGGCCCCTCATCACTAATGCCAGGGACTACATTCATGCTGTGTTGACGCACCTGTCGCAACTTCCCAGTGGTTACGAAGGACATGCGATGGTTGTGGATGACACATTACTGTCAGAATGGAAAAAGATAAAGCATGGACTAGAAACGAAATGAGGGGGGGACATGTCGATGAGGGGACATAGCACCACGCCGCTTCAATGGATAGCGTTGACAGTTATAACAAGGTCGATTGGATTTCAATTCCGATTTTGAGAAGGATCACAGATGGTAGTAGAAATACATTTATTATAGATGTGATATATCATAGTTTGGGGGAATGGTATAATCTGCTCTAACGATCGGAAATAGCGATACATGGTATAGTTCGAATTCGTTTCAACCGTGACGACCGAGACCACGAGCGGATCTGCTGACGACCTTGGCCTCAGCTTGCTTAAGCCTGGCACGATGGGCACTAGAATGAAAGTATTAGAATTGGATTTTGAAAGCAAGTCATAGCGTACTCATCCTCAGCCTCTTTCTCGAGGAACTTGACGTGATCTTTAGCTGCCTTCACGCTGGCTCTGGCTTGCTGTAAAGCGCGGTCGGCAGCCTTCTCAGATTCTTCGGCGTCGGAAACTTTTTCGCGAGCAGACATAATGGTAGGGTCTACATTACAGGGTGGACAGAGTCAGAAAAACAGGTGAAGCAGAAATACTCGTGAGATACGCACCATTGTGAGGGAAGCCTCGGCCACCGATACGTCCACCGAATAGGCCACCGCTGCGGGTGCTGCCTGCTCGACCGACGCTGTCAGAGTCAGAGCTATTCCTGGTACGATTGGACTTGTTCGAACGATCTGGCGAAGCAGAACGCTGACGACGGCCAAAAAGGGTGCCCTTGCGGGTAGGCTCCGCTTGAGGTGGAGGAGAAGGTTCAGGAGAGTTTTGTTTGAACAAAGGCATTGTCAAGATAGAAATATCAGATCAAGTAGGTGTTGAACGTTTGTAAAAGATGGAACTTGGGATTCTTGAACAGAATTTGCACGGCTTTTGAGCTGGTTGGAAAGGCCTAAACGTCACTTTCTGGAGTCGAAGCGTCATGGTAATTTATGAAGAGCCACAGAAGCACCACAAAATGTTGAGGTGGGTGGCGTAGAAAAAGAATTGAAGTGGCGCAATGGTCCGTGCGCTTCGGATTTTGCCGAGCTCTGCAAGCGGAGCTTCAATATTCCCTCTGGAGGTAAATTGCAACGGGTATATAAGGCTGTTGCGCTCTTTTTCTTCCCACCACCTGTCCGCAGCTGAGTCTCGTCGTCGTGCCTTGGCCAGCGTTCAGCGTTTCAGCTACAATGTCAAATAAAATTGTGGTGAGCTACAACCTTCCTGGAAGTAGCTGCTTTCAAAGTCGTAATAACGCTGTTTTCTGGAGCCTGGAATATATCGTTCAGTAATTGACGACGTTATCGCCGCAATTAAGCCTGAATTCGAAGAATATGGCGTTTCTGAAGACGTTCTCGCTGAATTGCAGCACGTATGTCATGAGTGGTAGGAGAAGATCTTTGGAGAACTAACTTGCTCTTTTAGAAATGGGAGAACAAAGTTATTGCCTCTCATGTCGCCGATTTTGAAGTAGTAAACGTTCCGCCCGCGCAAGCTCCTCACCATTCGTATCAGACTCATGCTATGCACATGATGCAAAGTCATCCAGCATATACAGCGGCAGCAGCACCTCATTCTTATGTTGCCGCCGCTCCTCCACAACCTGGTGTGAAAGCAGAACCGATAGACACTCGTTACATGTTACACAATGCTCCGCAGATGGCCTATGCCCTTCCTCATCTTCCTGGTCCCGCTATCAACGGCGCGCGCCAGCCTGCGGTTCCTCAGTACGGTAGTCAAACTAGTATACTCTCTTTTCCGCCAGGTCCGCCACCGGTCCAATCCATACCCACAAATGGCGCCGGCGTTCCTTTAGGTCGTGCTTACGTTCCGCCGACAAATGGCACTCCAATTGCAACAATGTCTGCGCCTCCTCCTCCATCTAATTCAGGTGGTGGTGGGAGTTCAGGTCGCATCCCTCAGCTTGATGGCCCATCTGAAGATGAATCCGATGAGGACTCACAAACCCCGCCTCCTTATGCACCCCGATCAACACATCCTTCTTTGCCACAACCTCAAGCGTCAACGAGTGCCTCCGCAGACTCAGAAGCTATCAACAGCGACTTGGACGATTCAGATACCGGAGACGAAGAGGAGGCAGACGATGGTGCTGTCGGAGAAACGGACATTGTATTCTGTACTTATGATAAAGTGAGCTACAATCTTTGCTTTCTCTTACCAGACTTTCACTTCGTATTAGGTCGCACGAGTCAAGAACAAGTGGAAATGTATCCTGAAGGATGGAATGATTCATGTAAATGGAAAGGATTATCTCTTCTCCAAATGTACTGGGTACGTTGCTTGCCAAATTATGCGGAATCGCTGCCTCGCTCACTCCTTTCTCCTGTCAGGGAATTTGAATGGTAATCATCATTGGTTTTGTATCGTTCTCGCCATCAAATTGTTTGAATCAAAAAACATCTCAATTAAAAACTTTTTTTTCTTCGCTATGTTCTACCTTTGCATGCACACGTCTATCGCTCACCGTTCACTGTTCTCCCATCCTGTGTCACGCATACTGTACACCTGAAGCATCAACTACATCATTCGTCTCCTTAATCAGCTTTATCTATCTACATATCTACTATGGCTACGGTAGAGTATCCCTTCTCGAAAATGTCATATCATGTCGCCTCAATGTTGCCTAACCAATATCTCAGCATCTGTATCGTGCCCTAATCAGCTTCGTCCCGGCTCCGTACAGTGTATACTAGAAGAAAGTATTGATAGTAGTATAGAATCGGCTCTGGAGACCTTGTAGCGCGCCTTTCCCCAAATAATCGCCGATGCCTCTTGAAGTTGTGGACAAAAAACGGGCGCTTACGCTGAAAAGCCCTTTACTGTAGATCCTGTAACTCTTTTCATAGCTACTTGGCATCGATGTCAGGTCATGTTAGGGCTTGAAGCCCTTATTTACAAACCCCGAACGAAGTCATGGTCAAATTTTCTCGAATCTCGGCCGTTGGCGGCGCCATTCCTAATTCCTGACAGATCCTTGGTTTTCGCTGTATATTTCGGGGATGCCTTATACATTTGTACAGCCAACGATGAAGAACCCCCCAAATTCGCGCTTTCCTCTGATATCGAGGTTCTCTCTTCACAATCATGGACGTTCCGGAGACGCAGCGAAATGGAAGGAAGAATAATGTCAGGTTTCGTGTAGCAATTGTGTAAGTGGTTTACAAGTACACATCTTGGACTTGCCATTGAATTCTCCAATAGCGGATGTGGAATTGGTGGTCTTACCCTCGCCGCTACGATATCCAAGTTCACGTCCGAACAAGATGGTATCATCAAAGTTGACATGTACGAATCCAAGAGCGAGGTATCTGTTATCGGAGCTGGAGTTGGCATATGGAAACGTTCTTGGCAAGTCTTGCAAGACTTGGGATTTGAGGAAGAACTAGTCAAGCGTGGAGTCAAGGTCCCTGTTGATGGTGAATGTAAGTCGTTAGGAATGGCATTTCTTTCTGTAAAAGGCTGATAACACATCTTTCTAGCTCGAGGTCCAATCTTTCGCAAATCCGACCAACCAACACCAGGCTACGATTTCCATGATCATGTTATGCCCTGTTCGTATTTTCATTAGTGCCGTACCTCCGCGCTAACGTCCTACATAACAGACGGTCCTCTAGGTCTCCATCGACCCACACTTCTCGAAATCCTCCAATCCAAGCTTTCTGAGAACTGTACCATCCATATTTTCAAGGCCCTTGTCAGCTACACAGTCCACGCCGGAGACAACGACTCTGGTATTACTCTTCACTTTGCCGACAACACCACAGCCGAGGCCGACATTCTCATTGGCGCAGACGGGGTATATTCTGCTACAAGGCACACAATGTTCAGCGGTCTCGCCGAAGAAACGGGTAACAAGGAATACACGCAATACGCACGAGCAGAATATAGCGGAACTCTAGCTTATAGAGGGCCTGTGCCAACCGAAAAGCTCAAGGAAAAATACCCACAACACATAGTGTTGAACCGTCCGAAAGCTGTAAGTTATCTCGTCTCTCTCCTGCCTTATTCTGATTTTAGCGGTCGTACAGTGGTGCGGAAAATCCCAGCATGTTATTACCCATCCTCTCGGTCCTTATATCGGTATCATTCTTTATATGTACCGCCCAGATCTATCTTCTCCCAGTCTCGCCCGATTCCAAAATCAAAGTGTTGTCCCATCCTCACGTGACGAAGTGTTAGCCCTTTGCGAAGGATGGGAGCCAGAGCTTCGTGAAGTTTTGGAGTGCATCGACCCTGATCCTTTGAAAGTGAGCTGTTGGGTTATACATAGGGTCAAGCCTCTACCGTTCTGTGTGTTGGGAAACGTTGGGCTGATCGGAGATGCTGTGAGTTGTCTCCTTAATGCCCAATCTCTGTGATTAACTTGTTCTCCCGTTGTTTTGTAGGCTCATGCCATGTTACCCCATCAAGGTGTAGGAGGTGGACAAGCCATCGAGGTATGTTCTATTGCCATGATTTTCCTCATCTTCCGTACTAGCTTCTTTCCCTGTCATCATCTCTAATCACATTTCTAGGATGCACACCTCCTTGGCCGCCTTCTCGCTCATCCCAAAGCCGCTTTATCATCCCCTTCCAGACCATCTACACTCCCCATAATCCTTAAACTCTACGAAACCTTCCGCCTCCCGGTTGCTCAAAAAGCCGCGAAGGCGTCGTATGATAACGGTTTGATGTACGAATTTAATTATCCTGGACTCGTATTTGGGGGTTCGCAACCCGACGCCAATAGTAGAGGTCCAACGCCGGATGAATTGCAAGTGTTGGGCGAACGCATCGGGGAGTCGTTTACATGGTTAAAGGAGGGAGATGTCGAGGGCGACTGGCGAAAAACGGAGGCAGAGTTGGAGAAGATGTGATAGTTGCGATACTCAAGAGTCCGGCATATAATAGAAAAGAAAGAAAAAAGGAAGGGTTGAACCACCGTACTAGCCTCTATATATGAGCGACTTTCCCGTGGTTCGTCGGTTTGGCATTCACACTCTCAGGAATCACACTCAAAGTTTGGCTATCAGTATGCTCACTATAGCCCTCAAATCCCATTTTATGTATTGTTCAAAGTTATAATTACATGACATTCATATACCATAGCTACTCATTGAAGTTCTGAGTGTATCTGTGACTACTACATACTCAAATGATTGTCAATGTTGATGACCATCAGATGGAAATGTCAAGGTACTCACTGAGCCCAAGGTGCATGCTTTCACCACACTTATTATAGGATGATTTAGGTCTCGATTATATCATTTATAATTGTATCTAGTTCGCTCAAGAACGCAATGTTGTCTTAGTATATGAGTCTTACATGATTTTTGAGACAGTCTTTATTGGCACGTGACTGCGAAAACTCGCTTTGACTTCCAAAATGCAGGAAATGTGTTTGGTCGTGCTTGTCCGGGATCAGAATTCCGGCATTTCCTTTTCTAGCACAACGTTCACCGCCACTGTACTGGTGGGCGCTGTGACTCGCGCCAGTCAAACACTAAATCTGCCTTTTCAAGCATCTCCGAGCCTGCGAACGAAATATGATAGCTGTTGCTGGTTCAATTCAATATTCCGATATCCGTTAACCAAAAACAAAAACCTATTTTCAATATCAGGACAGCATTGAGCAACTACATTATGCTTCAATACAGTAACGCGGCGGGTTATAAGAGCTCTGTGTCCTCTATAATTCTCTCATACATCTGCCTTGATACTTTCAAGTTATTCTCTCATGAAATCCTTCACTCGCTCCGTCTTCTTGGCACTTTCCTTGTTCGCTAGCCTTCAGAATGTGGCTTCTACAATAACGATATCTGGACATTACAAGGGCAAAGCAAAGGCGTACTTCAACACAACCGTATCCGCTTCACCTGTAGGATCAGCATACTGTCAGTCAGATCATCATAAATCCAAACATTGATCTAAATATTGGAACTTGCTACAGTCATTACAAATGAACCCAATGGCAACTACGTCGTCGCTGCTGACATTGGTTCAGACGGACAGCTCGTACGTGAATTCTATATCCTTCATCGTTCCTCTCGTCACGTCCTTTTTTCAGATACTTCGTTCCGCGTATGCCACTGGCGGGATCGGATCCCACGTCGTCGCAGCTGGTACAGGTGCTACCACGGGCCCGGATGGCTTAAACTCTCAGGGAGCCATATCAGTTAGCGCTTCGTCCAATATGCTGGTTACTGTTAATGTGAGACCGACTCGATGTTCAATCAAACGTGTTCGACGAGCCCTTCTTAGGCTGGATCCCACACCGTCACTTTGTTCAAGATCGACGAGAACGACCCATCCAACTTGACTATCGTTGGAGAGCCAATATCCAGCGGCGGTCATTTCCCTACTTCGATTGCATTCAATAATGCCGGTGATACTATTTGTGTGTTGAACGGAGGAATCATCAACGGTGTCAGGTTCGGTTTCCTTTCTGGTATCTCTGCCGTTCTGCAACATCTGAATCCTTTTACTTCGTCCACAGCTGCTTCCACGTCAACCAAACCGCCGGTCTTCAAATAATACCAGAAACCACACGTTACCTCCATTTGAACCAAACCACTCCCGCAACGACTGGCGCCGGAAGCACCGTTGGTCAAGTCCTTTTCTCCGCAGACGACACCCAGCTCTTGGCCTCCGTCAAAGGTCTTCTGCCTGGACCTCCTGCCGTAGTCGGATATATTGCTATATGGGATATCGACGAATCAGATGGCTCATTATCTGAAAAATACATGCCTATTGCTCCACCCAAAAATGGTAACAATCCTTTTGGATTCACTCGAATCGCAGGCGAAAACAGCGCAATTATCGCTGCTGATACGAACGACGGTTTCACCATTTTTGACTTGTCGGATGGGAGTAAGTCTTCATCCGTGGATGTCAATACCCTCGGTGCCATCTGCTGGTCTACATATAGTCCGAAGACTGGGAATTATTATATGATCGATGCTGGAGGTGCAGTGTTCGAGGTGAACATAGACAACAATTTAAAGGGATCGGTGGTGCAGGTAGCTAGTTTTTTTTTTCTTCAAGTCATATCGACATTCCTCGTTCGACTGATTACTGAAACCTATTCACAGCAGTACAACTCAACGAATATGGTCGGTCTCTTTGACGGTGATGTAGCTTCTCTCCAGGATAACGAGTACGTTCTTCTTTACCATCAAATATCCTTCCTCATCCTTCCTAACCTTTTCATCTATAGCTTCCTTTACATCCTCGCCGAAAACTTCAGTACAATCGAGGTCATGTCTTTGAATGCTCCAGGAAAGGCACAACACATCCAGTCGCTCAACGTAGCCTCCACGCTTATGGCTGCAGGAATACCTATCAGTGAGTATCCTTTAATCATTACAGGAATCATTATTAGGCGCCCTGACTGGTTATGCCTTCATGTTCAGGTTCCTCAAATCAAGGCATGGCTACTTTCGTTAAGAAAACGTGAAGGGCATGCAACATGCCTCTTAGAGAAACATACATAGACATATATTGATTTAATGTAGGGATAGCTCAATATTATTGTCTATCGGACGTCTCCCCTTCTGCTTATCCTCTGACTGTGGATCTACTAAGAACACCCATCCAAATTGTATGCGTTCTCGTCCCTTTTGAAAGAATACAAACTCTCATACTTCTTCAACTTTTCTCCTCAAGGGAGATATCTGTGGTTTCGACTAAGAACATCAATCAGTGGCCCGTAGCCATAGTGCGCAACGCAGGAATGGTAGTCAAACTTACATATTCATTCTGGACTCCGTATAATTGATTTTCAGCATTCCACGATCCCAACTCCATGCTCACGCTCGAATCTTGAACTGTAGCTTGTGGTTTTAGAGGATAAGGCTGCCCCACCGTACATCAGCATAACGATAGTCTGACTTGTCTAATATTAGGCTTACGTCGATATGATTTACAGTCCGTAAAGATGATTCTGCAGTGAAACCACCAAAGCCACCGTTCGTATATGCATATTCATCTCCTATTTTCCCTGTTACCTGTTTTCGGGTGCTGAGCGCACACATAAACGATACAGCGAACACTATCATCGTCACGTTAATTTTTTCATCTGCTCAGGAAACTGTTGATGAAACGAGAATGACTTACTTTTAGAAAGTACGAAATACACTCCCATATATTGGAATGTAGATGTACGTGCATCATACTGATTGATATCCTTGTTCAGTGGAAAAGTTCGAGACATACGAATTATGGAACATACCAAAACTAGGGTCAAAATGCTCATCGTACTGTGAAGCATGTCAGATTCTATCAATAAGGATATGGATGCCTACCTCGTTAAAGCACCGGTATTCAGAGCATACTGTACCAGGCTGTTGAGCAGTGAATCAGGTCTGTATGAGGTGTGAGATTGGTTGGCTCGGAAGGACCGACTCAATAACTAACTCTCGATATCCTGTGCGTAATTTCCGAAGATAGTAGCATAGTGCTACTGCGATCAGAAAGTCCGCTAATGCTCCTGTAGCTAATGCTAGCGAGGCTACGACCTGTAGAGAATCGTGTAGTATCATGACATCAACCTGAGTGGCCATAAGAGAAGATAGATTTCCCTCACCTTGATTTTCGCAATGTCCAGAATATTTTGAAGATGGAAGCTAGTCATAGACGCTATTGAATCAGTGTCGATCAGGATGTGTTTGTCGAATATATAACTCACGCTCCGACCTCATAGGCTGTAATGTAAACGTCGTTAGTGACATGCTGACGGGATAAATACATGAGACTACCCAGTATACACCCTTTGAGAGTGAATTTCAGCACCCAACCCATCATTTCTGAATATTAGATCATTCACCTATTTGCACGAGGATGACTACCGCCTGGAGGACACAAGTAATGTATATCTCAGATGATTGAAACCGAATCTTTGCAGAGGGAACACACTTACAAGTGCAGTCGTAACGATTTTGTTGCGATTGCTAACTATACCCATGAAGCATGTCAAACGGTACATGGAACCAGGGATCTGATTAGGGTACTTACATCTCCAGACGCGAACTACAAAGCACCTTTTTCGTCGAGATAACAATAAGTTGACATAGGAGTGGCAGCTGATAAACAAGAACTTACGCCTTTACGATGCTCCCTGAAATGGCCTGTAGGAATCAAACATATAATCATGAGCCTGAGATTCAAACTTGTCGAAGATGTCACGCCGCAAATCATAACGTACTCCAACCAAGACCTGAGTCTGTAGAAGCAGTAAGTGCGTGAACAGTGCTGTAGGAATTAATAGGGAAGAAGGCAAAAAGATAGGCTCATCGTACCACGAGAGACCATTCCACGGGTTCTGTGAATACAGCTATGGGTGAGCCAAAAAGCCTAGGGAGACAAGGACCAATCAATATCGAATCGTTGATTCTAGCCTACAAGACGTACGAGACAGTGTAGTGATATAAGGCATGTGCAACTAGTGTTTGATGAAGCAATTCTGTACACCTAATGTATCATTGGTCCTGAAGCCTTCCAGAGAAAATCCTCAATAAAGTAATAGTTCGCGTACCAGACCACTCCCACCTAAACCATATAAATCACGGATTTAACGACAGTACCCCCGAAATTAACGCACCAGGATTTTCAAGTTCAAAGGGTCCGTCCTATATCGATGATAAAAACTGATGGCTTGAGTTGTAAAAATCCCGAATATGACGCATGATATACTGTAGCCAATGAACGCTGCACCCAGTGTATCGTTCAGGTCAAAAGTGAGGGACATTTTGCGCCAAAGGTCGCAATCTGAGAGACAATCCGTGTCAGTGGTGACTGAAGGGGAAGGAAGGGAAGAAGAAACTCGGGAAGCTAGCCTCTACATATATACTCCTGAACAGCAACGCAACGCAAGGCACAAACCTTGTGAACTTGTAAGATATAAAGTTGTACATTGCTTGATGTTTCATTGCTTTTGTTTCCATAACCACCACAGCCACAGGCAAGATTATTTGGCGGTGACCTGGTATGAGTCATGACTTGATCATCCACCCTTCTTCTTCATCAGGTTACACGACTCCAAGCTGCGACCTGTTTTGTTGGGCCGAAGAAGGAAGAGGACAAGATGGAAAAGGATAGAAACTAAGAAAGTTAAGCCAAGACTTTGTGGAGGTTACGGGAGGGAAGAATTGAACTCACCGGAAAGGGAATGTCGATAATTATCACTGGACTATTCGAAGAACCTAAACTGGATACGACGAGCATGTCTGGGTATGTATTGGGACCTGCCTTTCGACGTACTACATACTCAGCTGGACCAGTAGTCTCCTGCTCAACAATATGTTCCCTCTTTCCCTAAGTTCCCTTTATGACTCTATGCTTTTAATTTTCATCCCCATATTCATCTTTTTCGTATTTACCTTTCCAGCCACTCATACCTTTGATCATCGCATTCACCTAATTACGGAGCACTTTCGCATCCTCGATGGTCCACTTGTGTGGTTTCAGGAATTTTATCTCGAAATTGGATGGGACCTGATATGAACAAATCTCCTCTTCAAGTTGTTCTCGTGTTGATCGGTTTTCCTTCCCTCTATACCAATTCACTTGACTGATCCAGAAACAGCCAGAAACACTGTATCTTCTCAATGAATCTAGTGTATCCAATCACAATTCTCAACGTTCGCCAAGCTTCAAGAACTTGACTATCAATATGAGCTTGAAAGCCGAGATCTATGTACATTTAAAAACCTGACAGAGCTCAGAGCGCTTCAAGCGAATGACAAACTGAGAATGAGAATGATTTTCAGAGCTGGAGGTTTGGAGTTGACGTTGAGCAGGAGAGAGAGAGATAATTTAACCGCCGCAGGCCGAGAGCGGGGAAAAATATGTATCAAGACCAAGTATTGTAAAGTATGTCAATTGCGTTCGCTGGTTGTTGCGTCGTAACATTCGTCGCAGAGTTGTGTTTCTTGACTGAAGAAATTATGGTACATACGGGGGTCGGAAACAAGTTCTTAGTTCTACTGGTGTAAGCTGGTGTAAGTGAGTGTAAAGTTGCAGAGGCCGGTTAATCCGAAAAACGTTTTCCATTCGAGAATATCCGACAAGCTCCTTGGGGAAGCAGCATCGTGTGGGCTGCAGGGTAAGAGAAGACTACTAGCGAAACTATACCTAACTATACCCAAAATCGTATAAGTAGCCCAGACGACCTCAGAGGACGCGCAAGGACTTCTAGAAGAGCTGGTCCACGTTTTACCTTGACCCTGAGGGTTCATTATCCTGATTTCGCGAATCATTATTCATAATTGAGGTGAATAATCCTACAGTATACTTACACAGACAAATACTTACATGAACTTCCACTTGGAGTCATGTTACAAGAGAGTCGTTCCGATAAAGAAGAAATCTCGACTCTACTAACGTAGCAGTAGAGAGAATAGGGGGACTTGGGTACCAAAGAACGTGGATGCTGTCTGACGGTGTTCAAGTTTGTCGAGGATAAGAGACGTCGACCATGTACACGTCATGGACTAGTCTCTACTAGTCTGCTCTAGTGTACCGCGCGGCCGCCCCGTAGCGCTGCTCCAAAGGCAAGCGAAATCGAAACAACTCGTTTTGTAATTGATGGGCTGGGCACTACTGGAGATAATTATCAGTCAATTTCAACCGCCGCGTCCCATTGAGGAACAGCCGGGGTGGGCCTTGGTGGGCCGTAAGGGTCCAGGGATATATTACCTACATATGGACGATTGTTTCTTGATAAGACTCCGAGAAAGAGGTTTGTGATAGATAGAACAAATGATTAGCCCAATCTGGCTTAATGTGAAGAAAGGCCTGCCCCACCTGCTCGGAAAATTCAAGAAGTCTCATAGACATCTCAACAAGTGCATTTTCAGCTTACCGCTTATAAAGAGAAGAAAGAACTGAAATTTCACTATCCCGCTGCGAACTCTCCAATGTCTAAGCGTTTGGCCAATCTCTTCGCCTCTCCCTCGAAAGAGGAACTTAACGCGTGCTGGGAGCTCTGCCGGTTGAACAACAATATGGGTTGTTGGACAACATGGATACCCACGGGTTAGTTCATATCGACGTTCCCTCATTCGTGTCTGACTCTGGTTCCACGCTTAGCTTGGGCTCTGGCAATGGTCTATCATGCCCAACCTCAGATACCCGGAGCTCTGGCATTGATGTGGGCAGCGAAATACTTCGTGTTATGTTCTGGTATCAAATCGTTGGTGAGTGGCATATTCAAAATATAAAGTCGAACACACCTGAAATGTCTACGCCATTCAAGATAATGACGATCGACGACATCCTGGATCATGGTGAGCCTCAGGAAAACGACTTGGAATTGAAAGTTTGTTAATGTTTCGCCAGACATTGATGTTATGGTTGTCCGCACGAAAAATCGTGCCATCCCAAGAGGCGCAATTTCCCTGGACCGTGCCTGGCTATTCTTTGGTCTGCAGGTGGTACTCGGTGTTTGTCTTGCTCAAGCCCTCTTGGACCCTGTCTCGTGAGTACTTTCAGTATATCCTGAACCTAAGTTATTAAGGATTAAACGCTAGACGTCGTTTCGCTGCCGCTGCTGCGCCGTTGTTCGTAATTTATCCCACCTGCAAGGTGAGTCGTGCGCCACTGCTTTTTATTAGTGGCTGATGAGGCTGAATTTCTTTTGCTAGCGATGGATGTATTTTGCTCCTGTCACCCTGGTAAGTCGAATCAGTAAATGGATGGGTGTGTATAGTTTGAAATCTCACGTTCTAGGGTCTCATGTTCACCGTTGGCGTCTTCATGGGTTGGAGTACTTTGAGCCTCACCAAGCAGCTACCATACGAAATCCTTATCCCTGTCTACATTGGAGGATGTTGCTGGGTTTGGACTTACGAAACGATCTATCAGCATATGGTGAAACAGCTTTCCAGAATTTCGTATTCCGATTTCTGACTATGGTCATTCAGGACAAGGTTGACGATGTCAAGATCGGAATTCGTTCTTCAGCTTTGCTGTGCGGTCGCTATACGATTCCCGTATGCTCAACGACCGCGATTGCATTCTTCGGTCTGTTGACATATGGAGGGTATCTCAACGGCCATAGTTATCCCTTCTTCGCTGGAGTTTTGTTAGCCGCGGCGCTGCTCATGTCGAAACTTCTACGCACCGATATTGAGTGCCCTGCAGACTGCAGGGACTTTTTCCTGCAAACACCCCTGATAGGGCAGATCATCGTCGGAGGGTTCGCGGCGGATGCTGTGATAGCGCGAATCTCGAATGGCATAGCTCTTTGAGCATGCTACAAGTGAACCATTTAGGCCGTTGAATTCCACCATTCGTCGATCTCAGTAATGGTGTGTCACACTCGTCTCTGTTGTTGTTGTAAATCCCCTGTACGAAGTCTGGCACTAGTCCTGTACACGACCTGTACGATCCATGCTTTCCCTGTGTAGTTACGTAGTTGTTGTATCTTGTGATGAACCGTTACGATTCTGTCTAGAGGCAATGAAAATCATGAAAGTTTACGAAAACACTTGCATTGGTAGAGAATGAGTGAAACTGGAAGCTCGATAATGGGACAACCAGTGATTTGTCATACTCATCCAAGTTGCAATGAAACAGAAAAGGATAAGGTACTGAAAAAATAGAGAACTGAAATAAATATCGAAGTAATACCTCAACCAATTACCTTCGACCCCAGCCTCCCCAACTGAACGGGTTGAGATACGCTCCAGACTTTGCAGGATCCGCCTTGAAAACAGGAGGATCGATTCTCCTCTCCTTAATCGCAGCCATAACGTCTTTTATGAGCTCAAACTCATCGATCAGTTTCGTTGGCGCGACCTGTTTCCCGCGGACGATCCTCAATAACGTCCGTCTTGAGATCAGATAGATCCTCTGTTCCTCGTCAAGCCCAGCCTTCCGCAAATTCTCTTTAACGTTCCGTCGAGTGACAGAAATGTACTCATCCTTGGCATCAGCATCAATACGTGTTCTGCGTGCTTCGCGTTCTTTCGACCGAACATCCTCCTCATCTTCACTCTCATCCTCATCTAGCGCCTCCCTCATCTCATCCGCTATGGCCTTGATATGTTCGTCTGATTTGCTCCGAACGATGAAGGAAGGGATATTGAACCTTTTACAATTCTCTAATATTGTGATGTCTGTATCAACAAAGCGAGAGTCGAAAAGGACGATGATAGCATCGAAGATGTATAGCCCTTGTTTGACGAAGTAATCTGAATTGCTGACATTGGTGGTACCCGCTCCGGGAATATCAAACCATACGAATTTTGAACGGTCAGGATGAGGATCCTCGTATCGACCAATGGTACGAGTGGTTTCAACGACGCCCGTGGCAGCAGCACTAGCAGTACCCTTGCTCACACCACGGAAGGCGTTGATCAACGAGGATTTCCCGCTCCCTGCCACACCAGCAATAGCAAAATGCAGTCGACCCTCGACGTACTGTCGGTCGCGCTTGGTCTGCTCATGCTCTGCACGCGTGGGCTCATGTACAGGTTGCAGTTCAGCTAGCTGGGCTTCCCGCCTGCGAGCCTTAGCGAGCTCCTTCTCTGTTTTCTCCCGCTCCGCTTTGAAGGTTCGTAATTGACCCTCGGTCTCCTCTCCCGTTAGGCGGGCCTTCTCCTCCAGCTTCTCGAACTTCGCTCTAGCTTCTTCAGCTTTCAAAGCTGCATCCCTCGCGGAACGTTCGCGATCCCTGAATTCTTCCGCTGAGAGGACTGCGTTCTTCCTTTCCACTTCCGCTTCATCTCGAGCGCGCCGTTCGTTCTGCGCTCGATACTCAGCTTCTTCCATTGCTTTCCGTGCCTTCTCCGCAGCGTGTACAGCGTCGTCTCTAGCTTTCTGCGCCTTTTCTGCCTGCTTGGCATGATCTGCCGCCTCTTGCTCTGCCTTGATCCGCTTTTGTTCGGCCTCTCTATGCTGTTCTTCCGCCACTCTGCGTGCCTCCGCTTCCTGATCTAACTGCGACTGCAGAGCGATGAGATTCTTCTGATGTTCCTTTTCCTGGCGAGAACGGGCATTTTCGTCGGCCTCCGCGCGCTTTTCAGCTGCTTTTTGTAAATTCTGAAGTTCTTCTTGGTGCTTCTTATCCATGGCCTGCACAATGGGATTGCGACGAATGGTACGTTCGTTGATTTCGTCAACATCGGCTTTGGCTGCTTTCGACTGCTTGTTTCCCATTGTAGACTACTGAAAGTGATAATCAAAAATCAATATCTGCTCGAAAGATAGACTGGTGAATTTATACGTGGATGAATTCTTACCAAGGTGGATGCAAAGAACAAATTCTACGGTCGCTTTGAGGCTTGAACTCAGAAGTTAGGAAGTGGCGAATATGCATCGAAAACTGTGCGAACGGTTCATAAGCCTCAGCTGCCGCAAAAACGTTTCAAGCGTGCCACTCACATGAGGATGTACGCCGTTTATCGACCATCCACAATCCTGTCGCGACCGTAAGATCGATCATTCGAAAATTGGGGTGCTTGATTAACATAGGGTTACCTGTAGTATGTAGACTACTGAGGCTGGGAGTCCACATAAGGCTGTGAGTCCAACATAATACATGCCCAGATTAGCCGGGAGGACGTCCAACATATGCCAACACAGGATTTTGCGAGAGGGGCTCGAGGCGACTTACAGCTATCCTTCGATAACGAAACGTGGGCTGGCGTCACTCATCTCTCCGAAATCCGAAACCCACGAGAGCTTTCGGATACAATCGGAAACGCCCGGCTGAGAGTGCGCGGCGAAGAAACGAGAGGTAACAAAATCGCATGCCGTGCAACTGATGCATTCTGGCGTGAAGAAACATCGTCATTACTTGAAGAAAGACCGGCGAGATATCGGCTTCATCTTTGAATTCAAGGTTAGATAAAGTCTCCCCGGCAGCCATATCGGTACAAATTGAAGAGTCCAGATAATCGGTGAACGAATCAAGATAACAAAGCCGCATTCTGGATATTGAGAACCTCAGGACTTCCGGTCAGGCTGAACACCGAACCAAGGTGAAGACCGTGATGTAGTCCGCATTGAGGACATAAGTCTTCTCTTCTCTTGTGCAAACAGAAACGGAATCCAGTTTCAGCGAGTTCGAATCGAAGTCGTGCGTAGCCTTTAGATACTTTTCGATGTAGATGCTGCACAATGATGTTCAGGATACGTGGATACTGAGAGATATTATGCTCGTTCCCGTCTATCGATAGATCCATGGTAGGTCGACCTCCATAAACAGGCCTGGGAACGAACCTAAAGGGATACAACGTACATGAATATACAATCTGTCCCTCAAGATTCAAGCCTAAGACCCAACCATCCGTCTATACGGAGCCTCAAGAACCCTATGGTTTGACGAGCTGAAAGGAAAAGAACCTGTTTCCGAATGCGGAGATTTATTCTAACTTTCCTTGAACCTGTACTCTGTGGCAAGCTGCTCAGAATCAATTCTGACAAGTGATGAAATTTACTAACCGTAAATTGCACTAGTACTTACATCTACTTAGAGCGCGACTGATGGTGGCCATAAAGAAAAAGTTGTTTCGGCGCTTATTTGACGCCATCATCTTTACGGGGCCGTTTTCACCCATTTCACTGTCAGTGTCAGCTCTTTTCTCAACCAAACCATGCAATGAATCAGTCCACCAGGACAGATTAGCCTCAGCAGGTATTATGCTACTCGACGAATATAAACGCTGGAGAGGGTAATTAAATTGGAGGCCATTGGAGGCTGTATATTCGTTATCCGAGTGATTTTCTCGCTGCTACCTCCTTTGTCTTATGAGGTCTTATGCTTACGATTGCGGCTAGATTAACCTGGTTCAACTTTCGCCCTACCATGATCAACGGCCATTGATTATGACCGATGAATCGTAAGCAACGTTTTGGCTTTTCGAACTCCTTGAAAAAGTCAAACCTTCCTCGTAACGACGTTGGATTGGAACCAGGTAGAATACAGAATTTGTAACCGGAAACAGAGCTTGTGTAGTCGTCGAGGATCGGGTTCGGACAGTGGCACTTGTACGTTTTTTGGTTCGCGTCATAGAATACTCATGAAGCCTATAGGTGATATTTAACGGACATTTCAATCTTCTGATACGATCTTCAAAGATTGGATCAACATAAGAGGAAGAAACCATTCGTAACAGAGGAGAGGTGCTCACCGCTACGAGTATCCTATCCAGTCACCAGACCGAAATCGTCGCGCCACCATGCGTCTTATGTAGCAGCAGCGTCTATGTATGACGGTAATCTTTCTTAAGCTGCCTATTGTCCAATGTTCAATGGGCTCACAAGGTATTTCCTGTCATACCTATACGTGAGTTCATTTATTCACATGAGCAGGTTAAACTGTAATAAAATGCTACACAAGTTCCAAGTTTTTGCTTCTGGTGGATGCTCGTGAATGCTCGTGTGAGGTTGGTCGCCTTCTTAACTTTTGTGTTCCGACTGTGATTGTTTGCAAGTCCTCTGATATATTCGGGTATTTTATCGTATAGGCTTCAGCTGCCTGAGAAGGGCTGAGAACGAAACGCGTCCGATGGACACGCTCAATCACGTGTGAAATTTCATTCGTCATCGATACCCTTTGGGAATCCAATTCCAAACGCTACGGATCTTGCGTTGCTATAAACATAGACATGACTTGGACAATTCGCAATTGTTTCCCCTTTTCTTTGACCACTCACATTCTCTCAACATCACGTTTGCCGGTGAACGAATTAGACGCAGCTACAACGCGAAATTTGCAGAATTAGTTCTTTACTGAATACCCACAAAGTTTGTCATGGAACTATATCGTACAAGATCCATTCCTTATCTAACTTTTGCGGTTATGAAGGATTCTACGATACACGACCAGAATTACCTCACGAGTACGTTTCCATTGCAGATGGGATAAAAGAACCATCGCTCACGAGTTTACCATAAAGAATGATTCTGGAACTTCTATCATCACTATCCCGCACAACAGTCTTGCTCCTCGCCGGGCTATCTATAATCCTATACATCATCAGTCAACGCATCAAAGCGAGCACCTCCCTCCCTCTCCCTCCAGGACCTCCCGCTGATAGTATTTGGGGGAATAGTTTTGACGCTGCATTGTGAGATGTTCCTTTTATGTCATTCACTCTGATGCTCATCCTCGGATATCTAGCTGTTACCGTAGATTCGAATTATGGACACAAGAATACGGCCCGGTATTTTCGCTCAGGCAAGGCATTCCGGGTCAGAAAACGCTCAGATAGTTCTTCGTCCTCATGCTGATTATCGATACATAGGCTTTGGCGGAACTCGAACAATCATTATTGGTCGGCATCGAGCAGCAATTGAAATCATGGAAAAGCATGGCGCAGACATTTCTGACAGACCTAATTCCGTCGCAGCTGGGGATACTCTTAGCGGCGGCATGCGGATCTTGCTCATCAAGAGCGGTGACAAGTTCAAGAAGCTTCGAAAAGCGTTGCAGTCGCACTTGCAACCCAAGTCTATCGCGTCTTATCATCCTATTTTAACGCAGTCAGCTCGGCAACACATGTTTGACATCATCGAAGAACATAACGCAACGTCTAAAGGTACCAGCTCCTTCGTATCCACTCGACACCAGGATCATGCGCGACGATATGCCGCCGCCGTCGTAATGGCTCTCGCTTATGGCAAGGTTCCTCACAGCTACGAAGATCCCGAAGTTCAGGCTGTTAATCGCTGTTTGACCCGGCTCGGGTATGCTATGCGCCCAGGTGCATGGAAAGTCGATGTCTTACCGTTCCTCAAGTACATTCCCGGTTACCTGAATGAACTCAAAGTCGGACACAAGGAGGAATTAGGCCTTTTCAAGAGCCAGCTCCAAGAAGTCAGAGAAAAGCTGGTGCGGACCGTCACGCTACATCGTTTCTAGGTTCTGAATATCTTCTTTCATAGGCCCGTAGAGAAGAGATTCCAGCCTCTTTTGGTAAATATCTTATTGAAACGCAACCAATGCTGGGACTATCTGATGACGAGACCGCGTATCTCGCCGGAAGTATGTTTGGTGCAGGCTCAGACACCTCCGCTAGCGCAATCAGGTGTGTTTTCAATTATCGACTCTGCTCAGTGCAGTGAGCTGTAAAGTGATTGTTTACATCAGTGTTGCATTGATGGCGGCGACTTGCTATCCCGAAGCTCAAAGGGTTATCCAGGATGAGCTTGACAGCGTCATTGGTCGAGGAAGACGTGAGATTAGATTCGTTTTTCAAGCTCATGATCATTCGACTAAGTCTTGCTTACAGCTCCGACTTTCTCTGACCAAGATTCTCTTCCGCAAACTATGGCTTTCGTGCACGAATCGTTTCGATGGAGACCAGTGACTTCAGGTGGGTTTCCGCATAGAGCGACAAAAGATGTTATTTGGGTACGTAGCAGATGATTATCTCGCTCGTCACTCTTTATTGATCTATGGACCGGCAGCAAGGTTACTTGATCCCGAAAGGATCTACCGTTATAGGCAACGTGTGGTCTATTGGCCGGGATCCTGATCTGTTCCCTGATCCGGAGAGGTTTGACCATACAAGATGGATTGCAACGAATGAGAAAGGTCAAGTCAAACTGAGGGATGATTTGAAGAGTTATCCGTTTGGGTTTGGGAGGAGGTGAGGATGGCTGTCTTCTTTTCCACCACCCGACTCATGCTTTTCTTCCTATCTATGCAGAGTTTGTCCAGGTCAACACATGGCTACTGCGTCGACATTTCTCAACCTTGCCCTCGTTCTGTGGGCCTTCAACCTCACTTCCGATGTCAAGAAACCTATTGACACGTATGCGTTCACTGAATCGGCAAATGCGCATCCGATGCCATTCAACATAGTCTTCACCCCTCGGGTGTCGGTAAAGCAGGGAGATCGCGAGGAGAAGGGATGGGAGATCTTAAAGGAGGCGTTCGAAACATATGGATTCTAGTTGAGTAAGGGTCGCATGGATTCAGAGTACTGTAGGTTAACAGTGGAAGACAAAGAAAGCCAAATTGTAATAATGTTTTGTACGATCATAATAGCACCGGTTCACAGCCTTTCACAGTCAGCTCGTAAACTTGTGCGAGATCATACACTAGTACTGCAGGGATTCCATAGATAATGTTTCTACAAAATTTCCAGGACAAGAAAGATGCAAAAATGACAACTTCCGACGCGTCTCAGGCACTGGGAACCGGTATGGTACTGTCATATTCGCGTATTTCATGTCTCATGCACTCGGAACCGCGATGGTACTTATCATGCGAAAGCAGCATGTGGACATGATTGTTTTCGAATTCAACTCTGTTTCCCTCCGTTGACAATTATTCTGAAACGTTACATAGGAATCGTGAATCCAAACTATCTTTGATCCTGTTCCACGGTTTATCTGCTAGAACCTGCTAGAATGTCCCATGAACAGATAACTATCCCTGCGCACGCATGAAAATAACGGCCATCACGACGAGATCTATGGAGAAGATTTTAGAAGACTTCTCCAATAAATATGTGGGGTAGCATGAGCACTTGTCTTATCAGATAGCTATACTTAAACAACTGCTCGCGGGACCGATGGGAATACACGAAAGGTACCGAAAATAGCCAGTAATTCAGTTGTACTGCTCACTCTGGTTGACCAGTCGTTTGACTCCGATCATGCTACGCGATGGCTGAGGAGTTATGCGTATTGTGCTATTCGAGGAAGATTTTCTGCGGACACGAAGAGCACAAGAATCGTTCATACAAATGTACATTCAGGCTATGTTTTTCGCTAAGATTCCAAGCACAATTTATTTTTAAAAATGGAAGGACGACTTTTGCTTTCTTCGAAGACTTCACTTCTCGTCGGTGGAGCTGCCCGAACTAGCATCGATTGGACGCGAAGCTGCCTCTTCGCGACGGATGCGGCGAGCGCGACCAGCAGAAGACTCGTATCCGAAAAGAGTCGCTCGGCCCTAGAAATTGGAAGCGGTAAACTAAATATGAGAAGGGCATGGAAAATGCGACTTGCCTCTTGAAACTTCATGATAATCAAAGTGACAATGACCGCAAGCCAGTAGAATACATAGCTCAGTACAGAGCCCAGAGTGGCGCTGTTGGTCCACCCGAATATAGCGTTGAAGATGGACCAGCCAGAGTTGTCGAGATTATCTTCCGGGTTGCAACAGTCCAGATGCCAGATGTTCCCTTGAACTCGGAATGATCCCGGGCCATCGCCTCCAGAATCATCGACATCTGCGCCAAGAAGATCATTGAAAGCATTTTCCTGGAAGGCCCAAACACCACGAGAGAATAGGCCAGCACCGATAAGGAGCAGCAAGTTTGTCATTGCGATTAGGAAGATGCTTAACGCTGTTCGGGACTTGATACACAGTTATTTAAGCAAAAAAAAAGACGTTGACTCACTGGTTCGGCTACCAAATTGGTAGATCAGGAATCCGACAATTAGACCACAAACGAGGCCGACAATTGCAGCGATCGGGATTGCGGTGGCGGGTTGACCAAGAGAAACCCCTCCAATGAATATGACGGCCTCGAGACCTTCAACAAGTTTAGCAGTAAGCATCAAAAAACGAGGTAGACATACCTTCTCGCATGACAGTGATCATAGGAAGGATAAGAAGAACCCATTTACCGGCTTTTCCGTCTTTGTCGCCCTTTGTACGTCCATCGAAAGCCTTTTGGAGCTTGAGACGCCATTTGGCTTTGGCTACATAGATACATTTGAATATATAAGGTTCGAAAGTCACTGTCGAAATTGTACATGCCTCGATCCATTTTGAGCATGCTCACACCCATTACGAAAATCATGAGGGACGCAATAACATCGAAAATGCCTGCATGGAAGTAAGCTCAAGCCCAAATGAAGCTTAGCGAAATGGGAGAACTACCTTCCCAAAGTTCTTCGGTGTTAGCCCATAGGTTTGCAGCTTGCGTGAACCATACGGCGATGAAACTGAAATCAATAAGTCGCTGTACACGGTCTAGCACAGACCCTAGATACACACGCAGCTCCAACAGACAACGCGATGAGCAATCCTATACCTGCACCTGCGAAAATCTACCTCGAATACTAAGGTAAACACAAAGGTCGTCGTAATCCTGATGTAGCCTACTACGAACCTGGATACGCAATTTGCGAATGAGACGGCGGCGTTGTACTTCCTCGTCTGCCGCAACAGCAAGATCTTGTTCCGGACTGTCTTGTTTGGATTCATCAGTGGTAGAGGTAACCGTGCGCTCTTGAGCGAAACGTCCTGGATCTTCGTATACAATTTGTTCGGCGAGCCCCAACAGGACGGAGACGATGATTGCAGCTTCCAAAGTTTCACGAAAAGCGATGAAGAAAATGGGCACAGAGAACAAGTTCTTCGTCATTATGTTATTGGCTAGGGAAGGTGGGGCGCGAAGAGCAAGTGTGTTTAGACCCCATTGGTATATTTAAGGTATGAAGCGCCGCGGCAGGTTTAGGAGTTGAAAAGAAGGAAGATCTAGATTCCTTTCTCAAAGATAACGTATGGCAGGCGTATAAGGGCTGTGTCTTTGAAGTTCAAATATCGGATAAACGTCTTGTTGTGAACCAATCGTGAGGCGAGAGGGCCATCTCGATTTTCGCCGTTGACATGGTCGCGGTGTAAAAAAAGAAATTCAATTGAGTTGTTATCAGCACATGTCACTATCTGATATGATCTAGCCCCATATCAGATAAGATATACGTAACTTCTTTTTCTTCCACATTTCTGTTGTCTTTTGCATGATTCTTTCAAGGTTCTCCTGCCTTAAATCGACTCCAAATAACCACGGAATGGAACACGCTGCAGTATGCATCATGAACTCTCTAATTTTTCTCCGACTTCTTCCAAATTTCTTCCCTGGATTGACCCATCAACCAATCCTACCGCGTACGGACCTCCCTGTTTGAATTTCTCATCAGGTCCTTCTAGATCCATGATCTATTTCGAACAAACTAGGTCTGAATCGGGATAGGGGATATGTAAACGAAGCTAATAACGAGATTCTTTGCTCCAGTACCTCCCCAGTTCTGTTCGGCTTCCCCCCCAGCAATGCAGCCGGCGTCTGTCTTTCTTCTGCTGACCTCCCTCGTTTCGCCAGCTCTCGCTGGAGTTCAAGAGCTCTGGTGGAACATCACCTACGTCGAGAACGCTAATCCTGATGGACTCGCTGACCGTCGCGTTATTGGAGTCAACAACACTTGGCCGTAAGTTCCTTGTTCATGAGCCGGCATATGATAATCTCACCAAATTCTAGCCCACCTCCCATAGATGTGAACTCGACGGATTCGCTGATAGTACATATGACGAACTCTCTAGATGCTTTAACCAGTCTTCATCACCATGGAATGTTTTTTAACAAGTCCTCATTTATGGATGGTGCAGTAGGTGTATCGGAATGGTAGGCCATCGTCTGATACTTGGTATATGCCCCCCTGATTCTGATATAGTGGGACTCCTCCTGGTGGTACGTTTGATTACGTTGTACCCATAAACTCGTCCGGTCAATGGGGAACCTACTGGGTACATAGTCATGCTGGGGTAAGCGAAAACATGACCGTAGATACCTGATACATATTCACTCGCATTTTCTAGGGACAATACGTGGACGGGCTCCGGGCCCCATTGGTGCTTCATCCACCAACGGAAGTGCATTCGTATGACGAGGAATTTACTATCATTCTCGGCGACTGGTACCACACAGAACACAACGTTCTTCTACAGCAGTTCATCAATATCGCAAATCCCGGTGGTGCGGAACCTATCCCAGGTAAGTACCACTCATAGTCGATCAGGCAACCTGTGTCTAAACTTCAGTCGTAGATTCTGCATTGATCTACTTCGCTCAAAATGCCTCGTATCTTGGCCCAATTTCCGGTACCAGTCCATCTGCAGTCACCTCCGCCGTTGGTTTCAACGAGAACTCTACGCTTCCTTTCCAACCTGGCAAAACCTACCGACTGAGAATCATCAACACTTCCGCTTTCTCAATGTTCTACTTCTGGATCGACGGTCATGATATGAGAATCGTAAGTGCGGTCTACTTTCGCATATCATGTAGTAACATGCCTTCAGATTGAGGTCGATGGTACAGACACCGAAGAATATCCGATTTCTCTAATTAGTCTTGCGGTGGCTCAACGCTACTCAATTCTGGTTACTGCACGGAATGATACATCGTCGAATTGGGCCATCCACGCCAATTTTGACACGGACATGTTTGACACTGTTCCTGATACCCTTCAACCCAGTAAGCATGTTTCCGCCATCCTTTCATGTCTGACGAAAATCTCGTTTCCCAGATATCACATCATCTATCACATACTCCTCCTCCGCGTCTATCACTGACAGTGGCCCCGTCGACGCATACTTTGCGGTGGACGATACTCAGCTAGTGCCTATCCAGCAAATTGCTGCACCCGACGCTACCAAAACAATACAGCTAGTTGCTGCATTTGATACCATGGATGATGGTACAAACCATGCCATGTTCAACGAAATAACATACAACTCCCCTCTCGTTCCCGCAATTCTTAGTGAAATGACATTGGGATCGAATGCGACTGTTGAGGAGGCCTATGGCCCGCTAAGCTTCGTTGTGGACCACTTGGACGTAGTAGACATAGTCATTCAGAACTCGGATACCGGGGATCATCCTTTGTATGTGTTTCTATTATGATTTTTGACTGTGCTCCTCACTTATGCAACGACTTTGGTGCAGCCATCTTCATGGGCACAAATCGATGATTGTTGGCCGTGCGACCGACTACACGTCTGATGATCCAACGCTCAATCCTCCAATCGCAGCCAACCAAACCAACCCAGTTCGCAGAGACACTGTGCTCATCCCTGCTGGTGGATCTGCTACTCTTCGTGTTGTTGCTGATAATCCTGGAGTGTGGTTCCTTCATTGTATGTCACTTTGTGCAATCGGTATATGGAATTATCTTAAACTTTGAACCAGGCCACATTGAATGGCATCTCGAAGTCGGATTAGCAATTCAACTTGTTGAAGCTCCGCTTCAAGCCCAACAGTATGCCGATACTGTTCCTCAAGCTTTGTCCGACCATTGCGAAGCCCTCGGAAAACCTGCTTCAGGAAACGCTGCTGGAATTGCGTCCGCCACCGACCTCACGGGTCTTCCTCTTGGCCCCTTCCCACAAAACAACGGATGGCATCCAAAAGGAATCCTGGCGATGTTTGGGTAAATTTTTTTAAAAATATGTCACACATAAATCTTAGGATTACTGACTCCTTATGTTTAGTTGTGTACTCACAGCCGTTATTGGCATGTTGACGGTCGCCTGGTATTCTATCATGGGTGGTCAAATTTCGGAAGAAGAGACGGAGCATGAGGTACGAGAGGCTATTGATAAGAAAGCAAAGAGGGGAAAATTGTTCGGACTGATTAAGCCAACTGCATGAGAGACCGATCCCATTTCACTGGCGTTCCACCTCAAAATGCTAGGTGACTTGAGTAATGCCTTTCTCTTGTTGTAATTAATGTACATCTTTGCGAATCATTAGCTATAGGATTTTTCCAATCAGTTGGGGCCGAGTTTCTTTTCCAACTCCAATAGATTGTCCACGGTTTGGAGGACGGTCTCCTCCAATTCCAGACCTTTAATTCCAAGGGCCTCCATCGCAATTGTCGAATCAATCCTCGAGATCGGCTTTCCTGCAACGGGGTCAACTTCCGGAATGGGAGGGAAACGATCAGCTAGCTCGGGCCTGGCTTTCACGATGATCTGAAGAATTTGGTACATGGTCGCAGGTCCTTTGGCGAACAAAACACGCTTCCCGTATGTTGCTTCCGAATCCAATGCTTTCACATGCACTCGCGCCGTGGAAACAACATCGCAGAAGATTGGGACGCTGTCTGGAGGAATTGTCTTTGAACCATTTATGAGGGAGTAGATGGCCATGTTGGATGCATTTAGTGATTTCAAGGATGAGATAGGGTGAATAACTGGGCCGTAGATGATCGTCGCTGGTATCCAACGGTTCAGTGAGCGGCATGAATACTATGCGTACATGACATACGATTGACTGAAGTAACCTTGACCTCGGGATGCTCCTTCGCAAAATCCCAGGCAGCCAATTCGGCGTATTTCTTGGATGTGATGTAGACCATAAAACCGGGCAAGGTTCCACTGGCGGCTTGTTCGTAGGTTATAGGAAGCCTAAAAAATTCGTAAAATTGAAGGGTTCAATGATTATGATGAAACCCTGACCAGTCATCGGGCCCATATGTGGTATCGGCGAAGAGGGCTAACGAGAGATGTTAAAATAAAAATTTGAAGGGGAGGGTACACTGATAACTGGTGATACTCACATTCTGGTCTGTTTGGTAGAGTCCCTACAGTGGAGGTCACTACGAATCGTTTGACGCCAGCCGCTTGCGCTGCACGAAGAATATTTAGGGTTCCATTGATTGCAGGATCCAAAAAATCCTTGGGATCACTCAAGTCCAGGGTGAACGGTGAAGCAGAGTGGATGACAGCGGTCACACCTATCACCACGGTATAAATGTTGAAGTGCACTGACTAGTGGCATATGTACCCACCTTTCAGGGCCTCAGTATAATCGCCTGTAACTAGGTTTGGCACGACGGACGTGTCAAACTTATCAGATGGAAAGACCTTTTTCAATTCCTCTGCCTTTGTTTGTGATCGGACAGTCCTTGAGGGAGTACGAGTAAAAACTCAGATATGTTCAAACGATGTCCATGACATACCCTCGTACGAGATATCCACTGTCCAACGCTTCCTTAACAATGTGAGCGCCAAGGAATCCATTTGCTCCAGTAACCTAGAACATCATGCATTGAGATGTAGAAGACGTGGAGGAAGAGAAGAAACGAACAAGAATTCGAGACATGCTAAATGAATGGGGTTGATAATTCCCTTCAACTTCAAACTTTACCCTTTTAACGAGAAAACGAATATGACTGTCCTACGTTCGGCCAAACTATGAATTCCGAACTCCTTGCTCAACTCAACATGTTGATTGGTGAAATGAGTTATTTGACTGTCAAACCCCAAGACATAGATCATCTCAATTAGAGGCCCGACTTCCGAGCCAGAGGTACTTGGAGGCATCTTGGCTGAGAATGTATATGTTGCATCATCATTTACGGAAGAACGACTGGCCCAGTGACTCTTTTTGTTGGAGCAGTTGCTTCTCGTGGCAGTGGGCAACTCACGCTTCTGTGTTGGCCCGCTTAGTCATCCTTAAATTTAAGCGCGCTCTGCCAAAAGTCTAAAAACAATTTCCGGTTGAGATAACTCTTGCTACAATCATTAGTTTCTTCGAATTGAGTGTCAGATGAGATAAAATAGTATATATCTAGGGCGTCTTGGAACAGATTTGCTTAATTCAAAAAACTGACACAAATTGTAATCAGTGCAGTATAGCTTTGATAACAAGATCTTGATATTTCGACAAATCCTTCCAAGACGCCCTCGGTATTGTTCTTCTCTCAATGATAGCAAAAAATTTCAAACCAAAAAGTGTTGATATGGGCATGAAATTTGAGATACAAAATTGGATGTGCAGAAGCGTCACATTCGCGTGACATCACGCGTTTCCGCTGCGTACTTTCAACAAAAAATTGTCTCCGAAACTGGCTTAGAGGCCAGGATTACCTCAATAGTGCCTCAGGTATGTTTTATAGGCTTGAAGTGATTATTTCTGTGGATTTGAAGAAAGGTTGCAGCTGAAATATATATTTTATGCTCGAAGACATTTAACTATTAAACTAACATCCAAATTGATAATTGTCCAACCACCACCTGGAAACTGCTACATGGATTGTAGCAGAGTTCTGGGAGGAAGAGGAGGCAGAGGAAGAGGGGTGATCTTGCATCTACATGGGTTTTGAAAGTGATCTGAGTAAACAATATCTTCATAATTGATGGACATATGTTCAGGCAATATGACAAATTAATTTTGGGAGGTACATGGCCGCGATGTTGTAGTAAACACTGGATAAAAGAGCAAATCGACGACGGACAGGTTTCACAGTGGCTGTGCTGCTTAGTCAGTGTTCAGCCTCTGGCGGAGCTTTGCCCACTGCCACTTCTCGTTCACATCGTCTATGAGGCGGTGATCGTAATTGCTCAATGCATCAGTGTCACGAATAGTCCAGATAGAAGTGGTCCGATAGTGAGCGTAACTCCATTCGGGCTGATATCCTTCTCCCCGAAATTCGAGCCCCTTGAATTGTTGAAGCGAGTCGTAATAATTGAATCAACTTTTCTCTCTTGGATGAAGGCTGTCGGCTTTTTGTTTCACATCGTGATTTGCGGAAAAAACTTCAGAAGCCCCCAGCAGCTTCAGTGAACATCATTGAGGCGTATGACACTGACGAATTTGACCGGCAAAACCTGCAACGTCTTCTCCTAATACGCATACATCAGAGTCCATAAAAATATGTCCTGGCGTCCAAGTGCAAAATTTGTTCCCTTGTGATCTTTACTTTACAATTTTCCAAAGATCTTTCTTTCGGTAGCAATTAGTTTGTACCCAATTTCTTTTCCAGCTCCAATAAACTATCCACGGTTTGAAGCACTGTCTCTTCCAAATCCAACCCTTTGACGCCAAGGACGTCCACTGCAATTGACGTATCGAATTTCGAGAATGGCTTTCCTGCGAGTGGATCTGCTTCTGGAATAGGAGATAGACGATCGGCAAGTTCTGGCCTAGCCTTTGCAATGATTTGAAGCATTTGGTACACAGTTCCAGGCCCCTTGGTGAAGATCACGCGCTTCCCATAAGTTGCCTTGGATTCGAGGGCCTTCACATGGATCTGGGCAGTAGAAACGACATCGCAGAAAACCGGAACAGTGTCAGGAGGGATGGCTTTGGAACCATTGATGAGCGAATAGATGATCGTATTGGAGGCGTTGAGAGACTTCAGGGATGAGATTGGATGGATGACTGGGCCGTAGATCACCGTGGCTAAGATGAAGACTGTTACACAAGATTCGTTGAACATTACGAATGAATGGTACACACGATTGATGACAGTCAAATTGATTTCAGGATGCTCTTTCGCGAAATCCCAGGCAGCCAGTTCAGCGTACTTCTTGGACGCGAGATAGACTACAAAGCCGGGCAATGTACCACTCGCTGCCTGCTCGTAGGTGAGAGGAAGCCTGGTAAAAGTGAACTGTGGGTCAAGTCGTGGACCACAATAAATAAGGGACAAAGTGTCTTACCAGTCATCGGATCCATAAGTGTAATCAACAGACATCACTAATAAGTATCGTTAATACAACGAGCCAAAGAATAAAAGCATCCCCTGCTTACGTTCTGGCTGGCTTAAAACGGTACCTACTGTGGATGTCACTATGATCCTTTTGATTCCAGCCGCATGAGCCGCTCGTAGAACATTCAAAGTTCCATCGATTGCAGGATCCAAAAAGTCTTTCTTGGGATCACTTACTTCTACGGCGAACGGCGAAGCTGAGTGTATGAGGGCGGTGACATCTACATAGATCACAGATGATTAGTTGAACGTCGCGAATTCACTGTCCAGAACCCACCTTTCAAAGCTTCGGTGTAGTCCCCCGCAATCAGATCTGGTACGATCACGGTTTCGAACTTTTCAGAAGGGAAGATCTTTTTCAGTTCATCAGCTTTTGCTGCAGATCGAACAGTTCTGGAGAGAGAGTTTAATGATTGAAAACTATGTCAAATTTCAACCGACGTACCCTCGAACAATATATCCATTATCCAATGCTTCTTTGACAATGTGTGCACCAAGGAATCCATTCGCTCCGGTAACCTAAAATAATACGCGTCAAAATGGAACGGGAGAAGTACAGTCAGAGAACGAACAAGAATGCGGGACATGGTAAACACTGGCAGATGAGCGTTTCGAAGCTTCGAAAACGTATTTATAAATAATGATGGGGTGTTAGTTCGGTGAACTTAGGAACCCCGAAGTAGCGATTGTCAGCCAGTGTTGGAAGATGATGACATATCAATTTGAGTTTGAAAATGGTGGGCGGCAGTCTCGGTCTATCGTAGCTGTTGCAAAGTTTCTTGGTCAAAGGACGAACAGATATAGGGCACGAGATATCCGAGGTCTCTCGGGGACTTTGAATATCACCATCTCCTCAATCGCAGCCTTCCCGTCCTGAGGTAGCCTGAAGCGAGGCTTATCTGACACTAGGTACCTGATTTATGAAGTGCAGATCTAGTTAATCCGCATAGAAGCTTCCCGTCAGAAAGAAAAGAAAGCTTACCGAGTATCCATGTATCTCTATGTATGTCCTGTTCTTGTGACATCTCGTTTCCGCTTCAGCTTATAGCGAACGTAGAAGGGCCGAGTTAAGGAGAGTTCTGGAGGATATTAGCAGCGAAAAGAGCGGAAAAAGGCCTGTGGAGGGGAAGAGAGAGGAAGAAATATGGCTCAACACGGTCAGCCTCTGTAGTGGTTCGTGAGAACAAGGCGCTAAAGGGCGCCAACATCGCCACAAATAGTGATATTCGAATTTTCTTGATATATATCTTATACCGAACTTCTCATTGACACTCTACCTCTCTCTACATTCAAGAGATTGAAGTCGTATACTTATGGAAACTTACCCAGCTGGTGCAATTGTGATTTTATTTTGTTATTCGCGAGCATTTTACATAGCCTGCGCGCGCATGCTTGGTAAGTCTCTTCAGGTCTCTTCTGTGTATATTTCACGGACTTACCACCTCATACGCCCAGTAAATCAAGTTAGTAGCCTTTGCCAAAGGGGGTGGTTTGGCTAAGGCTGTTGTCATAGAGTACCACTATCTACCTATAGCGGAATAAAAGCTGGATATTTCATATAAACTCAGTAGTACTCTAACTTACATACACACTATATATATGCCATTGTATTCAATTCCCGACCTTGAGAAATTTACCCGACGTACACTTCCCGACGCCCGTACCCTGTGTACTTTCTGAGGCATAATAACACTTGCTACTTAAGGTACTACTTCTTTATCGTGGGCTTTACGTATATAAGTCATTGTTCCTACTAGGTAGTATTTGTAGGAGGGAGGACCAGCATTGGAGCTCGACGACGGTGTTCAGAAATGCGGACCGTGAGCGCTTATTTGCTGCCTCGTTGTTGTTGACAGCGAGCTCAAGGCAGAGCAATAGTGCAGACTGCCCTCGGACCTTGCGGGAACAGCTGGTAGTATATCTGAGCACCTCTTTGTTATCTGACTGTATTTAAATCATAGTAGAACGTTAGTCCACAAGCTGATCTTTGGTTAAGAGCTTGATTATATGTGAGTTCATTGTACTAAATGTTGAGCTCGAGCATACAAAAATAATCTGTGAGTCCCTAAATTCTGGTACAGTGCTCTGCACGCATACACGTCCAGCATACTACAAAATGAGATATATTGCAACTATGTGAGTAGTAAGAAGGCATGTCCGAGTACTTAAAATCAATGACTGCATTGTGTTCACATCCGTAAAGGTACTAAAGATTGTACTGTAGCCTATATAACTGCAATATATGTCATTTTGTAGTATGCTGGATGTGTATGCGTGCAGAGCATTGTACCAGAATTTAGGGACTCACAGATTATTTTTGTATGCTCGAGCTCAACATTTAGTACAATGAACTCACATATAATCAAGCTCTTAACCAAAGATCAGCTTGTGGACTAACGTTCTACTATGATTTAAATACAGTCAGATAACAAAGAGGTGCTCAGATATACTACCAGCTGTTCCCGCAAGGTCCGAGGGCAGTCTGCACTATTGCTCTGCCTTGAGCTCGCTGTCAACAACAACGAGGCAGCAAATAAGCGCTCACGGTCCGCATTTCTGAACACCGTCGTCGAGCTCCAATGCTGGTCCTCCCTCCTACAAATACTACCTAGTAGGAACAATGACTTATATACGTAAAGCCCACGATAAAGAAGTAGTACCTTAAGTAGCAAGTGTTATTATGCCTCAGAAAGTACACAGGGTACGGGCGTCGGGAAGTGTACGTCGGGTAAATTTCTCAAGGTCGGGAATTGAATACAATGGCATATATATAGTGTGTATGTAAGTTAGAGTACTACTGAGTTTATATGAAATATCCAGCTTTTATTCCGCTATAGGTAGATAGTGGTACTCTATGACAACAGCCTTAGCCAAACCACCCCCTTTGGCAAAGGCTACTACCTTGATTTACTGGGCGTATGAGGTGGGACTTACCAAAGACTCCAGGTAACGCGGCCTTCAAGCTAGGACACCCGCAAAATAGGACCGAACACTGTCATCCCATCACTCCTTCGATGATGACTTGCTGCTAAAAATTGATCTCCTTATTATACAGGAATCAATAGTAGATAGATAGTATGTTTACACCGAACTACGTTACTGACCGTATTAATCCACTGCTGATTCACTGTTAGATTACCTGAAACTCCGAATTCGGAGAGTAACCCAGGAACCTGATGTTCAGCTCTCGCAGTAATTTAAAGAGCTGAACATCGTTTCCAATGCAGTAATTCACCGATATGTACACATCATTATCGCGTGCACGATTCAAATGGCTCCAAATTCGTTTCCAGTTTGTTCTCACCCATGTAAGCACGAATCAGCGGACCTCTATTATGAATCAGATTGTCATCAAGTTCAGGTGCTCCAGTATGCTCGCTAGTAATATACATAGCTCTCAAATCCTTGCACGGAGACCACGCCCTAGCCAAGCCCACTTAGGAGAGAAAAGAGGTTCGCCCTCATAGAGGTACAGTTCCCGGTCTGCTCAAACCACTCCGTGTATATTGCACTGCAAAGTAATAAATAAGCTGCTTGTGTTCACCGAACCGGTCTTATGTAAAAGCCATAATTTCAATTTTACTCATTCCTCTATAACATCTGATTGGATGAGATTAACCTGAACCTCATTGTTCGTTAAAGAAAGGACCCCACTGTGACTGAGATTGACGATATATGTACACGGTCAATTGATGTGTTTAGATGCAAGGAACACTTACTGGCCAGGCTCACTGGACTCGATCTTGCCTACACAGACCCAGAAATATTTCAGATATGTACTGGCAAAGTTGTGATTGTATTCGAGTCAACTTGCAGCTCAGTGCCGCTTGGTCTCGGGTCATCATTTCGAGATACTGTAGTACATCCAGTCCTGCCTTGGATCGTTGATATCATAGCATATCCTGTTAGTCCGTGTAGTCCATCTCAGAATCCCGTTGCTCTCATACAAGAACTGATGATAATACTGTCAATAAGAGCAGAGGTAGGATTATCGTCGTCGCTGCATTGCGGGACGCAGAAGAGGGTACAGAGCTGGAGCTTGGACTCGGATTGCTATTCGGATTATTTGAAGTGACACTGGAAGTGCTTATGGCTGACCCTGCAGTAAAGCGTCAGGGGAACGACATTTTATGACCATATCACAAATGCACATACGGATTGAATCTAGCAGGGTGTCATTCAAGTCTCCAGCGGTCTCCCACATCGCGAACCCTCCTAATCCATTATTTTTTATGAATTCGCCCTGCACTCAAGAGAGACGATCAGACGGCGGGAAGGGAAATATGAGAAGGTGGGAATGAACACCCACTTTCAGTGCGAAAGATTGTACGTTGTCGTACGAGACCCACGTCTGATTGGATTTATCGTATACGAAGGGCTACGCAATTGAGTGATCAGGGAAGGAAGCCAGAAAGAATCATGAATCAACTTACCGTTTGGCTGCAATTATCAAACAGATAAGCAAAACCACTCGTCGGCGTACCATCTTCGTTCACATACCCTGCCTCGACTAAACCCCAATACGAGTATACCCCGGACGGTCCAGAGAAATTTCCACATACATCGACTCCCCCTGGCGAATCCCACTTATCTCCCAGATGCTCCGCACTCTTGTTGAACGATGGATACACATTCGTAACATTTATCGAAGAACTGGACTGCAATGCAGTACTATCTGGAACGACAAACGAATGCCCATACGCAGCGACACCGAGCAGAATCTGATCTGCTGGCATGCCTGCGTCCGTCCACGCCTTCACCGAAGAAACCGCTGATCCCGTTTGATCGTTGGTCGGTGCACATGTATCGTCAAGAGGGGAATTCGGACCAGCATGTGGAGAGAGAATATTGTAGACATCGTAGTTCATGATGGCGATGAAATCAAGTACTTTGCTGAATTCGGAGACGTTTTTGGAAGGAGCACCAGAAGTGTCATTCCACGGAAGCAGGGACGTGGCTGCCGACAGAACCAACTTCGATCCAGTGGAATCTTGCCGAAGTTCTTGAAGGAAGGAAAGAAAGTTTGAGGTATCGTTGTTGTTGATGGTATTACAGCCAATTCCTTGACGGTTTGGATATTCCCAACTGAGAAATCTAGATAAAGAAGGATTTGGGCCAAATGAAATAGAGGACGCACTCAAAATCTAAACCATCAAGATCATATTGAGTAGCCAACCCAGCCACGGTTTTGACGAAGGCGGTACGGTTCGCAGCCGAGCCAACGTTTGTCGAAAAATACTGCGAGCCACCCCAACCCCCAATTGAGATTGAAGCAGTAACATTCTGGACCGCCCCCCAGTTAGCAATAATATCACGAATATATATCATGACACGAACATTCTGATGAGCCATTTGAACGAATTGAGGCAATAGCTCTGAATCTGAATCTTGCAAAGATAGTGTTCGTACATCTGGGGTTGTTGTTCTGACCAAAGAATGTGAGGACTAAGAGCGCAGAGAAGACGAGCCAAAGAAAAAACTCACGCGAAAGCATAAGTCAACTGCGTGTACTTTGACCAACTAACTTGGCTCAGGGGAAAGTCGGCGGAGTGCCATCCAGCATACCACGATACCGAGCGCATTGAGCCAGTGGCATTGTCAGCTTTGGAGGTAGCGGCTTGGAAAAGCAAGATATTTGAAAGGAGCAGAGCAGAAAACATGAGATAGTCGTGGTGTGGGGTCGTAATAGTCACTGCGGGACACGGAGAAGAAGTTTTAGAGTTTAAGAGTTTATCAAAGAGTTTGAGGCGTTTTCATGCGAAGTGACAGTTTGAATGCAAAGGCCTTTGGAGTTGCCTGTTCAATATCCTTGTGTTACATGGTGGAGTAGGCGGGAGGGTCGAGCTTGAATTTTGTTTTTGATCATTTTAACACTCGGTCCGGCGGATTCTCAGGGTGATAAGTTCCATGAGAAAATCACATTTTACAGTGTCCATTGTAAATTCCATTCAGTAGCACAGTGTCTCAGCCTCAGCATCAAGTAAGTACACCATAGTAGACAAGAAATTGAGCCTTTGAGGCCAATGTGCTACTCTTTAATGGGGAATCTAGTAATATTGCATCATACAAAGTCTGAATGGAATTCTGGTAGGCCTACAGATACATGGCTATTACATAAATAAGTGGAAGCTTGCCAGGGCAACTGACAAGCAACACTAGAGAGAGACTCACAGACAACAGGTAAAGGTAGGTTCAACAATACAATCACAGTTGTCTTATCATCAATTAAGCATTAAGTGCCTACTCTAACAATATCTTCTGCACTTATTTTTTCTGGATACTACTATCTCATCCTACTATCCTATCCATGTTAATGTTGGTTAAGAATGCATGGACGCCCGAGTCAAATATCACTGGCAGTTGTACTTATGGAAAAAGAATTTTTATCTTCCTTTCAATATATCTCTCAGTGCGTGATATTGTGATCAGTGGATTGTCTACGTAGATGGTTCATAAAGCTAAGTGTTTGTTCCTCAGTGTTACTAACTATCCTTCTCTTAGACTATTCCTGGGACTCTAATAGTCACAAAGACCATTCTCCCCTAAACTGATACAGGACCCAACTGGATTCCTTTGCAGGTCCTTGCTTGGACTGAATAACCTTTCTTTAACATCAGTTCAGTTTTGTGACATTTTTGAATTCCAGACTCAAGAAATAACAATAGCCTGAACTTGAGAAAACATCTGCAAAACCTGTATGTTCGGCTAAATATCCGAAAGCAGTTCAGAGCAGTTCAGAGCACTTCCCAGCAGCAAAAGCACCCAGAGCAGGCTTTGATTTTTGCTTTGGGTGCTTTTGTTGCTGGAGAGTGCTCTCCAGCCAGTATCCTTGCTCTGGCGAGTATACATGTTTTGCAGATGAATTGAGTCTGGCATTGTTTACTGAAACACATAGCAATCTTTGGAACTCATACAGTAACACATATTCATAGACCACCCTGTATGGGTAAATCTGGTATATGCTAGACTCTAGTATGTATGTATACTGAGGCTTTTTGTGCTCAGAAAATCGAATTCAATGTGCAGAGTATATATGAATATTTCCAGCATTTTATTGGATATCTGCTGACCTAAGTAAATATGGGGAAAAGAAACAAAGATAGATCAAGTATCTTCCATCAAAGAGGATTGAACTCTAGAAGTTACAATTAGCCCATATTCATCAATAGATCCAATATTTCCACTGTGGCTTACACTTACCAAGGTCTATAATATACATATCTATGTTGTGTTTGCCTGGATTGGAATATTCAGTAGCAGACAAGAGGATTGAGGCATGCCAGGGCAAGCCACTGAACTAAATTTACAGTGGTGGTAAAAGCGGAATTATATACGAGAAATTGCCGGACCGAGTATTCAAATGATCAAAAACAAAATTGAAGCTCGACCCTCCCGCCTACGAGATACATGGAGCTCTTCGGTGGTACGTTGATATGACGAAACCAAAAAGACCCACCTGCACTTAATGATTACTGTCGGTGACAGTAATACCTTCTGTATGAAGGTGGCGAATAGAAGAAAGCACATTTGTTCATCTATTTTTCAGCCCTGTCGATGGTGACCAACTTCAAAATCAACGGAGTTGAGGAAAGGTGACAAATTCCCACGCCGAATTTGGACTTCGATAACTTTAAGTATCTTTGCATTATGTATATATAGTCCCCGGTTTTAAAAATGGCCATTATTACCATGCATAATGTACAATGAAAAGAACGTTCCCAAAGTGTCTTGTGGTTTGTGATCAACTGAACGCAATTCCTCCATCCACTAGCATCGTCTGGCCCGTAACATAATCCGAGTCAGAGCTAGCAAGAAACGACACCATCTTCGCCACATCTTCCGGAACACTAGTCCTTCCCAAAGTTATCGTGATCTTCGTCTTCTGGAAATTCTCTCCCTTCGGCAAACCATTGATTTCGCTCATTCCTCGGTCTATTGTTTCCCACATGGAGGAGTCCACAACACCTGGAGCATACGCGTTCACCGTGATTTTGTCCTTTGCGAGCTCTGTAGCGAGGGACTGCGTGAGACTACGAACAGCAGCTTTGGTAGCACTGTATATAGGAATCATGGGGAATGGTCGGAAGGAGACGACACTGAAACACAATACGAGGTGTGAAAGACCGCACTCGCGAGGCGAAAGGAAAAGGCTGAACAACTCACCTCGCAGCATTGATTATCTTTCCCCCCGATCCTTGCTTAATGAATTGCCTCGCAGCCACCTGGTCTGAGTATATTACACCACAGAAGTTCACTTCAAACAGTCTTTGAATGTCAGGCTCCTTTGCATCCATAGCCCATTGGACTTGCGCGATCCCAGCATTTGCCACCATTACATCAAGGGGGCCAAGTTCATTTACAGAATGATCCACCATTGCCTCAACCTGAGGTAATTTGGAAACATCGCCATAAGCTGGAACAGCTTTCTGACCTAAAGCTACGATCTCCTCAACCACCTAAGAGCGCGATTGTATGGATTATAGGTTCAAAAATGGTATCGAGATAAGACGCACCTTTTTGACCAAACCCGAATTTGCCTCAAGATCGTTCACACAAACATCGAAGCCATCTCGAGCTAGACGCAGTGCAATGGCTTTACCACTACATATATATTTGTTGAATATCGCAGGACAAAGTTGGTGATAAGAAACTTTCAACACCTACATTCCCTGGCCAGCGCCGGTAACGATAGCGCTCTTGGACACAGTCTTTGAACTTGCGAATCCTCTGTGGCGAAACGAAGCTGATAGGAGCCTGGTTGTTGGATGAAGGAAGGGGCGCGCAGTAGTCGAGAAACATGCAAACATGGTCTAAGAATGGTGGGCACAACCAGTCGAAGGTTACATGCGACCCAATATATATCTTTCCGCGAGAAGAGTCAAGAGACCAAAGACCCGAGATACTCGTCATGTGTCCAGCTCAACTCGGAGGCGCGAGCGGGAATTGCTACGCTGGTTGTACCGTGACGGTCCGCAATGCGTCTTTTCTGATGCGCGTGGGTCCTGATTGTTCCTCAGCGGGACGTGACCGATTTCCCTACTCCTCCTTCTTGCTATGTGTAGAGAAACCCACGTGCAAGCTGAACTTTTCATTGTCTGCTATGTGGTATTCCGAATTCCGAAACTCTGAAGCGAGCCAAGAGGGAACACATATTTGAGTCGGCGGCGTATATGTTTATCGGATTTACCAGAATGGACACCACCCTACGCCATCCCAGTAATCAGTACTTTTTAGTACATGACATTTCTGTGTTGAAAATTCAAGAAAACCAACGGCTCCATAGGACCTCTGGATCTTTGCGAGTCCCTGAATACATTCATGAGCTTCTTTGAGTGAGTAACAAGTTCCAAAAGCCTACACAAGGTCGATAGCACGGAGCACGGCATTTTGCCGGTATTTTCTAGCTTTCAAATTGGCGGAATTCAAAATGTACGAGAAGAGCTACGATCCCACCAAGTGATAATCAGTAGTATCGAGTTCTGTTTCGCCTTTAACATGGAGAACTTCAACAATGCGCGACTGTGGTGAATGAACAGTTGAAAATAAAGCAAGAGCTAAGAAGTTTGCCTGACGTAAGAAGAGCGTCTGATTCTACATAGCCTTGCACCTCAACCACCACTACAGCCATGCCATCGTTCTCTCTTCAACCGCCTATTCCATGCTGCGGCTTATTGCTGAAACTCGGGTCATGATCAACTAACCTGTATGATTTTTGGCGTTTTTTTCTAGACCCCTCTGCCCTGGTGCCATGGGCGTCATAAACATGCGCCGTCAGGCTGCCCCTCGACCTCCAGCACTCGAAGAATACCTCAAGGCATTGAAATAAAGAATCCCCTTGACGATATTCCGTCAAGATTTTTATACAGCATTTCAAGAGATCTCGGATCGTCTACACATTGTTTTTTTCTGCGCTGCTACTTGCATCCCGGTGGAACACATTTGGATGTTTCACAGGAATCGCGGCTTGCCTCAAGGCTACAATGTGCTGCTCGAATGCCGGAGAAAATATGTACTATGTCGGTGTCTGTGCCCTGAGCCACATTCAGTCTTCTGACCCCTCGTCGTTCTTCTTCCAGCCCTCTCATTCGTTATCACAATTCCTCAAGATACACGCTGCTATCTCGCCCCCTCTCTGAACGGGGTTACGTCAACCGGACTGCCTCTATCACCCGCCGAAAACGAGGTGTTCGCCGCATTTCGTGCCACGATTTTGTGCGGTTCATTGGAAAATCCAAAGTCTCGGAAATTAGCTCCAGATATGTGCTTTATCTGTACTTCTAGGTGCCGCATTGTGTGCACAAAGTCTCAGTTTACGGCCTTCACCTGTCCTAAATAGCACATTCCGTTTGTCTACAGGGTTTTCTTTCAAGTTTCCCGATTTAGGTCTTCCTTTGTATTTAACTACGGTTATGTGAATGATGGACCTGGTCGAATCTCTCTGACACTTGGGTGCGTCTTCTTCCTTTCTCTACTCATGAATGTACTGGCCTGAGTTTGCCCCCCCTACAACAGCATAAATCAAAAATAAATGGCCGTACGAACACAATCGATTCTTCCTATGCTCTTTCTCTACCAACATTGTGCCCTCGATTGGATTTTGTCGCAATTTACGATAATTGTAAGCTCTTCGTTAAGCGAAATGGCCCCTTCGTCGCCACAAATCGAAACCCAGAGCACACAATTTCAAAGTGCTTCGAATGCTTCAGAGTCATCCTTCAAACAGAGGACGCTGGGAGAAATTATCGCAAGTGAGTGGGAGAAGATGTCGGAGGAAGCTCAGGGTATTGAACGGGTGAGGAGTAGGCGAAAGGAGCGAGAGGATGAGGAAAATTATACAGAGGGACGTAGACGGCTTCAAAGGTTACACAGCGCATCGCCCGGGTTATGATACGGTTCGTCCCGCTCGTTATATACGAATTCATGTCTCTGAAGACGACTTTCTAGGGTTTTTTTGGGCCGATATCAAGCTCGACTCCGCCGTGGCGTCGGGGCTCACCTTCGAACATAAAATCGTACGATCTCCGTATTATATCTTCGCCGCAAATAACCTGATTATTAAAATCTGGAGCAATCGTCGACTTTTTTTACGGCGTCCTTTCGCCCGTTGTATTTATCATATTCGTATTCACATCCTCGCATCGGTCAATGTTAAATTCTTCTATTTGTTGCTGCATCCATATTTTATCCTTCTGCACATACCAACCACATACACTCTATGTTGTAGAGCATTCGAAGCCTCTCGATTGGCGATAAGTCTAATTGAGTAAAAGACATATCGGCTGTCGATTTTCGGTCGTGATAGAAGTCGCTTTGTCCGGCCTTAAAGGGGTATGTTACTATGTTTTCTGTTTAAACTCTGTCTATTTGTATAGTGATTTCGAGTGATATAATTGACTGTCCGTATCATCGCAGATAGTATAATATTTATCTGCGCTGTTGCATCATGCTAGCGGTATTTCTCTCCATCATTATGCATCTGATACCAGTCTGACAGGATGCCCGTGGTTGAACGGTTTAAAAAGGCCTGTGTACGATTTGGACAACTCCAAAACAATAAAATCCTGTAGCCAACACCAACAGGCAGCGACAGGCGTGTGTGTGTCACTGTGAGTCAGTTAATTCGAATAATATGATTGGCGTACCGTGATAGCGACGATCCCAGCATTGAAACTCGGGGTGAGCTTCTCCTCAAGTTCGCAACGAATTTTTCCTTCCCAATTCATATTTTCTTGTTTTTGTCCTGGTTGATTCCCTTGACCAGGCAACGATAGCGCACCTTCAACAGGAGGCATCGGGGAAAGCTTTGCCTCTCCAAGAGGGAAATGCACTGCGCTCTTGTTCCCGTTCTTATTGATCGCCACCTGCCTCAATAAATGAACCCGGAATAAGAGTTCTGAGACCACGTTGATTTGAGCCTGATTTAAGATTCATAGTAGAAGAGGAGTGCTTACTATCCGTGCGTAACACTGACTGCAATTTGGCGAGGGAGCCATTGTTCGATCCAACAATCTGAACATGGAAGGGGATTGCATCCCTGATGTCGAATATACCAACGGATGGGAGAAAAAACTAATCGAGTTGTTAATAATTTTTAGGCAAATGATTCTCGATGAGCACCTGGCATGTCAGCGACTCCGAATGATATTTTCCAGATTTGGGGCCCGGGACTATCTGGTACGAAAACCGACGCCACTCCTCAGGACGTTCTTTGATGGTCGTCAATAATGAAAGCTCTATCACAGGCCGAGGAGGACGTAAACGAGGCGAATTTTCGAGCACAAATGTATTATGCCTTGAAATATAAATTTATGAGCAAGAGGTGACAAAAAGAGAAGTAAACGATGATTACTTTCTACTTTTGCCTAGAAAGGCTGTACGACGCGACCTTGCCTTGATAATCTCCGCAGAAAATTGGTATGTACATTTCGCATAGTATGCTTGCCTTTGTTCTCCTAATAGTACATAATACGAGGGGGGTAGAAGATATTCTTGGCCGTTATACCGGAAGGTGCTGGGTATCGGACATGAGAACGGCAAAGAGCTTGGACAAATTGACTGAGATGGCATGTCATCGCCCGAATTAAAAATCGTATGCGCTTGGTCGATGATATTCACTGATAACCATCCTGTGGAGGGAGAGACGGTTTCTATAACACCTGTGAGCTATGTAGACATCAATATCTACGAGTCAATAGCGGAGCTCCCCAGTTCCAAAGCAGATTTTGAGTACAGTACCTTCACGGTGACTTCTGACACAGACTCAGGTGCGTCTACTAGTAGAGTACCTTCGATATTTGATTTTCGACCGAAGACTGGAGTAGGGGTTTTGTCTTCTTGGTAATTAATAACGACAGTGATCCCCTCTTCCTGGGAGACAAAGACACCAGTTGGACGTGTGTCGGAGCCTTGCGACTGGCGTATTTGCTGGTACACGAGTCTCTCCTCGTTTGCCCTAGGCTCGGAAGAATAATCCGGTATCGGATAGTCAAACGAATCGTAGGACGGCGGTGGCAATGACATAGTAGAAGACTAAGATTCAAGAAAGTGGTCAGGATGAAAAAAGAAAACAAGGAAGAGTGCTGATTTTTAAATACACTATCCACCGTGATTGAGACCTAAAAGACTAGAGTGGAGTCATTTAGAAATTCTGCGCGCTGTGCATCCGTTTCGCAACCGGGATACTAGACCGCCGGCTACATTCTGCCGCAGTGAGATTCCATTCTCAATCTGCGATAACATGTCTATAGTTTGTAGTGGCGCAGTTACAAGATAGGAAGTAAGAAACACAGTCTCGTCACTATTCATTATCACCGTATACGATACTATATTAACAACTTTGCGAGATGATAAGCGCTGGAAATGCGAACGTCTAAATTCGCACCTCCATTCACTAGAGGGTTGCCTCCTCGCAGTTCCTGTCATTTGACGATTCACTACCATCGACAATATCGAGTGCTTCGGTATACATCCAAACAATACCTGCGCCATCCTGAAAATCAACACCTAGACGCTCAAACTTTTCAGCCCACAATATGTAATGACCCAACGACAAGGTGTGATTCTCGACCAAGTAGTCCACCGTCCGGACCGTCTCCAAGCAGGGGTACAGCGACCTAGTCGCCAGCGTCTTTAAGCATGTTTTGCCGCTGTTAGTCTTGCCATGTTCAAAGGCCTCGGACTTTAACCCGTGAATACCAACTCGCTTCACAGTAGGATGATGAAAAGTAGGAGTATGATTTACATGAAACGTAAGAGTTTCGAGACAAGTACAATCCCGGAAAGGGATATGGAAATTATATAATCTGTTCTGGTCGTCGATACCCAATGAAGGTAGAATATGAAGCGTTCTGAGAGCGATGCCGCGAGTTTCGAGAAATTTTCTGATGTATGTACTGGACTCCGACGCATTGGATTCGAGGCGTAGCACGAGGGTGTGCAGTCTGGGCATGGAAATCGATGTCGCGAGGGACATGCTACCAGTGTGAGTGGATATGATAAGATCTTGGATTAAAGGGAGGGATAGAGATATGTCCTTTGCCCGATGTCGTAGGACGCGGCTGATGTCAAGTACGCGAAGGGACTGGAAGGAGGACAGAAACTTTGCGAAAGTCGGAGGATCTGGGCACGATTCCGACCAAAACAACCCTTGTAGCGTTGGTCCACACATCTGGGAGACGCTCTGCGGAAAACCAGCAGGTAATGCGTGATTCCACGACCCACTGATAATTCGTAAATTTGGAGACTTCTGAATGATATGACAAATAGTTAGGAGAAAGTTATACGCGTGAGAGCCCCGAGAGTGGGTATATATCTCAAGGTGTCGCGCAAATCGGCCATACTCGGAGGGCCTGGTGGGAGTCGTCGCATCTACTGGTATTGGAAGACGTGACTCCAAGGCGGAAAGAAGAGATATTGCTCGTTGTGGACTGCGAATAACGAGGTGGCGATATAACAACGGAATGGCGACGTTCCTCCACGAGCGACACACAAGAACAAGGGCACATTTCGTACGCATTGTTGAAAGGGCAGTGTTGGGACCTAGTGCATTACGGGAGATTTGCTGCGGGATGAAGGGATCCAGAGGCAAAATGTTTTCCGCTTCATGAAGATATGTGGCGAATTGGAATATCTCCGTCAGCACTTCCACAGGTAGATCTGGAAAAGATGGTGGACTTTGACGGAATATAACAAAACTGGGAACCAATCGTGCAAGAAAACGGCCAGTTTTAATGATGTGCGATAACCAGGCTATATTTTTCCAGCCTAATGGAGGCAACGGTTTGTATAAGCGTCGAAGCAATTCGTAAATCATAGATCATGATCAAGAACAGAATGTCAAAATAAGGTGTAGCATATGTACACTCGTACAACCCTAACCCACAAATCACGAGCGCTTATATGCTCTTCTCCCCAACGTTCATGATGAACTTACTACGCCTAGGAGCTCTGCTCTCTGCTCTTCAATTTTCTTTGGCGGTGGACGTATTCCTTAATCCTACACCCTCTCTGCTGAGGACTACACTCTCCCCCGAAGATGCTAGCTCAGCTCTATCACAACATCTTGGCCTTGAGATTTTCGAAGTTCTCCAAGACCAATCGAGACCAGTGTATAATGATGACTCCATAGAATTCGTTGCTACTGGGCTGAAGAACGCTCTGATTGTTACCATGGAGCATTCAGACGCCAAAGGTGAGTTAACATTTCTTCATTGCTCGTGCTTGTTTGATCAATGCCCTCTACTAGTTATCCTGCCATCTTCTCTTCCTCCTTCATTCAAATTATCCTTGCCTTATGCTCGTATACCATCCCTCTCTTTGGTTGCAAGTACATATATCCGTCGTGCCAAACATGCTTACTCGGCGATCTATGTGCCCAACTTGTCCATTTGGAATCCTTTCGAGTTTCTCTCATTGGAAGCATCCTTGAGTGACGCAGAGGGCTCTATATTTGCAGCGCTAGATCTTGCAGCTCTTGCAGACTTGCGTGAGCAGTATGGTGCTGACAGCATTGAGTATGAACGTGCCGCGGAATTAACGCGTGTATTCTTACAAAATGCTCTTGGAAATGGCGAGCATCTTCAGCTTGCTATTCTAACTTATTTTTCGACTCCTACATACCCTCAACGTCGATCTACTCCTTCTCAAGTACCTTTACCCGGCCACGCTCCGCCTCAGGAACCTATTGGCTCGATTTCCACCTGCTTCACCAGCGCGGACTCTTGTAGCAATGCTACTTCTTCTTGCTCTGGTCGAGGCCAGTGCGTTGAGGCTTCGAAATCTGGACGAACCTGCTTCGTTTGCACCTGTTCCGCGTCGAAAAAAGGAGAGGGTAACAAGGTCAAGACCGAAATATGGGTGGGTGAAAGCTGTGAGAGAAAAGACATCAGTGGGTACGTATTTTGTCATCTTTGTTGGTCAATGGTTCTTATCCTTTCTCCAGGCCCTTCGTCCTTTTTGTCGGTCTGACCCTTGTGATGCTCATCTTGGTCTTTGGCTCCGTCTCCCTACTCTATGGTGTAGGAGAGCAAATGTTGCCACCTACCTTGACCGGTACCGCTGTAAATGCAAAGAAGGATTAGCCGCTAGGAAAGCTGCTTGTGTCCATGTGCATGTTCTTGTTATTCTACCAGCTGCGCACTAATCATGTAGCTTGACAATCAGTTCTTCTGGTGAATTCAAAGCGTATTGTCGTATTAGATCTGTCTAGCGCCGCGCAAACTACCGCAATCATCTATCAATACGTTCAGAGTATGTATGTACCTTAATTTCGACCTGCGCGTCTACACTATTCACTCTGCACACTGGATGAAGAGTATCGCCATATCTCGGAACAGATTGGCAAAGAGCAGAAGGCGAGAAAGTCTTACCTGATTGAGTCTACTTCAATAGGATAGGATATAAACTATGGTCCGATACCGGAACAACCAGTCTGCTTGATTGCATTCATACATCCTTTCCCGGTGTAGTTTGCTAAATGAGCTGGATATATTGATACACGATAAAGTGGTATATATGCAATAGCGCGCGGCATGAATGGGAGCGGCGCAAAATCGGGGCTTGGGTATGATAATTATTTCTTCCATGTCAAATTTTTCAAATGACTTGAAGCTATGTTTGAGGTGAAAGCTCACCTGTATACCAGGGGACAACCGCGTGGACGTTACCGAGCATCTCTCTCTACAGCGGTCGCGAGGCGAACAGCATCAGCGTTTTTTCGTCTTCTGGATGTCGTCGATGGGGTGGCATAGATTGAAGGTATGCCAGTGGCGCTAAATTCTCTGGAGTAATCTGCCCTAGAGCGGGGGGCCGCTTTCGAGCCTGTACACTGCCGGAGGTCATATATTGATGGGACGAGCTGTCGGTGTTCATCCACTTCCTCAGTGTGGTTGCCGTTATTGAAGAACGATCTGAAGATGACGATTGTGAAGAGCAATCGGAGACCGAGGGTGGACTTTTTGGTTTGTAAGGAATGTATTCAATCCTTGGAAAGTCAGAGTCCTGGTCTGGATTGAATATGTGGTCTGGTCTCCCTTTTGTTGAACGAGCACTTTTGTATTTTCCATGTGGGACAGGGAGTGAAGCGAGGTGGGGCACATCATCGACCGTCCGTAAGTGCGGAAGCGATTCTTCATTAAAGTATGCGACTGTCAATGGGTGAGCCTGAGCACGTTAGTGGCCATGGCTTGAAAACAAGCCTACTAACTTAGATGCCACTTGCGCTGTCCCCTAGAGGTCTCCACAAAGACGGTGTACGTCTGTTTGATCAAGATTGTGCGAGACGAGCTGTTCGAAGACGAAGGTCTATATATCTTTGTTAAATTTGTGCAGCTTCTCGTAGATGGAACCAAGGGTACTTGTTCAACAGTCCTGCTTCGTCTGAGTAGAGGAAGTGATGGTCTTGTTTCTCGTGATAGAATAGAAATCCCTAATTTTTCCCATTCATAAGACGGTCCCAGGTACTTGGCTATATTTCTCACCTCTCTAACCCTAGATGGACCCCACCGAATACCTGTGACTTTGTGAGGATCTTCATCCGGCCTAGGAGGGATGAATTTTCGTACCGTCTGTCCACCGCTCAATGCCAACCTAGAGAAGCGTAATCGTAATCAGCAGGTAAGGGACAATTACAAACGTTCGACTTACTCCCGTAAGATCACCATGAGGACCCCGTTCCTCCCACACATAAACTGATCCAGGGGAAATCAACGCTCGCTCCTCAGCGTCAAGACGCCTAGTGACCATTGGCAGCAAGTTGAGCAGAACGGCATGAAAGATGACACGAGCATCCGCAGGAGATCTGATTCGAATATCGGTACACGTTGTGCGTTGCATTAGTACGATGGATTGTTGCTGGTCAGATGGAGAGAGAAAGTGGGAAAATGACATGCACTCAGAGGACCCCTCATTGAAATAACCATAACTCTCGTCCGCGAATAGCAGTTGACTGATGGGTCTATAGCCTTTTTGGGCTCCTGTTACGGCACCGAATCGACAGGATTGTTAGATGAGTGGAAAATGAATGCCATGGATAGAGTTTTAGATACAGAGAAGAAAAGAGAGTAAGCAGATCTAAATAGCTCATGATTAAAGTCCGCTTTCCAGAGATGACCGAAGAAGATTTTTTATGCGAATGAGCATGTCGCCGTTATTGTGGGCAAAAGAAATTATATCTTCTCCCAAATAGCATCGGAAGAATAGCGCAACTTACCATTTGTGACATTCGGTCGTTGCCCCTACCTCAGGCTTGTAATTTCGACTTCTTGAATGATATATTGACTGGAGTCTGGTAAGGACAGAGTGTGGAGCCGCTGGATATCAATGCTATAATAGCCTGGGCTGGTTTGGTCGTTCTTTCCCAACACCACCGAATCTTATATGAATGACCGCCGGTACAGTTAGCTGCGAGTGTCCTTAAATTTATAAGACGTCCGGAGAGATTGAACATTGTACGCCGTTTTCAATACTTCAGTTCGTGCTTATAAGGGGCTATGGCGGTCGATTGAGAATACCTTGAACGTCCTGAACGTCCTCAACTTGTGAACTTGTTTGATGAAGAGACGTTGCCGGGATGTAGAAAGCCTAAACGTGAGAGTTCCAGGGAAGAGCGGCGTACACTTCACGTATAACAATAACATCTTGATAACATCCATTTGTCGAGTACTAATATACTTGACGCGCGATTCGGGTAACAGCGGTTTCAAACAATTGACAGAGGAGATCGGAAAATACTTCAAAGCTTTTCCTGACTCAACAATCGCACGAAAGGGAAGTTAGGGTGCGAAGCAGAAACTGGAGCAGAGGCGATTCGTATAAATTTCTCCAGCATTTCGCCGGTGTATTATCATGAGGAAACAGGAAAATTCTTCCAATAGCACCCGCGCGTTGTTCACATTTATCTGTCGGTGGCTGATAGGGAGTGGCAGGCAAAAATTCTGTTCAAGATATATGAATACTCACAATTAATTGTAACAGCACCGCCGACAAATGCTGCTACTTTTGTCCTGTCGTGTCTATCAGGCGACCGTGTGCCCGCTCTCCCTCTTTCACAATTCCGCCACGTGGTTGAGATATACGTAGCTGGAAGACGCCGACCACCATTGAGATCCTATGTCATGGTGTGGCTACTTGTCCAAGGGTGTCCGTGTCCAAATTCTCAGCAAGGCAAATTCCGGTATAGTCAATAATAAGCTCGGATCGTCCACAACTTATGTAATGGAGGCTTGCATAGACTAAGTGAAGACACAGAAGTTCAAATAAAAGAAGAGCAAACAGGGGCGCTGAGCCTGACCAGTAGATGTAGTGTTGGACAGCCAACATGGTTGCATTCGTGGAGTCAATCTTCCACAACGAATGTCAATAGGTGAATATTTCGACTATTTTCGCGGTTACAAAGTAAATAAGGTAGGCATACACCTAGGAGGTTTCGAAAACCCCAGAACCCACGCAATGAAGGCGACGCCATAGGAGTTATCTCTGTAAGCTTCTCAGAAAGTATAAATATCCAGGTGAATCTACGCACATTCTATCGCCTGTATGAGGTCATTGAAGAAGTGAATCAACGGCCTATGCGGAAGCGCTGAAGTATCAGAACATACGCCACACCATAAGGTGTATTGATTGAAGAAGACTCGAGAGGAATTCCACTTTTTCCTTGTACTATTATTTGGCACTATACATATATTCATCAGCATGGACACCGAGGACATCGATATATGGAGACACTGAGAACCCCTCGAGGATCCAGAGTTGAGCCTACATACAGGGGATTTTGGTATCAATGCGGCGGTGGAGTCGTTTATGAGTGACGAAGGTGATTTTTTATGTAGGATGGGAGAGGATAGGATATAAATTATACATGCGAGTTCCGATGCCCGAACGTAGTTGAGCGCCTGAGCATCCAACGAGGGACCGTGGAACGATTGATTGTGAAACTGAATTCATGGGCTGTAATATAACGCATTGCAGAACACTGACGCAATGCGGTGTTCTGCAATTCCGAACCCATTTCCCAAGAATGTACACGAGGATGGAGCCTGGAGGGATCGTGTGGGATTTTTCGTGATGGCAATTGTAGAATGCGTCACCAGCGGGCAATGTATTTGAGTCAAATAAGACGAGGACCCATAAACGTGAGGAAATACTCGTGCCTGTGCTCCTGGACTGCATGAAGTGGCTAGAGCTAGCTTTGACAACTTAAGTTCAAAAACAACACATAAATTAGTACCTGCTTAACGTGGAGGTAAATGACCACTCAACAAATTTCCCTTACTCTCTATCTTAACCTTTGACGTTCTTGAATGGTCAAAGTATGAGGATGATACCGTATCGAACAAGCCACAATCTCAATTCATCTTCATGAAATACCGAGAGATATCAGTACGTTCCCATGTTATTCATCGAGTTTATAGAACAATCTACATATCCAAAGATGTAATGTATGATATGTCATGCGAACAACCTCTTATTGTACCTTGAGAAACTGGTCAATGCAAGTACAAAAAGAAGAGCATGATAGCTTACGAGTTGAGACCATGTACCCCTCCCTCGACCTGGGCGCTGGCAGTCCTCAGTTCAAAACGTACTTTTCCGCTCGATACACCTTCCCTAAGTTCCGACACGCTCCTGACACCGATGTCTTGGAACGAGTGCTGAAGTCCAACATACAGGTAAGGAATAAATGCTTTCACACTACCCTTATCTTGGACATCGCCACTTACGCCTTGGGCGACCTTAACAGCGCTGCTTTCGGAGAAATAACGAGATGTAGCAGCATTTTCAAGATCGTTGTCCTTTTTGGGGGAAGGGTATTTACTTGAACCGGATTGCACACCGTTGACCTTGGGTTGGACGCCAGGCTTACCCTGCTCCATAGCTTCCAAGCTTCCCATACCACGATATGCCTTTACCCTCTTGCCTTCGTGGTAGAAATATTCACCAGGCGCTTCCTCAGTGCCTGCAAGGAGCCCACCCATCATCACCGCGCTAGCGCCGAGAGTAACCGCCTTGACGATGTGGCCGATATTCGAAATCCCACCATCAGCTATGACAGGCACGCCGAATTTATTAGCAAACTCGGATACAGCATACACTGCAGTGGCTTGTGGTCGGCCAACAGCCATGACTTCTTGGGTGATGCAGATAGATCCAGAGCCCATCCCAACACGGAGACCATCAGCACCTGCGGCAATGAGAGAGGCAGCTTGCTCGCGCGTCACGACATTCCCTGCGATGATTTCGAGCTTGGAATATTTCTCCTTGATAAATCGAATCATGTCGATCTGGTAAATCGAGTTGCCTTGGGAAGAGTCCACGACGACAATGTCGAGTCCCGCTTCGACAAGGAGAGCAAGACGTTCCCTGTCAGAAGGTCGCGTGCCGACGGATGCAGCAGCATAAAGCTGCTTAGTTTCCGGATTTTTAGAGGCGAGAGGATAGGATTGGTTTTTTAGGAGGTCGGATCGGGCAAGGAGGGTGATAAGATGACCTTTGGAATCGATGATGGGGAGTTTTCCTTTCTTCGAATCGCGGAGGATGTCGTTAGCTTCCAAAAGAGTAATTCCTTGAGGAGCAGTAACCAAATCGGTCACCATAACATCGGATAGAGACGAGGATGGTTCTCGGAACTGTATATCACGCGAAGTGACGATTCCGACTAACTTGCCGCCGAGCATACCGGTATCTGTTAGTGAAGAATGTCAGATTCGTTCGAGTAAAAGTTCAAGACGTAAGTAGATCGGTCTTATGTTCATCGGAAGATTCTTTTCTCCAAACAAAGCTACTTACCAGTTACAGGGATACCACAGAAGCCAAGTCTCGCTTTGATGTCAAGGACATCAGCGACAGTATGGGAAGGAGAAAGAACAACGGGATCGGAGATGAAGCCGTTTTCATGTCTTTTGACTGCACGAACCATTGCGGCTTGTGAAGCGGGTGTTTGATTGTGATGAATAACACCAAGACCTCCAAGTAGCTAAGTCTGAAATATCAAAATCGAAGAGCACTCGGAATACAAGAAGTACACGTACAGCAAGTGCGATGGCCATGTCACCTTCAGTAACAGTGTCCATGGGACTGCTCATGAACGGAGTTTTGAGTACAACGTTCCTGGTCACACGAGATTCGATGATAACATCTGAAGCAGGAAAGTTAACTTTTCCTGGAAGAAGAAGAAAATCGTTGTAGGTGAGACCCCCGTTAACACGGGAGTCCATGAGTTCGTTTACGGATAAGCCATCGGAGTGATTGTATGTCTTCAAGTGCTCAAGAGCGGTTGAGGGATCGAGAAATGTAGAGGACGTTGAGGGCATGTGGGCGTATTAGCCGAATTTTTTTTTCTCATGGAAAGGTTTATAAAGCGCTATTTTTTTGCACGTGGTATCGGTCCGGGTCACAATTGCTGACTATGACTGAAGTTGCTGCACGACGACCACGACGTTTAAACGGGTTGAGTGATTTAGTCCATTAAATTTACTACCCGTATCCATCACTCTTCGACTTTCTTAGCAGGGGAGCTTCCGTCTGGCACCAACTTGTACAAATTCATTCTTCTTCGATCCTCAGGAAGATGGTGCACTAACTAGCACTGACTGTACTTGATCGATAATTCTCAAGCTGAGTGGCGACCGCGGAACCTTTTTCCTAATGACTTCGAGCGAAGAAGATTTTCGCCGTTTGTTTCTTCCTGTGTACATTCAAGACGTAAGACCGAATACCAAATGCTAGAGCTGAACACAAGTGACACGAGCCGTTCATGGAGTCCGTCAATAAGATCTCCAACGCGTGTGGACGCTACAACTCTCTACAATTGCTATAATGCAACAACATCTCGCAAACATGCAAACATATTTTTATATCTCACGGTTTGTTCTAAACCTCCGAAATGGTTGCCTGGTGAAATCAAATTTATCTCCAACTCTGGACTCTGGAGAGCCCTCAATTTCAACGGAACCGAATGCTGAAGACGTTCGGCAAAGTGATAATCGAATTATCTTGGACCTAAAAGGCTCCTTAAATCTGCCCGCAAACAGATTTTTTGTCTACTGAACGATCGCCAGGGTGTCAACAGACTTGGCAGCTTTTGCTAAACGTATCCTTGTGCGGCGTGACAAGCTTTGGTATTATGGTCTCCTCTCACCACATGCGCCCGGACAGGGGAATGATCGCGATTATTGCGCCAAACCTATCGTTGTGCCTACGTCCTGACTAGTCCCATTTCATTGCCTGTGCAAAATGTACATATATCTCTAGTGTATATCAATACATAGGACAAACGATGGACTGAGGGGGAGGACAGGCCAGACTATTTCCGAAGTCGAATCATAAATTTTTTTTCTTTCTACGGAATACCCGACATAACCGAGATAAGTCTCCGACGGTGTAAATTTTTGGCCTGCTAAGCTGCATACGGAACTTGGGACTGACAAGTTGCAACGAACAAAGTCGAATGACTCTTGTCCTGGAAGACATTGCTCCTTTCACCGTATTCAGCTCTAGTCTGTTTTGTTGCAATGATCAATCGGGAATAAGGCGGAAAAAGAAACAAAAGTTGAAAAAAAAAGCGTCGCTCCAAGGCACGCCGACTGACACGGAGCGCTATTTGATTTGCCAAATCTGGGATCAATCAAATTATTATTTGTTCTTTGAGATTCGACCACCACGTTCCTTTCATTCCTCATTTTCCTTATCACCACCCAGATAATTTCTATCCACCAGTCATGCCTCTCCCCCGCATCACTAGTCGCACTCCTCTTCGGGAATCTTCCTCCTCCTCTCTCGAAAAGGCACAACCGACCCTGCCTCTACCGCCAGCACTTTCTTTTATGGCTGTGAAAAATGCTCGAAAGACTCGCAGTCGTGCTGCCTTGCTTGTGTTTCTTTCACTAGTCTTCATCTCCTCCTACATTTTCTTTGTACAGCGACCTGCCCTCTCGACTTCGATTGTTCCTCATCGAACTGCGGCCGCAAGCAGCCTTGCTGAAGCGCTTGATGCTATGCGGAATTCTCATTTGGCTTCTGGTGCTGGACTCCGAAAATCTTCCTCCAACCGGCCACAGGTTCAGTTAACGTCGGAACAGGAGCTCGCCGCTGTCTCGAGCTTCCTTGCTAGTCTAGCTGCCAACGTCATTCCTTCTTCAGTAGACCCTTCAAAACCTATTGACCCACAACTCGTACTCGAGTTTGACACCCGTGGCAGTCGCGCTAACGAAGAAGTTGAAGTCATGGTCGAAGACGTGTGGTCGAGAAACCCGGTGTTCCTTTACTCAAAAGTATGCCAATCATTTGTTCGATTTTATTTCCCGCAGTGGCTAACGTTTGGTTTCCATAGCTGTACTCTCCTATCTCCCGAGAAATCAAGGCTACTCTCCTGTCAATGAACCTGTACCCGGCGCCCACCATCATAGACGTTGATATCCGCCCAGATGCAGATGTCCTCAAACCTATGTTGATGCGCCTCACATCATTGTCGGACTTGCCTATTCTCATTATCGGCGGCAAACCTGTCGGCTCTATAACAGAGGTGCGAGAAATGGCAGAGACAGGAGAATTACAGCGCAGGATCCGCGAGGCGGGCGCCGTGACCGTCGACAAGAGGAAGAAAAACAAGAAATAAATGTGACATGTCCTATGGGATTTATCTCCTTTAGGTCCTCTTAGATGCGTGTTGTGCGCGTCTGCGACGACCAACGAACGGCAATGTTTTCTGACAGACGACGACGATATCCTATATTTACTGCTTCTAGGATAATACGCTCTTTTACGATCGCACCGTCCTGTCGGACACGACCGTCACTACTGTGTGCTACATGGCATAGCTCAGTGGGTACACCCAGTGTGTATATATCTAAATACTTTCTTGTATATGTTCAAGAACCTTTTATCACGTACTCCAAACTTACCGCTTCCTCTCACTCATCGTACATAGGCATTTCATCACGCTACATACATAGATGCTCCTGCTTCATTCTGTAACTTATTTCACGGACAGTTTCCTCTTCCGTTAAAAGGGTTGTGTGGGGTTTTCTAGTATAGCCTTGTGCGGTACTAATTAATAACAGCAGTGCGCTATTATTCTTACATCTGGTCGCTGGCCTTCAACCTAATCCAACTTCGTGAAATAAGCTGTAGAGCTCAAACTTCAGCTTCAACGTCCAACCTGGCGTCCTGTCTCGCTTGCGTTAAATCTTCAAATGCTTCTCGAAAGTCTACACTAGAAAATCAGGCTCGCAGTTTGGCTATGTACCCAAATTGACAGCCATCAACTGACACTGGAAATGAATAAAAACGGAGTGTATCTGTCGGAAGACATATCAATGAACTTGATACATCATTGGTTCCGCGATGAAGCAGGCGGTACATTCGAACTGTCAACAACATTCCTTGCGTCAACATATGCAGAAGGCAGGTCAGAACCGACGATTAGAACCGAACACCACCCAGTCATAGGGGGTACGAGGAGGTATTTCTGCCGCATGCTTAGAGCTAGGCGTCCACAGATTCTGATGTTTGTGCCGCGAAGTAGACCAGGACTGTGCTCATCGACATCTTTCATGCTGAGAAGATGATGTCAGACTCAAAGAACGTACGTTATTAAGCTCTTAGAAGGCGCCTAAATTCCGAAATGAACCTTTAGCTTCAGATGCAAATAGTGGAGGCGAACAAGTGTTCAAAGGCATCAATACAATGATCGCATGACAATTTTATAACATCTCAAAGGTGCTCTTTATTCTCCGTGACTTGTATATGTTTCCGAACAGAAATTTTCGGCGGGGTTGACGGAGACATGACTATCCGTGTCCAAATGGCAATTTCCGTCCGATTTATGCTGAACGATTCCCAAATGCTTACACATACATAGGGTCCAAGCGGATGAAAGGTGGTATGTAACTAAAGTGAACTTCGCGCCCTTATATTCGCCAAAACCGTCAGATTTGTGGCTCTTGAGCTCCCCATTCTGACTATCATGGCTCAAGCCGCTGCTGAACAGCGTACTCTCCCCGACAATGGCTCCGTTATTGCTGAATCACCTACTGATCCTTTCTCCTCCTCCTCCGATGAAGAGATAGTCGATAGCCTGCTAGACAATAACATCGTACCACCCTCGCATCCATCCCGAACTTTAGTATTGTGTTTCGACGGTACTGGTGACCAGTATGTTTTGTTCGCGACTTCATTTTTATCCCCAGCACTGAATCTTCCACAGGTTTGACGCTGATGTACGCAGGTCCATTATGTACGGAACGAGGGGAAGTCGTCGCTAACCTGCATGTTGCAGAATTCCAACATCATCCAATTCTTCACGGCACTCAAGAAGGACGATAGATCAAAGCAGATGGTGTACTATCAAGTGTGGTTAATGATTTTCTGTGCTTACCTGAACTGAGTGTGGTCTCATGATAGGCGGGTATTGGAACTTATACCAGTCCGGAAGTGGCCACTCCTCTAATGGCTAAATTCTCCAAGGTAAGATCCAGCTACTGACGCACTATCTCATTTTATCTAATACATCTTAGGCCATGGATGAAGCAATCGCATGGAATTTGCACGCTCATGTCATGGGTACGAGCCTTCAACTCGGATAAGGGACTTTTAGTTCAATTGACAATCGACATATCTTTGACAGGCGGATACGAATTTCTCATGCAGAATTGTAAAGGGGTCCCGTCTTGATATATCGTACTCGACTGAAATCTCGCGCTTTACAGACACTGCAGGTGATCGTATCTGTATCTTTGGGTTTTCACGCGGTGCTTACACGGCACGGAGGTAAGTCGACTCTAAGTTCGGGGTTCAGTCTACGTGAGTTCTAACGCTTCTTGCAGTTTGGCGGGCATGATTCACAAGGTACGCTGCCCCGACTGTATCATTATCCATCTACTGATCTAGGAAATAGGTCGGAATTCTTCCAGCATATAACAATCAGCAGGTCCCTTTCGCATACAAAATGTATACTCGTGAAGATGAGCTTGGCTGGAAACAATCGAACGCGTTCAAACAAGCATTCTCAATCAATGCTGACATCGAATTTGTTGGAGTTTGGTGAGCATTGGTTTCAACCTCTACCTACGCTTGCTTCATTCCATACTAGGGATACGGTCAACTCAGTTGGAATCATACCAAAGCGGCTGCCCTTTACTTCTTCCAATACAATTGTCAGAACATTCAGACATGCAGTTTCGTTAGACGAGCGGCGTGCAAAGTTTAAGGCAAATTTATGGAATCGGCCCAACGCTCACGAGGAGACCTTAGGGATTACTTCGGCAAAGGTACACCACCCTAAGAAGAAAGTCAGTCACAAAGTCAGTCACAAACACAGCCTACGTGAAATGGAGGCAGAATACGACAAAGATCATTCCAAACCCACCGATGTGGACGAGGTAAACCTTTTGATTCCATACAGAGTCTTCAGACTTCTGACATATGTTCCATCAGGTGTGGTTTGCTGGTTGTCATTGCGGTACGTCAAGCCCATTTCTGGTTCTACGAACACCTTTATATTGTGTCTCGCAGATGTCGGGGGCGGGTCAGTGTCAAATGACACTACCATCAATCTAGCGCGTATTCCGCTACGCTGGATGATACGGGAATGCTTCAAAACAAAGACCGGTATTATGTTCGATCGCGATGGTCTCCGTGGTCTTGGGCTTGATCCAGACGCGTTGTATCCCGATGTTCTTCCTCGTCCTCCGCCCCTCCCTGTAGGTAACGCCCGCATTCAGGATATTCCGACAAAAGGTTCGGTCTCCCAAATTGAGAAGGACTCCGCTCTGAAAAATTTCTCAGGCGGGTCGTCTGAAGTGTCGGGAGCGCTAGTTCAGACCGAGGAAGAGTTGGAACTCAAGGATGCCCTATCTCCCATTTATGACCAGCTTAGTCTCGCATGGTTCTGGTGGATTTTGGAGATCTTCCCCATTAAGCAGCGTTTTCAACGAGGAGATAACTCCTGGGCTTCATACTTTGGATGGAACTTGGGACGAGGAAGAATTGTTCCGAAGCAAAAGAAGCAAGGAGTCAGAGTTCATCGTAGTGTGAAGATGAGGCTGGAGTCCCAACACACAGATGGAAGCAAATATAAACCAAAAGCTAATATCGACTTCCAATATGCCACCTGGGTAGATTGATTCAAATATTGCGATGTACTGTTTACCAAGTAGCCGAATGAAAATATTCTCAAGCGAAGAACTTGGCAAATAGTTAGAGCTGGAAGTCCTTTATACAACGCACATATTTCTTGGACCAAGAGTGCGTATAACCCGAGTTACTTGACCTTGACCAAATATTCGGGACTGGGATCAGTCGGAAACGTATCCTTTCATTTTGGGGTTCTGTCGTCTGTTCATCTGCAATCCTATTTTATTCTAGACTGAAGGTTGACGTTAGTTCTACGTCGGGTCAGTATCGAGAGGTGTCCGGTCACCTTTCGATCAAGACCAGAATCATTTGGCGAAAAAGGATCTTTTTCTGGCAACGCCTTGTTGCCCACTTACCTCCAGTTCGTCTAGTTCTCGCCTGTAGAGTCTCTGAGTAAATAAAATAAGATAGACGACGGAATGAGCAACTTGAAATATAGTTAGGTCTGTCTCGTTAGCTTCGCATTCTTCTAGTTTGCGGATCGACGGAAAAGAACAAGATGATTGGCGAAAGGAATTGTACATTCAGCTTGATGGGGCGTTTCATCTAATACCTTCCTCTTTGTCATTTTCCTTCAACACATTGCTCGCCTTCACCTTCACCTTTTCTTCCTCATCTACCGCTCGTATCACGATGGTGATTGGAAACAAAATGAGCCTTCCAAGAAGATGATCTGGCTCGTGTCTGCATGAAGGCAAAGTTCAATCATTTGGCCAGAAGCCTAGTGCAAACGATTGCAGATCCCTACCTTTCCTCTCCGATGACGATTCAGGTAATAGTAGTGACTTGACTTTCCTATACCACACCGGATTCAGCGGGGGAATTGGTCAGGTAGCATGTAGTACGAAGAACAAAGAAGCATTGCATGCGCATTTGAACAAGGGGAATTTGAACGATCAAGCAAACTTTGAGAAGCAGGATCGAGAGGTAGAACGATCATCATGCCGGTGGTAACTTTCTCCTTGACCGGGCTTTGCATACTTATGGTACAATCCAGATGAAAAGCCTCTCCAGATATACCATTGCAAGACTTCCACCTTCTTCATTGGATTGGATTATTCAATTGGGCTACTTATTTAACCGAATGTAAATCAACCTGGATCTTTGAACGTCAAGGGACACATACCGGTCGCTTTAAGGCTTCCCCGTGGCCTTGGCGGGAAGGCAGGCCATTGTAGTGCATTCATGCCGAAGGTCTTTGAGACGCTATCCTTCGGTATTTGTGCTGCTCGTCGTACGCAATTCAGTCCGAACCACTGCGAATTGTGATAAGCCAAAAACAAGCCTAGAGCTTAGTGGACTGGGTATATGCAGCCCACGATCAGAGTTCGGTTAGGTGACTCCCACTAGACCGATGAAGACGACAAGAAATAATTGTAAAGTGTGAATCATGCTCAAGAAGTGCTAGTGATCATGAAATGCTAGGCTGGAGATGCCCTAATTTAGGGTTTTGTACTCTTCGCCTTCTTCATTTGTCCACGAACATCGGCAACCCTGCAGTTCATGAAAGCCTTAGCCAACAAGCAGACTCAAGCTATCTCAGTCTGACTAGCGGGCAAGATAGTCAGCTGAACTTCAATGAACATTCACGACGCCAAGTTGGGGGTATGTTGGTCCAGTTAGTTCTTCTCAGAGCTCATTTATTTAATACTCTTAGATAGTCTTCAACACGCGGCTTTCGCATGGAATCTATCGATGGAAGGTCCAGAATGAGGCTTTTATCCGATATGCTGATCCGTGAAGCCCCTTCAAGCCAAGGTTCACACTGAGCCTACATAAAAGCGATTTGACTCGATACGAAGTCATTATTGTTCGCCGCCTCCTCTGCAGCTTAAGATCGCTTTCACATAACGTGCTCAGGTAGGATCATATCAATCCGATACCGAAGGAGAAGCATTACTGTAGCACTCCCGCAACACGTTGTGTAGGCATGGTCCTTATTATTATCTTCATGAACCAATAGTGAACCTTCCCTTTCACCATTGTGTCATAGGCAGGCCACTAAACCAAAACCCCTCCCAACCCTTCTACTTCTTCCCATCAACTCGCTATTCACAATGTACGCCTCCGCAATGTCGATGCTCCCAAACATAATGCCAGGCGCTCAAATGCCAATGATGCCTCATGTACCTCAACCCCCGCATACCCCAATCAGTCGTGCCCCTAGTCCATCTGGATTTAGTCGAGTATCAGATGGTTTACCTTTCAGAACCAGCCCAAGCCTCTCGGATTTCCAAATCGAGAAGTCAGCAAAGAGCCCGCCATCCTCAGCTCGACGGAGGACTATGATGCCCATGCCGCAGGTCGATGACGAATTTGCCTTTCGTGAAGCTGTCTCAAAACTGTTGGCAGCGAGATTAAGATTGTCAACGATATCAGGATTGATACCGATGGATTCATCGCAATTGGTGTTATTTTTTCGGACGAAGGTGTGTTACTTCCAGCTCCAACACGTTTCTAACCGTCAACTGAAGGTGACACCGTAATTCCCAGAGTGGCATCACCCACTCTTTAGATTTCCCTATTGATGTTGACCAGAATTCCCCGCCTGCCCTAGACGTTCTCATTGCTGCTTGCCGCCCTCATCAAACGTCTGATTACGACGATTACTCTGATAACGAGTCTTTATTTTACCCACCTAATTTTCCGCTGACTACGTCGCTCGAGATCGCCAACTTGCCTATCCTTGACGCAGTACGAAGCTCACTATTTCCTCTCCTACCCCAAGGCCACTATCTTACTGTTATGCGAGACAAACTCGAGGTTGTCGTCAAGGGTGGACGTATGGGCCCACAACCCCGCTCCCTCCGTAACGATGGTAGAGTAGCTACCATCGTGGTTACGCTTCCCGTGCGATTCCGCGGAGGAAGCTTCATCGTTCGAGATTCAGAGGGATACGAAGAGAGATACTTTGGACGTGGAGGAAAGAATGGTGATATGGAGTGGCTTGCCTTCTCTGCCGATTGTGAGTACGAAGTGGAGACTGTCACGAAGGGATGTCGGATCACGATATTGTATGGGGTTTATCTGAAGACTTTTGGGCCGACTGGAGTTACGGAGCCACTTATCAACCCGAGCGACAACTTCTTGGATTTGATGTCGCCAGTACTCAATATGTCCTTGGGTCGTCGGGTTGGGATCTATGTATCTAACGATTACGGTGTGAACCCTTCAGAGGTTCTGGCAGAATCGCTAGTTCCAATGGTACGTTAAGCGTCTTATTTCCCGCTAAAATCCAGCTAATCATTAATCCTTGACAATGATAGTTGAAAGGCGGAGACTCCGTTCTCTATCACGCTATCAAGCTGTACAAGCTCTCTCCAGAACTACACTGGACTGCAGGCGGATACATCTGGCCTGTAGACCGTACCGTCGAGATCGCAGAACAAGGCCAAAATTCCAGTCCCAGCGCGAAACTTGCTGGTCTCCTCGAAACACCTCGCGGGCGTGTAACAAGCACGCCTGCTGTCCGAGGTGCATTTGCTCTTCCACCACACGCTGGCTCTGCTTCCGGTCGAGCTGGATCCGTTGCTGGCCGTGCGGGCAGCGTCAACGGGGGCTTTAGTGGGAGCTCTGCCGGGAGTACATACCCCGACTCCGACGAAGACCTACTCGACAACCTCCGCTACCGAGTCCAACAAAGCGGTGCCATCCCCCTTGGAGAAGCGGATATTACGATCTTGAATGATTGGAACAACCCGACTCCGATGATTGGGAAGGAGAGAGTCCCGTTTGTTGTCGGTGGGGAGTTGGATAAGTTGGTGGTCAATGCGTTGATGGTCATTTGTCCTTGAACAGGATCGAAAAAGGGTAGGGAGGAAGCGGAACGAGGATGCTGGTGCGCCCTCTTCGAATATACCATTTCATTTTTTCTCTTTTTCTGTGTAAGAATCTCCACGAACATTATAATGATGTAGGATATTGAACGAGGATTATGAGGATACGAGTAGTCGTATATAGGTGGTACATCGCTATGGATTGTATGAGATCGTAGGACACTGTACTAATCATATTGTAATAACGAACTAGGTTTACGATGAGAACTTGGAAAGCTTCGCGTTACTGGGAACAGGAGGAGATGCGTACGGTGTCATGGTTGGCAGCGAACTTGGAGATGAAGGTGATAAATAAAGTAGAACCGCTCCGTTTTTTTCTACCGGAAAAAAATCAATTTCTATGGAGAAGGAGGGTTGTCGATCGAAGGATCCTGAAGAGGTTTTTGCTACGGTGGCTTCCCATGGTTTCAATATGACCCACTCGAGTTTCGTTGATTCGGGGATCACTGAGCAGAGTGTCACAACATTTGAATACGCGAGTACATACTATAATTGTATACTTGGCCGCATTCAAGCTGACATGATTTGGCATATTTTGTAACGACCAGATAGAGCCTTATGTACTAGCTTTGGATTGATATAGGCTATAGCAGATAGTGATAAGTACGTCTAATCAAGACTTTGAATCAGCACTGACAGCAGGAAAAACCGGGACAGACTAAAAATTCAAGGAAATCCGAAAGGACATATGTAAAACCGAGTAGTCTACAAGAGTCTACAAGAGTCTATTGTAGACTCTACACACTTTTCAAACCTCAGTTTCAGGCACTGCCAAGGGCCCGGGGAGTTTCAGGCTCGATGAAAAATATCAGCCTCCCAAAAAACCCATTATCATATCATCTAGTAATTTCTTACAAGCGTTGATAAAGATTGAAGCCACTGGTCAACAGGGCCGTAATTGGTCGAAAGTCTTCAATGTCCGAAGCTCCGGCTATCTCCGGAACAACCGGAAACCCGGACATACGTTCACAGGCTTCATCTCACCCACTTCAAGCATCAAGTCCCCGCTGGTTATTTTTTTGCTGTTACCGGTGATGACGGAAAGTAGTCTATATACAGTGAGTGTTGTTTCAACCTAGCATACGAGTATTAATTGAACAAGTCTATACCTTTCCTACTCTTTCAGATTCGTCTTCCTCTTCTCTCAACTGTAGTGGCTGGCCCATCCCATTCCTTGAACTCTTTCGACTGGCTCGAAAGCATACATGCACATGCACTTTACTCATAGAACTATTGGACTCGCATGGACTGCTCTTCACATTCTCTTTTGGATACAACTGTCTAATGGTGTTCCTTTGCTTCATCGACCACGGACAATCTCTGGTCACCCAAACACTAATCACGAAGGTTATAAATCTACGCTATCGACCAGGGATAACGCTAACTCGAGCGCTTCAAGTAACGGTACCACCTCCGTATCACCGAGCATTCGAGATGATGTAGAGAGTATGCTCCAGCTCATAGGACCAGACGCAGAATCTCGTTTCGTGAGCATCAACCTTCCTACGGCTTTTGGTGCCAACGATCCCGTACAGTCCAACAAGGATCTCAGTCAACTTGTCGACCGCGCCTTTCTTTTGGGACAGGCAAAATCAGGGAATAGCGGCTGGGTGGACACTTATATTCAATGTTTGATTGATGTAGCGAACACTCTACCTAGTCTGGATAATCAGACTGTACTTATTGACGACTACTACAATTCCATGCGGACCCTTGCGCCTGTACAGGCCAAGCTCGTCCAGGCGTATAAAGCAGCCAAGAACGAATCCACAACTAACATTGGAGTCCAACTCTCTTCTGGTCAGCTGATTGATGCGTTGACCATGCGGACGGTTGACGAATGGGCGGCTTCTGCTTTTAACGGAAGCGACTCTGGTGAAGGAAGTAGCCATTCGGGTTTCGACTCTAAAGACTATACGAATTATCTTAGTCTTAACGCTTCTTATACCAAGATCTTGCCTAAGTACAACAAGCTGGAAACTGCCAATAAGGTACTTCTGCTCAAAAAATTTTGAGAATGATGCTTTAATTTGTCCCCAGATAGCATCGGAAGGCTGGCTTTTAAGGGAAATGATCAACCAATCCCCCGCCATCTTCAATCTATCCATGATCACATCTGGCGATCCTTCCTCTCTTTCAGCACATTACTCCCCTGCATGGTCTGCCATTATTATCAATAGTACGTCGGTCGCTGTTACCAGTTCCAATTCCGACGTCAGCGGGAACTTGGATCACAGTCTTCATGATGGGACAGATAACAGTACCACATATGCTACAAGTATCAATAACGAGGCTCCTGTGTCGACCAGCATCTCATTCAATTCTCCCACAGAATCTTCTGATTCCGGTTCATCATCTGCGACTCCCACGAGCACGAATTCTTTAAGCTCTAAACAGAATACCCAGTCGCCAACCTCAACTTCTGCCGTTTCGCTCGCACACACGGCTACAGCCACTGGTTCTGCTCGAAGATCAAGGATCAGACGAGCTATAGTTTCGACAGGGTCCCGGATTCAACGCAGGGCGTTGGCAGCATCTAATGCCCTATTGCTCGCCGCAAGTGCAGATAGTACTTCTGCTCGCACGACAAGTTCTGGGAAAAATGCGGGGAAACCTGCTGGGAAATACGCATCGCTTCCTGGTATGAAAGAAGTCGCATCTGCTGCACACTTCGCAGCAGAGCCTGACGTTGCGGATGCTGTATCTTTTGCGCCACTTTTATCTACAGCCACTTTGACTCAGACTTCCAGTTCCAGTTCTGCCACCTCTGTCAACGGCGTTCTCAAGCCAAACATGACTCTTCAGGAGGGTGCATGGTCAAATAATCGTTTGGAATTCCTAAAATTCATCGCTCAAAATCATCCTGAGATTTACCGCAAGTATTTCTTCGGTAATGCGTCGGGAAACGGGACGACAGGTGATGGGCCTTTGGGAAAGCATTGGACACATATCTTCCTTCTGGTTACGGTCAAGGCGAACTCGACGGAGATTGAGACGAGTCAGGTGGTGGGGATGGTGTATGATGTCCTGCCTGGTTTGGTGGTTCCCAGCACCTCGGAAGATGTAGATGCCGATAAACGAAAAGCCAATTCTGAGAACAACAGCACTGATACTTCGAGTGGTACGGATACTGGCACGAGTGGCCAAAACCAAACAAAGGAGGATAAAGACTTGGGGGGCGGCATCGGTCAACCCAATTCAAATACCTCGGACACTGAGTCTAGTTCGTGAGTGTAGTTGTGGTATATGTGTTTACTGGCATACACTCCTGCATAGCCTTATACCAGTCCAAATGTTTAACAGTATTCACTATACTGAACATCGTCGCCTTTAGGAAGTTAGGCGCCTCTTCAAGTTGTAAACAATCACTTGCTCTTCGGCAGAAAATAACTTCTCCTTCCCACATCTAAATGACGATTGAAGCTTGAAGTCTTGAAGCCTGAAATTCCTTTCCACATAATTCTACGTAATTCTCGACTACCGAAATACATATGTACTGGCTATGTGTTCGGTTCCAAGAATTGAGCGTTCTCTTTCCTTTCTTGCAATGTCGAGACGTTATCTCATCCTTGTTTTTGGCAGTTAGAACGGAGTCTTTGGAGAAATTCCTCATGGAAACTGAGTCACCCTTCGAAAATGTTCTGTCCCAGTTCTATCTTGTTCTGTCACACTATCGGTTAAGATTCCATTATGAATGTCAATTTGGGCTGATTTGATAGGTCATGAGGGCTTTCTATTTAGTGTCCAGAGGTCCCGAAGCTCAAACGCCGTCTCAAGAGCTTTTAAGATGTATTTCGGGCGGCGCCGAACTGTCCCCGCTTATCCGCTGCCGTTGGGCTTTGAACTACTTTGAAGGACGGATTGTTTCCCATTCTAGCAGCCGTTGTTCGTTTTGTTCATTTCCTACGTTGCTTCGTTTTCCAAAATGCGAAATATGCATATATAAGACCTTGTACAAATGTACAAATACCTCCACTCACGCCATTGCTTCCATCTGAATCTCAAATGGCCCAAATCACTCCTCTTCAGGTATTCGAACTCGGTGCAGATGATGTCTATCTCAAATCGAGGTCCCCGCCTACTGCGCCGGATGGCCGCTACGACTGGCAAGTCCCTGCAAATGCAAATCAGTCACCCCACGCGCACTCGGGAATCACGAACCTCATGCAAGAGGTCAGTACTGAAGAACCAATGCATAGGCAGAGTCGTGCGGTGATTAATGTGGATTGGTCTTTGACAGATACAAACCATCAAAGCGAAGGCAAGTCCGCCTGACATCAAAATGGCGGTATGTTTTCGTGTTCTTTCCAGTAGAAGGTGTAATTCTTGATCTTAATCGTTAAATAGGATGCTCTCATCGACCAAGTGATCAATCCAAATGCCGTCGATGACCGTAAAGGAGGGGTAAACTGTCATTCCAGTAATTCATTTATTCGTCGTTAATTTTATTTCTTGCAGATCGCTGACGCGCTTACTGTGTTGGCCGCGTTGCCTGCAAGCTCGGAGGCTGCTGTTAAGATAGGCAATGCTGCAATCGGCTTGCTCTATAACACTGTTCCCCATGTAAGCAGTCCCTGTTCTAGAGTTTATAGTACTGATCATCTGTGCAGCCTGTTGCTGCGCTTATGGGCGAAGTTCATTCTTTCCGCCATGCCGACGGTGGGGGGAACAACCTACAAACACCAGACATCGGTCGCGCCGGTATGCCCTACGCAAGGAGTGTCCAATCCAAATGGTGTTCGTCTTCGTTCTCGTTGCCAGATCCGAATATCGTCTTTGAGACTTTGCTGAAGAGACGTGATGTAAGTTTTGATGCCTTACCTGCGAATTAATTCGACTTACCTTGAACGTTAGATTGTCAATCATCCAGGAGGCAATTCCAGCCTGACGTTCGCCTTCGCTTCCCTCGTCACCCATAGTTTGTTCCGTACGGATTACCAGAATATGAATATTAATAACACTAGCTCTTACTTGGATTTGAGCCCATTGTATGGAATTAGTGTGTTTCCATCTTCTCTTTCGCAATTTCCTTCGACTGAGTGTTGCCCCTCAGATCAAGCTGCTCAAGATTTAGTTCGCGACAAAGCTGCCGGGCGTGGTCTCCTTTATCCGGATACGTTTTCAGAGGAGCGTCTCTTGTTCTTACCTCCGGCTGCTAGTGCACTCCTGGTAATTCTTTCTCGAAACCACAACGTATGTTTATTGCTATATACTCATTTAGATAGACCTCACTCAAATCTCCTTATAGTACATTGCAGAAACACTATTGAAGATCAACGAACGCGGGAAATGGACAGATCCACCTCCATCGGACGAGACAGCACGAGCTCTCCAGGATGAAGAGATTTTCCAGACTGCTAGGCTCGTCAAGTGAGAATTCCTGGATATCCCATGGTTCCTGCTTCCTTCCTGACAATCCCCTACCTTGACATGTAGTGGCGGTCACTTCATGAGTCTTATCATGGGCGATTACGTTCCCGGATTTTTGGGACTCTCCGAGGGCAATAGTTGGAACATGAACGCGTTTGACGTGAGTGTTATCTTCAAGTCTTCTTCTCCTGACTATATCCTGTAATCTCTCCCAGCCTATCACAAATCTAAATGGAACCGAAGTGACCCGTGGACAAGGCAACCACGTTAGTGTCGAGTTCAACGTCTTGTATCGAGTGCGTGCCTATCTGGACATGATGCATGATGCCTTCAGCTTTCTCACATCCTTCTCAGTGGCACGCGACTACATCTGCCGCAGATGAACAGTGGACGGATGACTTCTTTAAATCAACATTCACCAAGCCTCTTGATGAATTGACGCCCACGGATTTCGGAGGAGCGTTCTTCAAAATTCTCGCTCAGCTTGATCCTGATCCAAGCAAACGCACTTTCTCCGGGTTCGTGAAAATCCCCGCTTAGTGTTCTCACGCTCACTCGAGAAATAGCTTGATACGTGGCCCTGATGGACGATTTTCCGATGATGCTCTTGCTGACATCTTACACTCTGCCACCGAAAATCCTGCTGGTGCTTACCGCGCTCGTGGTACACCTGCCGCACTCAAGGTCATTGAAGTCCTTGGAATACAACAAGCACGTCAATGGGGTGTCTGCACTATGAATGAATTTAGGCAGTACTTGGGTCTGAAAAGTATGAACTTACAGTTTTGGTTGTAGCGGCCACTGACATTCATTACAGCGTTCAGCACATTCGAAGAATGGAATCCTGACCCTGAAATTGCTGTTCGTAACCATGCCGTGTTCTTCCTGTCTATGATTTACGAAGTCCTTAGAATGCTGCTCGTCGTTTGTACCTTCACATTGACAATCTCGAGCTATACGTGAGTCTATGTCACCGTCTTTTCTCTCCTGCTAACGTCTCTGCTCAAGACTGGCTTGCAATGCGAAGCCACGATGCCTCTTTCAGAAGGACTACGGTTCGCATGTGGATACACGGTATGATTAATATGTGTGAAGAGTGCTCGTACAGAATCTAAAATGCCATTAGATGACGAGAGCAATCTTGGGCGATGCAATTGCCTTGGTTCGTGGCGACAGATTTTACACAACAGATTTCACTCGTAGGTGGTAACTCGTAACTCTTTTGAAGAAGCCGACTGTCTCACTGTACCTCAGCTGCAAATCTTACTACCTGGGGATACCAGGACACCATGAGAGATCCTAACAACGGAGGTCTTGGTGGAAATCGTAAGTTTCTTGCTTGTCATCCTTGTACTCCCCTCAATGTGCGTCGAACTCCTCAGTGCCAAAGCTTCTGACAAGGCATCTCCCGCGCCACTATCCCTACGTGAGTACAGCTATTGCACATAACGCAGAATTCATCTCATGAAATTTATCTTAGAACTCTGTATATGCATGCTACCCCTTCTTCACGCCTCAGAAAATGCAGGACAGCTTGACCCGGCAGAAGATCGCACAGAATTATACGTTCACCCGGCCAGTGGCCGCCCCCATTCCGAAAGTGCTAAACACGTTCACTGGGATCAAATATGCCTTCAATGACCCCTCGAAGTTCCACACAGCTTATCAGATGTCGGGTCTTGGAAACGGCTATGGATTCATGCTTGCTTTCGATGCTGATGTGAAGAAGTACGTGTTGACCATTTCCTAATTTCCACGGGTATTCAACCCATTTAGGCATGATGCAGACAAGGCTTTGGCTCTCCATGCGCTTTTCCCTAACCAGGATTCTCTTGATTCGTACCGAAGGTGGTACCGTGAAAACGCCATCCAAAGAATCAAGGAGAAATCTTGGACGTACGACGGTGTTCCGGGTAGGTACGTCGACATTGTGAACGATGTCATCAACGCCACGTCCGTACGCTGGGCCGCTGATCGTTTGGTAAGCCCACTGCCTCCATTTCATGGCTATGATCTTTCCAAACTGTACTAATTGTGCTCTAGTGCGGTATCGATGTTAAAACCAAGGACAATCCTTCTGGTGTTTACACAGAGCAAGAGGTATATGATATGTTTGCACTCCTGGTGAGATAACTACTATTGTCTGTCCCGGATTGATGACTTACCCCATTCCAGTTCACGTAGGTCCTTGTATTTTCGAACGCGTTGTCTTATTCAAACAACGATTTTCCGTTAGAATCACGTTCTTGAGCTTTGGCGATAATGAACATCTCTTCTCTCTAACTGTGGCGGCTTTCCAAGCCGGCGGAGTGGTTCAAGCTTTAGTTGCAAAAGCCATCTTGGAAGTTGCACCTAGCAGTGCTCCGGTTCGTAGCCTGAATCACTGCTCACGAGCCTGTTACTGAAACATTGGATGAATTTTGCAGAATGCACTTGTCAGTGTTGCTTCTCGTGTCAGGGGCTACTTCTGGCCATCAACGGCGAAACCGTATTATCCTTTCTTGAGCACGCTCTCCGGAACTGGCCGCCCGGTGAATGAACTGGTCGCTAACGTCGTCAGTCTCGCCATAGGATCCTCAGTTAACTATGCCCAAGGTACAGGAATAGCTCTGCTAGGCTTCATGATCTATATTAATTAAGCTTCAGCTGCCGTTAACGTCATCGATTTCTACTTCGATGATGAGCGTGCCCCAGAACGTGCCAAGATAATTGAGCTGGCCAAGGCTTCGGATGATAAAAGCACAGAGCTCTTGCGCGGATATGTCAGGGAGGCAATGAGTAAGTCAATTCGTGACTGTGATTGTGCAATTCTCTTACTCTACCCAGGGCTCAACCCGCAGTACACGGGTCTTTACAGAGACGCTGTCGTAGACACAGTCATCCCTCAAGGTCCCGGCTTGGAACCTCTTGCTGTAAAAGCGGGTGACAGGATTTGGGCCAGCTTCAAGAATGCTCACCGAAACGTATGATTATTCAGCTGCAGTATGCTCTTTAGCTAATGATAACTAATGATTCCCTTTGCAGCCGGCCGAATTCCCTGACCCATTGAAGGTGGACCCTACTCGTCCGCAATCAGCTTACAACTTGAACGGGACAGGTTATCACCAATGTCCTGGTGTCACCTATGCGGAGCAGACCATTGCTGAAATTGTCAAGGTTGTTTTCAGTCTGAAGAATATTCGTCGTGCAGATGGCAATGCTGGAAGGCTTGGTGGCTTCACCGTTATTAAGGATGAGACGGAAACAAACGTATATCTGAAACCAAATGGTATTCTTACCAGTTGGCCCGGGTCAATGTTTTTGGTGGTAAGCTTCATTTGCCTCTTTGCAGTTGAAAAGGCACTGAAATCTACTTGTCACAGTACGACGATGCATGATTGCTTGTCGTGTATGGTCGTGTTACCCGAATATCTATCCCTACTCGTAGACCTTACCATGTCACCTTAAAAACATGCAGCCGACACAGGCTCTATCTCACTAATGTATGAGCAGGGGATGATATACATTCAGAAGTATGACGGCGGCGGAGGCCTAGTAAAAAGATAATTTATACTCAGTATGTAGGGCAACTTCTTTCGATATGACTCAAATTATGCAGTTCATGATCTTGGACACCCCTGTGACCCTTTGGCAAGCCTGTGAAAGGAGCGTACAAGCGGGAATATTATGAGCCTTTTGTCTGACTATGAAGTCTAAACCATAATTTAGGGTGAATAGTCACGAGGCGTCTAAAAGCGGAAGTCATCTTTCCTAATTTGTGCACTAAATTGCCTCCGCATTCTGCCTTAATCTCGCCATGGACTTTACTCTTTTTCTGTTTGTATCTGTATCTATCCCACCTCTACCCCAAGCAACGGTCTCAACACGCAAAATTTAACGACTGGGTCGACTTCGTTCAAGATTGTTGAACAAAATTGAATCAATCATTCATCTCTAATTCACGAACTCTCCATGACTCGACAACTATTTATGACCTTCATACAATTTGCGTTCGCATTCGTCGTCGCCCAGCTCTTATTCTTGGACATCAGTGCTACGAACAGCTCATCTGTAAGTGGTGCGTTATTTCATACTCTATCGCCCAAATCTCTACACATTCCAACTGTTCCATTCATCTGCAGAGGCCGAGATCCAAATTCTAAACTGCGCTTTACACATTGAGCACCTTGAGGATGCCTTGTACATTGAAGGACTATCTCGCTTTTCCGTGCAAGACTTTGTTAATAATGGCCTGGAGCCTTGGATGTACGGTCGTTTACAAGAAATTCTCGAGCATGAAGAAGCCCATGTGGAGTTTTTGAAAAGCGTGGTGAGCGAGGCCGGTGGGAAACCAGTCGAGCGTTGTGTATACGACTTGTACGTCGTCGTTTCAAATCGCCTTGAATTTGCGCTAAATCAAGTCTTACGATTTAAATGATTTGATTCTCCCCAGCTCGTATAGCGATCCAAAATCGTTCGTAGAACTGGCATCAAAACTCGAAACCATCGGGACTGCGGCTTATCATGGCGCTTCTGCAATGCTTACGGACGAGGTATCATATCCTCCTTCGCTTCTGGATTCTATGAAAACCTAATAATAACCTAAAAATTCTACCTTCAGCGATACATCTCTGCAAGTGGAGCTATGTTCGCAATTGAAGCTCGCCATTCGGGTTGGATTGATTCCTCTGTACGAAAAGTGTCTGCCTGGAGCGGAGCTTTCGGAGTACGTACATGCCACTCGTTTCGCCCTTCATCATCCTCTAAAGTCAGTTGATATCAGGTACCCCTCAACTGCGGCCAAGTGCTTACCCTCGTCTCACCCTTCATCGAATCTTGTCCATTTCAAAATTCCGAGAACTCTCTCCTGCCCGAGCCGTACCCTCCTCTCACCATCTCCAACAGCGCACATCCGAATGAAATCGCATTGTTGACATTTGCATACCCAGAAAATTATACCTCCGAGGCAACCTCCGCCTCGTTGTCCGCTAACTTTCTCACTTCTAACGCCGGCATGCTGTTTGCTCCAGTGATTGTGCAGGAGGGCCAAGGACCTGCTCGGGTTAAGATTCCAGAGAATGTCCGTGGAGATGTTTTCGTGGTCATCACTACCACCGATGCTGACCATGGCACGGACAAAGCAATTGTTGCAGGGCCTGCTCTGATCAGGTTTGGTTTCGATGCGGAAGGTAGATTGGGATGAGGACTGGCCCTGGCCATGTATCATTGCAATCATTTTTGTATCTGAATCGCCAACTATAACTAGCTCTTCACGCGAATGTAACACTTCTTTCTTGTGAATATAGCTCTTCGTTGTGAAGGAACACGATACTCGACTAGACTGGAACTATGAATACCCAAACTATCTACTTGGACCATTTTCCAAGGAGATCCATCGCGCGCGCAGAACTTTTGTGATTCGGATTGGGCGATAATATGACATCGATGCTTGACGTCGAGTGACTCGGACACGAAGAATAGTACGGTAAGTGAGGTCTGAGGCCTAAGGCACGAGTAACGTATTGATGAGGAACGAGGAAGGGGCGATTGGGGTTAGTTCGTACCTCATCTACTTTTCATAGTGGTTTCTCGACTAAGCTTGTCGGCCCCAACATATTTGCCTCTGACAAGCCTTGATGCCACCCAACCGTCGAAATCAGCAACCGCAATCGTCTTACCATTCAACAGCGCTTCACCCTTCGCGTGAAACTGGATAGAGCCCTCCTTCTTGTTATACGAGTTGGTAAAACTACAGACAATTTTTAGGTCGGGATATTGCTGCTTGAAATACCCTTCAAGCATTTCCTTTGCCTCCGTGTTAGCCTCTCGATCTACCGGTTCACCGGCACCATTGGTATAGGTTATGGTGAGCAAGCCGGACTGCGTGACTGTAGGTGTGGGTGCAGGTGGTAAGGCATGGGAGGTTGGCGTCGTCTGTGAATAAAAGAAGGGGAGAGAAGGGGTATTTGAGAGAAGGAAAATTAGGGTACTCACGTTAACAGGCGTGGCATGAACGACGGCAAAGAGCCCAAGAATAAGGGCCACGAGACAAAAAGATACGAAGCGCATTATGGTAAAAGGTGACAGAAAAATTGAGCTCAGAAGAAACGTCGAGCGAGGTTGAAGGGAACGGTATTTAGAGGTTAGGTTAAGGAGACAAGTCGAGCGAGCCTGTGTTCAGCAGTCTTTTCTTTGGCCAGCAAAGAGAAGATGTTCTTGACCAGCAGTTGGAGGGACGAATATGGACAGATTCAAGCTCTTATAGGACATCCGAATACATTCATCAAGACATTACCATCATACTATCATACAGTATCATCTAGCACCGTCGGCGAATAGACATAGCTTTGATAAATATCCTGTAGAATTTGGTGCGTAAATCGTCAAGGAGGCACTAAAAGTTCCTGCAAGAACCCACCTTATACAGCGTAGCATTTATTGCAGTAATCTTGCGATGCTTGCAAATGTAGGGACAGTGTGATATCTTGTGGTACTACGAGTATAGTAATAAACGACTTTGGTTCCTGCTGGTTCCCGACGGGGGCTCATCGGGGCTTATCGCGTCCAAAATATTGAAGCGCACATCCTACATACATAGCAAACATCCCCCAGCGGTCTAACGCGACAGGAGGATGGTCCGATACGCAGCTCTATAAGTATAATAGGGTTAGTGGGAAGCGGAGTTTGAATGGTCAAATAAATCATTTTGCTTCACCATCTGTTGTTACTCCTTATTACTCTCAGCACCATGTGGATCCTCGAGGAAAGTGACTCAAAAGCTATGCTCGTTCAGGACTTCTAGGAACGTGCTGGGTTCATATAAGTAGAGGCGGCTCAAACATTTTCTCTTCAACTGCTGGTCCTAGTCAACAAAAATTTTTCGTCTTTGCTGGTCAAAGAAGAGATTGCTCTATATCCTCCACCGTATGTCTTTTAACGCTTGCAGCAGAAGCTCACCTTGCTGAACTTTTTTTTTGCAGTGACATTCTCAAATTTTCCCATCGCACTTCGCTGCTCGACTTCAAGTGACTATCATGCGTTTCGCTCCACTGTATCTAAGTGCCATCTTTTTGGGGCTCTTGTCCTTTGCGTGTGCATTTCCCATGCGAGTGCGTAATCAAAGCATTATATACTCATCCATTATACCTACCCTTCCTTCACCCTAGGTTGACCCCGAGCACGAAAACGTCTACATTGTCAAGTTCAAAAAGTCTGCACCATCTGCATCAAATGAGGAGGTCAATAAAGCAGCAAAAGACTGTGTTGAAGGCTTCCTGAAGCAGATACATGATGCCCCAGGTCGCAAAGTCACAGTTTCATTCGATGGCGATTATTCCCCCGACAAATTGGAGTCCGTTCTCCACTTCGAAGCCGGCATGACACATTGGATAGATGGGAAGTTTCCGCACGTTGTGGACAAGGAGGGGTGGGTGATGTGTCCGAAGGATGATCAGGGCAAATATCATGGGTCTGCATCTCCTATGGCCCTACTACGAACAAACCAGAAGTATGTTGCCTTTCGTGTCTTCCTCGTTGCTCGATGATCACTCATCCTCGAAATCAGTTGTCAAACATGCGGTGAGCCCCCCCACGGCCCTTGAAGAATATACTTCCAGAATCGACAGTCCTCAGTCAACGTGCAAGTAAGAAATGCATGTTTCTCATGCATCACATGTATATGGCTTTTCCAGTATCCTGTCCAAAGTGGTTGGCTTGATATATGTATGTATAGGCACGCTAGACATGCATTATCTTGAATTCATAGTATGTCCTTATATCAAGTAATCTTGCGCGCTTGAGTATCAAGAGACAATTTGTCGCGCGTTCAGGTTGATCTTGAGAAAATAACAATGTTACGACCGTCTACATATCCAAAACGCGTTTCTTGCCTGCAAAAAATATTTACGGAGACTTTTCTGCATATACTCTGACAAACAACCATCAATTGGAAACCAGATGCTTTGGCTACACTCTGCTACACTGCGACGACTTGACATGTGTTGCCAAATAAAGACACCCTGGGATCCAACGCGGTCATGGTCCGATAATGCCTTCAGATTTATTGAGAAAGTTGGAACAGCGTAGGCTGGAAAGGAATCGTGTTCACTGTTCAGTGTAACTTCCACCTGCGTTGTGTGTCCGACTAAAACTACGACTACCTATTTACAAAGATCGTCGGTGAAGAGGTTCAAGATAGATGATAGATAGACTACATATATAGGCATAGAAATAGATATATACAAGCTACTTAATAGGAGAAATTTGAAGGTTCACCCAGTAGATGCGCGAGGGTATGACGGGATAACGAAAACGGCGTTGACGATGAACCTGATCCTGTTGTTGAACCAGTTGAACCGGTTCCATTAGTTCTCCCTACTTCCTTATTGCCCATAGATCCAGAACCCTCAAATCTATCTGCATCCAACTCCGCTGAATCTGGTTTTGATTCGCCTTTCATAGTATAACCCTGGCTTCGGGCCTGATTTTTATTTCCCCCTTTCCTCTGCGCGCGAATGAGATGTTCAAGAGGCACCGAAGGTGTAAGGGAATCATGTAGAGACATAGTTGTGCTCGATCTTAAACTACTTGAAGTCGAGGAGAGGCCTCCATTCATTGTCGCGTTTCCATTTGAATTCAAGAAATCCAACGAGGGTTGCGGTTCGACATTGGGATGGAAAGAAGTAACAGAAATGGAAGGTCTTATGAGGCTCGTCATCGGTTTCGTTTCAGATTTTGACGTATCCATTGAGGTATCCATCGCATCCATAGTCCTTTTGACTTTTATAATCGGAACTGTATTTCTCAGTACCTCGGTTGTAGTTGTTGTAGAACCATGAGTATTGATAGGAGGAATTTCTACTATCCTGAGCTTCGGGGAAGGAGGCATAGGAAAGTTCCCTAATCCAGGAATCTCCGTGAACGTTTCCGACGTGTCTGGTGTGAGATGGGAAGAATGAGAAGGAATATCACACAAGGGAAGAGAATGAGGAGAAGAACTTGGATGAGAAGGTGGATGAGGAGGAGAGACAGGTGCGCTTTGATGCTGGAAATTTCGCGGTGTTTGTTGGATCTTCGAGGGACCAGGTTTTTCAAGTGGTGACCCACTGCGTTTAACTCCAGCTCCAGTGCCACTCCCATTTTCGCGTCCGTTCGGTCGAGTAGGTTTAGTGGATTTAGCAGAGTCGTCGATGTTCCTCATCCTCATATCGTCTTTTAATCCCTTCAAGTCCCTTTCGCCCGTGTCGCCCGTACTGGTGGTGGGGACGTCGTTAAATGTGGTGATGGTGGAAGTTCCTGTGGTGGTGGTGGTGGAGTTACTTTGTGTTGAAGGAATGGTAAGAACAGATGCAGCAGCGTCCGACGGTGAATCGGTGTATACAGGTGGACTCAGTGGATTCACCGAGTTACTTATTTTACTCGTTTTCCTTGCCGGTCTTTGGTCACCATTTTGTATCGCATTCGCAGGGGAAGTGAGATCGACCGTCAATGCATTCGACTTTGTAGCAGATGTTTGTGAAATGGAGGACGGTTTCGAGGGAGGTTCTGACGATTCTGACGACGACGATGATATGGAATCAACGGATGGAACAACTGCAGTAACGGGAGAAGTAACGGACGGAGGCACAGGATGAGGGGACACGACGTTGTAGGAACGAGGAACGGGATGATGAAGTGATGGGCGAGGGTGAGGAGGAAGATCGCGGGAAGATCCACCCAATAGAGAATTCTGTAGAGGAAGAGGAGCCGAAGGGAGAGTTCGATCAGACGAGATTGTCGCAGTCCGAGTGCCCTCATCGTCATTCATTTTCGCGCCATTCGTGTCAATATCAAATTTCACTGTTCCTTCACTATCACTCTGGCTCGTGTTCGTCACAATTGTTAAATCCCTAACATCCCTAGGATTAACAGGAATAACAAACGTCTGGGAGGGTGTAATTGGTGTTTGGATTCGACTGGAGCTTGCGGATGAGTTATCGGGACTCTGGCGTTTTGGCATACTGACGCTAATGCTAGCATTTGTTTCGTGTGCTAGTACTTGGGGATCACATAGAGGATGATTAGTACTATTGATAGCAGTAGTAGTGAGAGTGGGAGAATTATAATTAGAACTGGTGGAAGGAACTTGGACAGTGGGAGTAGATTTGGACTTGATTTTGGACGAGGAAGCGGGCTCCATAGCGTCATTCGACGGAAACAACGGGGGTATCGATTGCATAGAGGGTGTGGGCGTAGGAGCGGGAGTTGGTATTGGACTAGCACTCGAGACAACTGTGTTTAGACTAGACGGTGTCGAAATCACAGGTCGATGACCCCTAGTAGACGTAGACATGGAAGCTGGAGGAGACGGGATCGGAGCACTCGAAGCATTCGTTGAAGTCAAGATCGTATTTTTGTTTGATTTTTTCGATATTGTTTTTGGCTTTTGCAAGACTACGGATATCGAATCTCCTGTGATATTTGCAGAAGTTTTGACTTCGACTGCGATTTCCGGTCGGTTAAAAAATTAGCTTGAGTTCTTTGTGGATGTACTACAAAGGGAGCCGTACCTTGTTTCTGTGATTTTGATATCTCAGAGCTCCTTTTAGATGATTTCGCGGAAGTTATAACGGGGACACTGCTTGGTTCACCACGATCAGTCTTTGGTGGCAGTGAAGCTTTTTTCAAGCCTGGTGAAGCCGTGGCGGGTGGTCTAGGAGGACCGTATATGGGTCTAGTGACAGGAGCGGAAGTAGTGTTTGTCGAAGTTAACGTAGGCGCTGTACCAGTCGGTCTGGCGGAAGAAGACGTTATATGCGAAGGTGCTGTTGCACTAGCACTGGCACTAGCAGTATTTTGAGTTCTTCGTGCTCTCGGAGGTGTCTGAGAATCTGAAGCCGCCGATAGTGGTTTCGACGCAACACGAGCACTAGCACTAGCAGCAGCACTGTTGGCAGGTTTGGCTGTCGATGTCCTTGCCTGTCGTACAAACATGCTTCCTGCTGTCCCCCTCAGAGACCACGCAGGAATTCCATCGGGTATCGGTTGAGAGGGTGTTTCCCACAACCAAGCTCCATCCATTTCTACCAAGCCCCGCATGAGGTACTCTGGGTTAAGTTCACTGCTAAAGTCAGTTTCATGTAGAGCAACCCCATCTCGAGGTTGTGAAAGCCAATTTCGCCAGTCTACAAACCAATTTAGCAACTGGATTTCCTAAAATGTAGAAGGCAAACACACCAAATTCTAATACATTCTTCGAGTATTCACTCTCCTTATACTGATCCCAGAACTTTTCTACCCTCGTTGGCTCTGACGAAAAACAACCCATACGAAACCTAGTCAAAACGCGGTCGAGCGTATGACATTTCCATTTCTTGACTACCTCCAACCTTTCCTCTTTACCATAACTCGACTTCAATGATTCACTTGGTGGTCCTTCGTCAGTGAGGATCTTCCACACTCGAGCGATGTGAAGAACCTCGTATTTCTCTTCCGGCCACCTCCGGTTCTTCTCCTCCTCATTCGCTGTCAGAAGTCCCTTAAGCTTTGTCCACTGCCATCGAGAAACATATATGATTGGGATCCGGTATCTTTCCGATACCACCACCGTCTTCTTCCCGTCGGAAACGTAGCAGATGCCAGGCGAAGGCGTAGAGGACAGACTGACGGAAAGCGCATTGGCGAGGCAGTAATAGAGGAGTTTCTTATCAGTCCAGTATTTGCCTGTGCTGTAGATCAGCTCTGCTGGGTGTTTCCAGCCCAAGTCGTCCTCGAGTTCCAGAGCTTGCTTTGAGACTGATTTATGTGCGTTTCGAGCAAGTTTGAGCTGCCGACTGGTCATATCACAATCTGACAAGGCTTGAATTATTGTGAGCAGTGCGAGAGCAAAGAGGTTCCGGAAAACACCTACAGGCTACGAGTAATCAAGAGAGATGCCTAATAATGTCCACAAAAGGCAATGGTTCCCCGGGTTTTCATTTCCGGTCATCCGTTTTCACTTGGACCTCCAGCCGATTTCATTTGTTCACCCAGTACTAAACCTAAGACAGTACATTTTGAACATGAAATAGTAATACAGCGTGCCGTCAATTAATCTAATTATCCAGTGTCTCCGGGGTTTCTCTCGAGTACTTTCATTATGCGACATCATCTATCTTCTCTTCCAGGCTTCATCCTCTTGAATATTGGTGTTTCCAAATTCCCAAGTCTCAATCCCTCTTAAACATCGAACATGAAATCATCCAGACTCTCTTCTACGCGATCCAACGTGACGATATCCCCTCCCAACTCTGGAGCCTGAGCAACCACATCCGCAATACGAGCTGGCTTCACTGCAAATGTTGCAGTACTACTTGATTTGGGACGCACTAACGTCGTGGGTCTCTTCAACGTAGGAGCAGTTGTAGTAGAAGTTGTTGTGACGGCAGATCTTACAGTGGTTTTACTTGAAGCTGCGGCAGAACTGGTAGGCCTTTTCAAACCCGCCACCGCGCCTACCACCGACGATGCATTCGTAGTAGTATTGGACCGAGCCCTGGATCTCGAGGCCGCCGTAGTGGATGTAGTGGAATTACCTCGAGCGATGTTAGTAGCTGCAGTAACAGAACGGGTCGACTCTCCACCTTTGGACGATACAGCCGTTCTCGACGCCGTACGGGGAACAGGTCGTGTGAGCGTGGTTCTGGAATTCGACGTGGCGATTTGAGAAACAGGCCTGGATAACGGACGCACAGAAGTCGATTTGCCTGGATGAGATATCTTGCTAGTGACTGTGGCTGTAGTAGAGCGTAGACCCGAGCTCGGAACGCCTGAAGCACCTGTGCGAGTAACAATGCTAGTTCTAGTAGAAAGTGGCATCGGGCAGGTAATTATCGATCTTGTTGGCTTTGGTTTCACCGGCTGAGGATTGGCTAGTTTATTGTACGGAAATTCGAAGAAGGGATCTGCGTCAGCTATGTAAAAAGGACAATGAGTACACGAACTATGATCTACAGAAGGAAGGAAAGAGAATGACTCACAAATAGACGAGAAATCCAACGCAACATCACAAATCTCAATATCTTCCGTTCTAATTTCGAATTCTACTGGAGATTCTGGTGGTTCGTAAAACGCGCCGTTACGTGATGCCTCCATTATCGTTTTCCCGAGGACCTTGTAATCTGGCATCTCAAGGTCGAAAGGAGGTTGGTATGGTAGATCTACATACAGTCGCCACTGCTTCAGTATTACGGCAACAGGGCTTGAATAAAGCGCAGACGTACCAAGAGTATTAGGAGCCATGTACTCAATCTCGTCAAAATCCTCCTCCTCAGGTAGGGCAGACTCTGGCAACCCTACCGCAATATCATCCGCACTGTCATCATTCAAATCCACATCCCAGTGATTCCGCGTATTCAAAGGGGTCTCGAATTTTTGTGAATTCCTCGGGACACGGATGTGTTTTCGTGTTGAACTGGGACGTAAAGCAGAATCGGGTGTACCAGAGGCGGAAGCAGGATGGAGGTAGGGCGTTTGTGCATGGATGTTATTGGCATTACTCAGGTTGACGATCCGATTCGGAAAAGGCGTTTTGTCTAGAAAAGGGCGGGCTGGTATACGAACACCTCCTTTCAACTGGGTGTCTGCTTCAGTGAAAAGCGGTTCTATGGATCATAGGCATTAGTCTACAAAGCTAAATTGGAAAGAGCGAGGATTGGCAGATTACTTTGAAATGGAGTCTTAGTCTGAAACGGAGTCTGCTGTCCAACACCTGCTTTTCCTTTTCCCTTCAGAGTACCGAGTCTGTTTTCAGCCAATCCTCGCGAAGGCGTCTTAAAAGCATGGCGATTTGTGTTGTTTTCAGCGTTGCGCGATATAGGTCGAGTGGAAAGCATCTTTGAGTTGTAAGGCGTTAATGGTGGTAGTTTCAATGAAAAGCGTGACTCACGTGGGAAGTCGGGAATCATTAAAAGGAAAATACGGCGTTAAAAATTGGCATGCATAAGGGCGAACTATCTAAACTTTGGGCAGGCTCGTTTTTCTGCATAAGGAGGTGATCTTTCCTTCCGTTCTTCGAACTCTAGTACGGTCGAAGTCTGATTCGCGACTGCTACTTCTTTTCTTCGCATCGATACTAATGCACCAATTAAAGCTATAGTGTTCTGTTCTTTTCTCATCCTTGTGATAACAAATACCGGATATCAAGAACAGCTTCATCCCGAATGGCAACAATTTCTGCCATCTTACAACTAATTGTAAAGTCAAGACATACGGGTCCGTATTCTGGCCGTGAATTAAACTTTCCAAGCTAGCTATACCACATTATCGTATCATGAAACCAGGACAGAGATCCCGTTGTTGTGCGTTCTTGATAGTTGTGGCTAAGTCTCTATTCATTCGCGGTTTCGACTTTACTAGTACTACCGCTCTCTGCACGCTCGAGAAATGCGCTGCTGGAGACTGCATAAAAGGTTTCAGGAAGGATTTCGCCTTCTCTCTAGTGCTGGTCGCTTTTCCATCCCAGAATACTCTACGGTTGACCGTAGGACAGCTAACCCCCACAAGTTGCCCCTCCTCCTCCAACGCCTATCCCCCTCTTTCTTCGTCATCCACATCGAGTATCTACTCATCTCTTTGACTCTATGATGAAAAATTCTATCATTATCTCTGCTCTCTTCTCTACCTTTGTTGCAGTATCCGCGCGCACGTTTACTGTCAAGAATAACTGCAAGTATACTGTTTGGTAATCCGCATCTATCGTATACATACCTGTGCCATATATCTCATTTTTTATGCTTCTGTGTAGGCCGGCAGTAAGGCTTCAATTTTTTGCACTTGAATTTTGGCTTCATAATGACCGATGCGATAGATCTTCACAGACATGAATGTCGGTACCGACAAACCTTCTATGCCCACTGGGTATGTAATTATTCCCCGTATCTAACATCATACCGGAAGTTTCTGATCTTCGTTATTTTGAGTAGCTGGGAAGCGGCTCCAGGAAACACGTCAACATTCACTGTTCCCGATGATTGGCAATCTGGTCGCATCTGGGTGAGTGTCCTGGCGTTATATTTCACTCTCCTTTTCTCACAAGCACAAACAGGGAAGGACTGACTGTGACTTCTCGAAGCCCAACGCAAGTTCTTGTGCCACGGGTGGATGCAATGGTGGGCTTTTGTGCGATGAACACAGCGGCACTGTAAGTCTAGTATGTAGTTATGTTTACGGGAGGTCGCTGATATCCATGCGGCTAGGGTGTTCCACCTGTAACCGTTGCTGAATGGACACTCGGAAAGAACGGGAGTCCCGATAACTACGATGGTGAGCTCATCAACCCTAGAGGTATGAATAGCTGTGCTTGCCGTTACTTACATCGCGGTTCTGTGTCAGTTTCTATGGTGGATGGGTTCAACATTCCTATGTCCGTTGTGCCTACCGCAGGATGTCAAGCCATCGATTGTAACACCGATTTGAACCCCAACTGTGAGTTGTACTAGTACAAATCTTGAATTAACATGTCATTTATATCGCGGTATTACTGAACATAGGCCCCGCTCAGCTGCAGCTCAAAGATGCCTCAGGTACTGTTGTTGGATGCAAATCTGCTTGCGATGCAAACCTCGATGGGGACCCTCGTAAGCCTTTTAGTAACCAACTATAAATCGCCCGATAAACAAAAGAACTGTTTTATCAGAAAATTCCCCCAACTGCTGCAGTGGATCTCATAACGTACCCGCAACGTGTCCTCCAAGTGGTGTACAGTTCTACGACTACTTCAGTATGTTTAGTTTTTGTGTATAATCAACCATGGCTACTCAGCGCTCATCATTTATTCGCAGAAAACGGATGCAAGAACGCGTACGCATACGCATACGACGAGTCAAGTAAAACTGCTTTGTGGACGTGCGACTCGACACAGAATGCAGATTATGCTGTCACATTTTGTCCTTGAAGTAATTTGGTTATATACGGCTACTGCACTAATCTTGATGAGAACTAACTCCGAGTCTCCGTTCTCCTCAGAAACTTTTTCAAGATGTTTCGAGAAAATTCGATTAGTTATATATAAGAATGAAAGTAGATCTATAAGTTAGAACAAGTTGTGAAAACGTCGAAAGCAATCAGAGATGGTACAAGTTCAAGAAGTAGAGCACACTATCATCCCTCCATTTCGTCGTCAGTATCAGACAAAACTTCTTTGCTTTTACTACAAATGTCGTGAGCAAGCGAAAAAAAGTTCGAGCCGAGCAACTACTTACAACTGCTTTTTACGTTGAGGACCTGTCTGCACTTCGTCTTCATCATCGTCTCTGACAACCCGTTTTTTCGTGCGCTTTGCAAAAAAAAAAAAAGTCAACAAATGCGGTCCATTCCTAGATGGCAGATACACACCTTCTTTGTAGGCCTCTCAGCCTCATCCTCGTCTGAAAATACGGCTGCGGGCTCTTCACCTTCCTCAGTAGGTTCGCCATTGGCTTTCCTGATTTTACCTCGGCGTTTCTTCTTTGGTGCATCACCCTCGTCACCGCTACCGGTTCCATCACCTTTGGATTTTTTAGCCTTCTTCGGTCTTTTTTCCTTCTCTTCGTCACTTTCGTTCATTCGTGCCTCACGCGTCCATTCAAGAGCCTGTTCCCTAGCCAATCGTCGTTCTTGTGCCAACTTCTCGGCTTCCTTCCGAAGAGCTTCCATTTTTTCTTTCTGAGCAGAGTTGAAGTTGCGTTGTCAAAAGTTACTTCTCAAAACTTACCTCCACCGCTTCCTGCCGCTGCCTCTCTTCGAAACGAATTTGCCTGGCAGAGTCCAGTCTAGCCTGCGTTTCCCCTTCATGCTTCGTTTGCGAAGATATATGATCATCTTTCTTTCGTAGCATGTTCTCTCCGTATTTTCGTCGTTGATCTGCAATGTCGCGGCTGTATGGTACCTGCTGCGACTTATCAGAAGCTAGGGCGCCAAACAACCTAAGAAATGTGAAGTTCAAACGAGAGTCGATAACGAAAGGGTTGACGGCACAAACTTATGGGCGTGCTGTGCCATCTCAATAACTCGTTGTAGATCCTTCAGTGTGCGCTTTGCAGGAGGTAAGGAGAACAACATCTCAGCTGACTTCTGTTGTATCATGGCAATATTATACAGTATTGCCTTATCGTTGGGTTGAATATGAATGGCCTGTTAAAACTAATTAGCTGGAGGAATCATTTACAAGGTAGAGCACACCGTTTGGGCATATTTCAATGCCGTTTTAATAGAAGAGTAAGATTGATCTTTCATGGCCTTTGCATACCACGACCGACAGAGGCATAGGAGGACGGGCACGTTCTGGCCGCGGTAGAACCGTACTGAAGCGGTTTCGTACTACTTCATAGTTAGTCAGTCAGTATACGCTTGGAACGATGACTCACACTTTCAATGGCGCGGTCAAATTCATCACGAGCATAATAGCAGTGTCCCATGTTGAGGTACACACTACCATCGTTGATAGATTCGCGAACCTTAGCGAATACATCCAATGCATCACGGGTACTCTGGATACGCCTTTGAGCTTCGTCCCCTGCCGATAACGAAACACCACTCAGCGCGCCTAGAGCATCCTCTGCCGTGACAATGGCCAGGCCCTGAGCAGCAAAGGCGCAAAAAGGATCCAGCTGCAAAGCCTTTTCATAGAACTCGGTAGATCTCTGGAACCCTCGTCGACGTTCTTCTGTTCCCTTGGAACTCGTATCACGGCTTTCACGAGCCTGATTGTAGTGGATCCAGCCTGCTGCGCATAACGAGTAAATATCGTGCTTGTCGAAGTCCTTCAGTGTTGTGAATACAAAGTCTTTGGCATTTTTCGTAAGGTTCGTCTGGACAAGGAAGTAGGTGTAAAAGGCGCGTAAATTCAAATTGCTACTCTGGGAAGCAAGTGACTCTTTGATAAGATCGTGAGCTTCGCTGTTACGCTTAATATTGTGTAGTAGCTGAGCCTGCCGTATCTTTGCTGTAGATGGGGGTATTAGTGGGGAGAGGGACACAAAGAAGATCTACGTGCCATCCACGTATTCCGGGTGCCGCGATAAAAGTTTTTCATATGCATCGGTCGCTTTCTCTACCTCTTCCTGATCTTCGTATACCCTCGCGAGATTATACAAAATAGATGTCGAGATGATTTCTGCATTCTCAGAGCTCATGCTCTCCATCAAAGCGGCTTCATAAAATCCTAGCGCTTGAGAATAATTTGAATCTAGATGATGCAACGCTCCCAAATTGTTTAAGAGACGAGGTTCAGTTGTGCCGGATAACTGGCTGATTTGCAGCGCTTCCTGTAGAGCCTTCGAGGAACGGTCAAGATTCTGGTCCTGCCATAACCGAGCGATCTCTAGATGCATATTCATATCTTCACTAATCGTTCGTGAGGCCTTGCTCAGTCCACTGCCATTAACCTTGCCGTCTTCGATCTCGAGCGTTTTGCTGATTCTGTCAAACAGTTCACGGGCACGCGCACGCTCTTGGACCATCTCGCTGCTGGATATTCCGGGCCTAGGTGAGCCGCGAAGCGAAGCAAGCATCACAGTAGCTTCGAGCGACTTCTGAGGATTCGGAGCCTGCAAAAGGTTGTCTAGAGTGTTGATAGCACCACCCGGTTCATCTAAACCAGTCTTAATCAGTCCGAAGAAACGAAGAAATTGCGGATTCCTACCATTGTTCATCTGCATTTGAGCAAGCCCAATTGCAGCAAGTACGTGCTTCGGTTGACCTTCAGTTGCTGAGGAATAGTACCGTGTAGCAGCTAGAAAGTTGCCTTCAGCATGTGAAACCCGTCCTGCGCGTATATAACCTTCTGTGAGAAGGGGCAAGGTATCAGCGAATTGAATGGTCCTTTCAGCGAGTTTGAGCGCCTAAAACTGAGATAAGACGTTGTATATGGTGAAAATCATGCGATGGAACTCACTCGTTTGAACGCTCCTTTCTGGACGAAGATTTCGCAGAGAGCGTTTGCCGCGGACGCGTTTTTCTGATTGGCATTGAATGCCTTCTCGATCAATTTGGTCCCACTGAGAAATAAGCGCGCGCGCTCTTCTTCCTTGAGATGACCGTCTTTGCTGGAATTTACTGACTCCAAGCCAAGTAGTAGTTGTGCAGTCCAATCCGAAGGATTCTGAAAGCATTTCAGCAGATGCCACCTACGGCTAAAAATGAACGAACAAGTTCCAAACTGCGTTCCCAGGCCGCCTTGGCTTTAGCTTGATTGTTCATAGCCCAGAAGCATAATCCAATCCCGATACGAGGATCTGGATGGCATTGTGGATTATATCTCAAGACTTGCTGAAAAATTTGAAGCGCCTGAGGGTAATTTCTACGCATATAGAGAATTCGGCCCTGCATATTATTTCATTGAGGAAATTGATTCATAGAGAGGCTCGAAGGGAGGGACCTTGCCAAGTAGCGCAACGAGGTTGGTAGGTTTCGTTGCGAGCACGTCTTCGAACGAACGCAATGCCTCATCCATGTGACGCGTAGCAAGTTGTTGAATACCTATATTAATTCTATGTGAGTAGTCGAGGCTTTGATGACCACTGGAAAACGTGCCGCGAGTTAGGAATGCGAGTTCCATGCTGACTGCTGGTTCTCCTGACTGGCTCGCCTCTGATGCGGAACTAGACGCAGCATTGATCAGAGAGGCAGCTTCTCTATGGTATTCTTCCTTGGATTTTTGGTTGGTCATTATGTCCTCACCTGTCTTTGCAGTGAGACACAGAAAAATCGGAGGGAAAAGGTCCACAGACGAGCATTAGGTAGAATTAGCTTCGGAGCTCTCCGAGAATGATCAATTTGAATGTTTGCAAGCAAGGAGTAGATTGGGGACAGCGATGCCGCGTTTCCGTTCATTTTGAACGCTAAGAACATGGGTCAATGGCTTGTAAACCATCAAAGAAAACGATAACATACAAGCAATAGCGTTATTCGCAATCTGCTCCGCGGCCTCACAATACCCTCTTCTCCAATATTCACCAGCAAGCTTTGCCCAGACCCACACTTTACATTGGCCATCCCTCAGGAGTTCAAGAACGTCTTCTGGATTAGAATCAAGGTTGTCGAGGTCGATGGTAATAACTTCCTGACTGCCAAGTTCAATGTCGATAGATCGACCAGTTGAAACGAATTCATCGTCAATGTCCATAGCTTCTTGTCATTCACAGGGCCTAAAACACGAGAGTCAGGATGTGTAGACCGTGTTTTGTGATGGTGGTTGTCTTCAAAATATTCGGGTACTAACTTCTCGACAGTCGTTTAACCGGCAGGCAAGTAGCTTATCTAATCGTTTTCAAACCACTGTCTTTTAATCTACCGCACTGGGGGTTACCGTCTAAATGTCTTATTTTCTTCCCCATTTACCTTCAGGTTGGCACGTCGACGAAGCTATCAAGTCTGAGGAAGATCGTGTAGTTGTCATTCGATTTGGCCACGACTGGGACAGCCAGTGTATGACCATGGATGAAACCCTGTATTCCGTCGCCGAGAAAGTACAGAACTTTGCTGTAATCTATCTGTGTGATATTACAGAGGTCCCAGACTTTAACAAGGTGTGACTAATAAAAGAGTTCTGCTGATATTCTTTCTCATTCTAACGTGATAGATGTATGAATTATATGATCCATGCACTGTGATGTTTTTCTATCGGTAAGCCATATCTTCCATGTTTTATCGCGACTCTAGTTAGACTGTGCTAACTTCCTGTACGCTCAGAAACAAACATATCATGATTGATTTGGGTACCGGTAACAATAATAAAATGTACGTTTCCGCCGTTCTCTCAGTGGTGCTAGTGTTTGACCCTCAAGACTTGACGTAGAAATTGGGCCATGGATAATAAACAAGAAGTACGATGTTGTTGACAACTGATTGATAATTAACCTTACGCTTTCTTCAGTTAATTGACATTATCGAAACAGTTTATCGTGGCGCTTCGAAAGGACGAGGTTTAGTTGTTTCTCCCAAAGGTTCGCCTATCCTGTGACTACATACTTGTTTTTTTATTTACTGAAAATGTTTTTTTGCAGATTATTCAACTCGTTACAGATATTAATCCTACACCTCGCCGCCTCTTGTATCGTACATACACCCTTGTTCCTCTCGCGTCGTGAAATAAATAATGGTATCCCCCGTGCTCGTTGAACTAACATCCCACTATGAAGAAATCAACTTTGAGTACAATGCATCGGCGATCAACTTACTGCAATACCCCATTGTCTCGCAATCTTCACTGCTGCCAAAACTCGTGCAGCCAGCCCGCAGTGCCTCCTCTGAACTTAAGTAACACACGCCGACCATGCACCCGCCGTATTGAGCATTAACTTTGGAACCGAAGAAGGCGATCAATGCGCAGAGTGTGAGTTGGAGGCTGAAGTTCATCTAATCGGAGTCGATATTCAACAAATCGGCTACCCAGGATGGATGCGAAAACGTACGTTTCTGATCGTAGGGCGGTCAATGGTTCTCGAGGTTTCTCGCTTCTGGTTGTTGCGATCGCTTGAAATGTAAAGGGGGATATAAAGAACTGTTTGGTTCTTGGGGCCTCTGGCTGTTGGGTTTCTGGAGGGCTTTGGCTTTTAACCTAACGAGGAGCCGATAACATATCAGGCGGTACCTGCCCAAGCCAGGTCCTTCGCTCATGAAACAATCGGTGCATGAGGAGCCAATCCAACTTATCTTGGAACGACAACGATAACAGACGATGACATGCTCGCTAAAGACATCGCCGCGCGTGCGGCACTGCCAAACGCTGAAATACCGCACTGTGGGGTGTGGGGTTGGAAAGGGTTGGAAGCGCCTAGAGAGGTCAGCTGAGGTCAGTCTTCAATCCTCGATCTCGTCATTATAGGGCATTTATTTGTTCCAAAACCCACATAGTCAAACCGACGAATTTCAGTAAACTTCAATCCCTCTGTTCTTCTCCATTGTCAAAATGGCCTCATCAAACCGACGGGAATGAGATAGTCATTATCTGCAACTACTGATGAATCATAACGCGCTCGCTTAGAAACAACACCGCATTCGGTACTAATCGCAACGATACGACGCTTGAGCGTTTGAGATCGGGGAGTGATGATAGGGTTTGATAGGTAAGTTAAGGTAGGTTGCATGAAGCTGAAGGTTGGTCGACTCCTCTTCTTCTTGCTGGTCTAGAATAGTCGGCCTCATTTTTGGTCGAATTTAATTTCGTAGGACCTAAAGGAAATCGTCGAATCGGCATACCAGAGGTACATATCTCCTCTATCCCCCTATGGCCTCATGAAACGACTGACATGGTCATACGAGTCGCACGTTATCGCGCAGTTATGCGCATATAGACCTTCGATAAGACGTCTTAAGACGTTCACTCGACCGCTAAACACGAGTACCGCAAACAAGCGCTGTTTAGGATGCGGGGAATGTGGGGAGCGTGTGGGGTTCGTACCTGGAGATCTTCGCAGATCTCTAGAACTCTTCCTTAAGCTTTGTGTAAGTCATGACAGTATCATAATGCTGTGGTAATCATCATTGGGTTCCAGTTCTCTTCAGGAAAGAACTGATGAACTTTTCAATTTTACGGTCAATCAGTATACTGCTCCTCAGTTAACTTGCTTATCGCAAGTAGTAATCGGATTACTATCTTATCATGCACAGCCCTTCAAGCTGCTTGGTACCTCCATGCGTTATTTTGGTCGCTTGCGCCAGCATTTCTTAAGCTCCGTTATCTGGTCTCAACAACTGCGCCAAAATACCTCAGATAATGCGATAACAAGAACCCCGACCGGGTGCGTACCTGTGCGTACTGGGATGTACCAGGCAGGATAGGATAGTGCAGGTGCAGAATTTGAGTAGTTCGTCACATCCTCTGCGAAATTACGGGACTCTAATTCTACCATCTTAATTGTTATATTTTCGATATGATTAAACCAGGATTAAACTACCATTCTAACCTTCGATTTGTCGCTAGCGATAATCTCGTCCCTTTTTTCGACATTAACTCGTCAACATCCCACTGAGCACTGATATAACGTCCGGCTAGCCAATCACGACGCTCCTTGGAATAGAACACGATACTGTGTGAGGAAAGTTCCAGAGTATCGACTAGTATACTCACCGACTCTTCGGGTAGGTGAGAAGCCATATCTGTTGCAATAGCACCCGAATGAACCCCATAGGAAAGTATGCCTTTACTATCTCCATATCCAGTAACAAATAGCTCGGAGAGACGTAAAACAGAATGCCTGCTTGTCTGCAAAAAATCGAAGTTTATGATCAGGTCTTCAAGGTCTAGGAGGAAAGAAGATCCTTTCATACCTGATACGCACAAAATTCAGTCCCAACAAAATGCGCTGCAACACCAGTCAAGTTGAGTATAGTTTTCAAGCCATCGAAGCTGGATATCAGTGGCGGCAGGGACCGCAGGGCAGCTCGGGTAACACTAGACTCGAACCAGTCCGCTGCTGAGAAGTGAGATGCAGAATCACTTTCTCTGACACCTTTGAGCGCCAGCTTCCAAAGTATCAACATTGCTCGAGTCTAGGGTAACATCGAAGAGCCCTCTGATGTTAACCGTCTAGATCCCCCCACCATTTATCTGGATCAAACTCTACCCCATATTCGAGTGATCCAAACAAGCGTTCTTGATAACGATATGCAATCATCCAAAGGTAGCCTTAACAGTTTTCAAAGCAGGTGCAACGCCTTCGGTGTCAACGATGTCTGTACCCATAATCTGTATCTTCATATTTTGTTCCTGATGCTGGACTCCTCGACAAGATTTGTGAGTGATTTCAAGACCAGACTTATTACGCGCGAGAAGTGCTGGACGCGAAACACCAGTTTGAGCAAAGGCGAAGACAATTGCCCAGCCGAATACCCTTGAATGCTCCTGTGACGAGAAAGACTTTTTCCGTTCGTAGTAAGGTTTAATTATAGCACCATATGTGTCATAGCGAGAAAATGTTTCGCCTATGTGATTGAAGGATCCGGATGATCCAACCAACCAAACTTGCGAAGGACTTACCAGTGTAGACGACGGGAATTTCGTGAAATGTTGACATGTAAGGAGAAGATGCAAAATATAAACGGGAAAGGTGTTCGAACTATGGACCTGGAAGTTTTATGACGAGATGCCGAGGTAGATTTGTTCATTCTACGTATAAATCCTATCCCATTTCGCGGGAGATATAGTGGAAGTGCGTCGATGAGTATCAGACACTGTATGTAGTACATACAGTATGTACATACATGAGTACAAATGGGCACATTACTCCGATCCGACTCCATGGAGACGTCAAGGCCTCAATATTCAATTCTGGCGAAACGCTGTTACGCATCATTACCATTCAAAATCTGCAACGTCGTCAAGTAGCTTTTTCTTCTCTCCTCCGTAATAGTGGTCCCCACACAATTTGTAATATAATTTTCCCATCCCGCCTGCGTTTGGGCCTGCAGCCCTTGGACCATACCAGGTAACTTCAAGCATCCTTGTCCCGGTTGTCCAAGTTGCGTCGCGCCGCTTTGGGTATAGAACCACATAGCACTAGCGAAACTCAGTCCATCACCCAGGACTACAGCGCGAATAATGTTTTTAGTTGCATTAGGGAGATTGTTGGAGAGTGAAGATAGAGAGATGTTGGATTTCGATTTGTTGTGTTTGATGTTAGGTATGAGGGCGAGGGTTTGTTTAGCTAAGAAAGGTGTACTAAGCGCATATTGGTACACAGAGGGAAATTCCATGAGGTTGCGGGTTCCTTGACCCGGATTTCCTGGAAAGCTGTTATGAACAAGGTTAGCGCCTCAAGATGGAAAGAGTCTTTTTGCTAAGGAACTCACTGGTTGATATTGAATTGGAATCCGCCACTTTCAAAGGACATCAAGCTGAGTAATGCAGCCTTTTCGCCGACAGTCGTGATATTATAATCAGCAAACCCTTTGTTGACGAATGGTAACGCTTGAGCGGCCGTACGACATTCGTCTAAGAACTGAGAGCCTTTCAAGGGACAAGTAGTACCATTGATGATAGCATCGAGTTGCGACAATGTGATTTCGCTCGAGTTGCCTGAAAAGGAGGAGAAAGAGGAGCGTGAGACCGGTATGAAGGCGGTTTGTACAGTTTGTGCTGCGATCAGAACCGAGATCAGGACCAAAAGAAGAAACATTGTGAGAAGGAAAGTGTTGATATCGCAAAAACTAGTTCTGAATATTGTTGATAGTGAAGGAGAGTAGGGAGGAATTTGTGGTACCAGAACACTTCGCAGAAGGTAAGATCAAGAACGATAGGAAGGACCAGACCTCATATGCGCCAGATATTTATGTAGTGCTCTTGAGGTCTTCCCAGTTGGACGAACAATGGGGCTATTCATTGTACTTCCTGAATAGGAAATCCGGAAGTCTATCAAACAATTACTTAGAGGAGCTTGGAATGAGCAAGGTCGCCAGTATTAGTGACGCGGCCATTCAGAACCAGCACTGGACTCGAATACAAGTGACTGATTCGCCAGAATTTAGCCTGAGACTCGGAGCGCTTCTCGTCGGGCGAGCGCTTGGGAAAGAAATTTCATACCCCTAACCCTAGTAGAGACGCCCATAATCCCTTCTCAGAGTTCGCATTTTTCGTCGTCCACCCAAAAAGACCGACTTTCCGTCGCTTCGTCGCAGTAGAAACCGTCTCAAGATTCCAGGTGAGATCCTGCTGCCTTTATGGAATGTATACTCGAAAGAAAGAAGTGAAACAGAAGGATTTGGCGTTGGATTACTCGAACAAAGTTTGGATGGCCTTCGGATGATCTGATTTCTTCTGGATCTCATTGGCGTTTTCATCCTTTAAGCCGTTCTGGACCTTCGATTGACTGATTGTGTATTCTACTGTCTTTGATTGCTTCAGGTTGAGCTGCAAATATGGCTTCCAAACTACCATCAGTCCTAAGCGCAACAGAAGAGGAGATCCAACTCCTTCTTGCTGCTCAATGCCATGTTGGCATGAAAAATTGCGATAAGCAGATGGAATCCTACGTCTGGAAGCGGAGAGCTGATGGTTAGTGCCGACGTCGTAGGTATTTTCGTGCATTCTGACGGATAAATCGGTTCAGGAATTCACATTCTCAACATCGGCAAGACCTGGGAAAAACTCGTTCTCGCTGCCCGAATCATCGCTGCCGTTGAAAATCCTAATGACGTTTGTGTCATCTCTGCTCGTCCCTACGGACACCGTGCTGTCCTTAAATTTGCCGCCAACACTGGCGCACAAGCCATTGCTGGCCGGTTCACTCCCGGTTCCTTCACTAACTACATCACTCGCTCCTTCAAAGAACCCCGACTTATTGTTGTCACCGACCCCCGAGTTGACCACCAAGCTATCCGTGAGGCGGCCTATGTCAACATCCCCGTCATTGCCTTGTGTGACACTGACGCTCCCATGAAATTTGTTGATGTTGCTATCCCTACGAACAACAAGGCCAAGCACTCCATTGGTTTGATTTGGTGGCTTCTTGCCCGGGAGGTGCTCAGACTGCGTGGCACGATCCCAAGAACTAGTGATGGATGGAATGTCATGGTCGACATGTTCTTCTACAGGGATCCCGAAGAAGTTGAGAAGCAGCAACAGGAGGAAGCTGCAGCCAAGCTGGCGGCACAGGCTGGCGAGGAACCTGCTGCTGGTTTGACAGAGTGGGATGTTGCAAGTGGTCCTGCGGCCGGTGCTATCAATCCCGCATTAGTCTCTCAGGAGGGTGGTATGTATACTTTCTTCTTTGCGTCTACGCGTAGTCTCACTTTGAACTTTCTTCAGCAACCCTCGATTGGTCTGCTGACGCTACTGCCGGTCCTACTGATTGGGCCGCAGAGCCTTCAGGTGCTGGATGGGGTGCTGATGCACCTGCTGGAGGTTCTGGCTGGGATTAAGTCTCCTGTATCGTCGTTTGTCGCATTGCTTTGGAAACCACACAACTTTATGCGTCTACTATGCGATTGTCGTATGATATGGTATTCAAAAAATATGATATCATCATATCTACCTTCTCCTTCACCAGCTGGTTGGTAGCTTGTGCGTGCTTGTCTACGCACTCACTTAAGCAATAATCGCAGTCATCGGTCAAAATTTTCTCCACACAGTTCACACATAATTATTGCAGTCCAGACTCCAGACTTTTTTCTAAAGAACGAGCTTACAGTAGTATCAGTGGGTGGATATTGTACTTGTAGAAGGTCATGATATGATCTTTCGCTCGACCAAGGGCAAACAACAAGATTTTGTCATATCGATTGATTCTGTTTCCGGAAATGAGGCTTCACTAGTTTCATCCGTCCTAGTCTTCGAGTCTTGGAGCGGTAAAACTAGCAACAGGAAGACGAACTACGATGTCGGATGTCAACAATTGCTGAAGCCCCAGAAAAGACAGTGGTCATAGCTCTAAGAACAGTGGCGGAGGTTGAACGATGAAATAGGATTTCGAAATACTAGAAATTAGAGGGATTCCACTATGGAACTTGGATACCATTCAGTACATATACAAGGGAAAGTCACACACTCCGATTCTCATTTGTCGCCTTCCTCAATTTGATCAATGTTTTCCGTTTCAGCAAACAAGAACTTGCTTCCTTCTGGAGTCCTTCTGGCCACACTCTGAATATGTATGGAAGACAGAGACAGTAACCCCGTGCTGGGAGAGCATGAAGAGTCTTCTTGGTGGAATCATTAGAGTTGGCTTGAAGTCTCTTTCAACCTCGATATCGCCCAGGTTAAGTTGCTTTCTGGATTGGCACTAATGAAGATCCTGTCCGTTGTAAAGACTACTATTTTCCATTAGTGAGCTTTTGTGCCAACAACTTCTCTACGTCCTAAACTTGGTATGACCTCGACGCGATTCGCATCCAGGATGAACTTGTGATGCTTCGCCGTTCAGATCCACCCTTGTCTTCTGACGAACTGAAATTTGGCCGACTACTTTCCTCACCAGCGCCCTCCTATGTTCAGACTCGCGCAACTACTGCGTATCCATGTTCGAACCCTTGAAATTGCAGAATTGGTTTCCATAGAGAAGAATCGCATTGTGGTAATGCCGTTTCTCGCTCGTTAGAATGAGCCAGAATTCGATACTGTCGGGGAACTCATGGATTTCCGTCAGGTGTTTGAGGTTGGCCCATTTCTGTATAACGGTAATCCCTTGGTTCATCATTGGTTCATAGGACTTGCAATTCATGCATAATCTGAATATCGCTCAGAAGTGCGTATATCTGATTACTGGTCATTTATCGTACTCAGTTGTCAGCATACAGTGATGCAAAAGACACCAACATCATGATAAACTGGTCTCCAATACATGATGTTCTGATACACGGCGCGAGCGTTGACATGAAAGCCGATTGGAGTGGTCCTGCCAAACCCCGCAGGCTCACTACACAGGTCAAATACTATCGATTGGAACTTATCCGGACAGTATGCTCCCGCACTGGGGTCACCGTTACTTACAAGCTCCTGGGTATGGTCTGATATGGTGGGGATCAATCCGTCCCGGAATTCCAAGGAAAAGAGCCATTTAATTCTTTCGCAGCGGATGTGTACTGTATATGAAATGTCATTCACACAAGATACAATGAGAAGCCTTGTTATATGTGAACTTGACTGATGTACTGACAATCTGTATATAGGGCTGGGGAGAGCTGGGAATGCCTGCAAAGCGCAACGTCGAGTTTCTTTCCGATTTCATTTCTGATCCTATGAAATAGGACAGCCCTTCCAAAAGGCCAACCATGAATCGAGTCATGTTCCGTTCAGGGGATATTCAAGAGGAGCAGAGTTGTCGCGAAAATACGACACATGGTCTCGAATGAATCAGTCCCTCTTGTTTTTCATCTTCTTTATTCGCCGATCCACCGAATCAGACAAATAGTAAATTCTTCAGCGGATCCCCTCTCTACCAGATAATACCATTCGTGGTAGTGCTTTGTTATGTTCTGTGATATTCTAGATACCTTCAAATTGGTTTTTGGGATAAAATGTTTCGAAAATCTGTTAACAGGATACAACTCAGGCAGTTCGCCGACCTTATATAACCCAAGTATGGTATGTATTGGAAGAAGGGGGCATATCTTTTCACAGTTCTCCTAGTATATAAAGTTACAGGAGGTCTATGTATGATAGCTCATACATACATGTCTAAAATCAGAATGGCGCACGTTGTATCTGTCGACCTTGTGCTAATGTGCCCAATTATGGGTCATATCTTGATTCAACAATTTTCTCTCCTTTCAAAAGCCTCCAGGAAAAAATACATGGAAACATCTGTTGATTCGAAGGGTATCTGGTATCTGGTATCGAATCAAATCGAGGTTCATTAAGGTACGTATGCAACACCAGCCTTTGTTGTAGCGTCACATTAATCAGGTCGTCAAGGGGTATACTCGAAAGCATGAACAAAAGCGTTAGGAGAGCGGGAATGATAACAACAAAGCAGGAAAATTCTATGTGCAAGAAGAAGGGACACAGACCATTGTCCAGACGGTTCCTGTTCAAAAATAGCCCCAGAGTACCCAGATATGTGATGTTTTCGAACTATGATGTAGATGCAGAAATCTTTTTCTTCCGCACGCCCCGACGGCTTTCAGTAGGAAAAACACATTCACGCGACCGTCGCTGGCATTGACTGGAAACACGAAATTAGCATTTTGCTTCAGAGGTCTGAAGAGACTGAAAAAAGAACATCTGCAATGCCGCATGATGACCAACGATACACCGAATATTCGCCAGCCGACCTACAAATGTAGTCGGAGTCGATATTTACATCCCCCCTCGTAAGCAACTTGTTGAATTACCTACTTGCATGTTTTTTCTACTGTCCCAGCCAAAGGGGGTCCGCAAGCAATCTGAACTACAGTTTAACCACAACAACCCAAACAGTTGCCAATTTGCTGACCTTTCTGATACGACAAAAATTGCAAGCCAATGTTTGGGCTTTCTTTTTCTCAATAGGTCTTCTATTCATTGGGAGCGGACTGAGGCGCATGAGACCCGATGACTCAGGCTGGAAATGGGTATCGAGCTGAGGCTCTGGGGCACGAGGACTAGATGTGGATAATGGTAGTGTGGATGTGGACGTGAATGGTTCAGGAGTATCACGTCGGTCTATATTCGAGCTTGTCGGTGAATCAGATTCCGGAGTATTCTGGATTGACCTTACGCGGACACTGGGCCACGTCCCTGTTGGCGAGGATACTAACCCAAGCTGCAAGTCAATTCGCGATGCCTCCCCTTTACAGATAAACGCCTTACTGGTATTCATTTTTAGGATGTCTTCAACATGAGATGGGGATTTTGCAGGAGAGGATGCTTCCGGTTCCGTGAATGGTGGAGTCAGAAAATTCATGAGAGGCTCATGAGTACCACTGAATGTCGCAGTGTCTACATCTTCAGCACTCAATTGCAATGGAGATTTGGGCAATGGAACGTCAAAGGGCTCTATTTTAGGAGAGGACGAAACATCGCCAAGATCATCACGCTCCGGAGACTATGGATACAGTATCAGTGCCAAATTCCAGGAGAAACAAAGCACTAACCAAGGAAATCAGTTGAGATGAGTCACATTCAAGTCGTGCTACGGATTTATCGTTGCCGCACGAATCGATGGTGGACATCGATCCAGGGCTCACGATACATGAAGGTGTACATCCAGCTTCAATATGAAGTGATCCGGGACTGTATCTCACTGATGGTGTACACGGTGGGTTATGTTCTGTTAGCCCAGAACTTCGATAGCCATGGCCAGGCCCATTACGACTAAGAGAGAAGGCGGTACCGCCAAAATATCCACTGTATTCGTTGGCTGGAAGGACTTGTGGCGACCAGTGCAAGCCACGGGCCTGAGGGAAGGTGGCATAGAAGATGTCGTCTTGCTCCTGTTCAGTTTGGGCAAGTAGCGAAACATTGGACGAGGGTTCCAATGTTTCCGAGTAATACTTTGAAAGCCGATGACATATCACTAGATGGCCTCCGAATTGAATGCTTCACTTACCTGAACCTGCCATAAGCAGTGATCTAACGGTGCTTCTTGTGCATAGAGGTCCGACTGTGCTGACGGAACGAAAACAACAGATGGTCTGCGCTTCCCACCGCTAAAGAGTTTCGCGTTCGCAGGACCTTGAGACCACTGTTGAAGCTTTGAGGTTGAGGCCCCGTCGTCATGATCTGCTGGAAAGTGAGAACCATAATCCATAGCAGAAAATAAGTCGCGAAATCTTCTTCGATTCGTTGAATGATCCTGTCATTCGGGGAGAGAAAAGAAAAGCACGCGTTCTTGCACATTATATATACCTCTAGGAACGGGCGGACCAAGGCGGACCAGTGGTCGGCTAAGAGCGCTGAGGCAAAATGTAATCTTCTAAAGTCATCATCATCTGACAATACTAAAGGTGGTTAGTGGGTGCCGTAACTGAGGGACTCGCATTATGCATGTACTTCCATCAACTGGAATACAATCTAATACAACTCAATACAAGCCTAACTCCTTATACAATACCAAACATCTTGGCATATCCATCGCTTGACTTATGTTACATGCACGCCATTGGTACATTAGGATTCCAGTATACCGGATGAATTGTATTTCATGTACATAGATGCACGATAATTGATATGTCATATTTCGAACTTTGAGCATAAGCATCACGCCAAGCTGTCGGAAAGCTGGCGCAGTCATTTGTAGTTTTCAACGCATGTAATTTTGACGCACCTGTATGTACCCTCTTGAGGCTTGGTTTGGTACAATGCTTGTTTCTACAACTTGCAGAGCTTGTGGTTGGCCTAAACTTGATCCCTGTGAACCCACCCACGCTGTATACGAATACAGATGCAGATCTCCGGGAAGGACATTCGATCCAACAGCACAACATCAGCGACTCATTCGACCTCATTCAGCCAGCTGCCGCTGACCGCTGCCAGACCAGGCAAGACGCTGATAGTAAAAATCAAATGGAATAACGCGGCTCAACAGCCGAACCACATTCATTAATTTTTAAGACTTACCTCCAAACGATTTTTCTGATACCAGTAAGAAAGTACATGAATTGTTTGTTTTGGGCTGGACGCAGGTGATAATCTGAAAGGCTGAATTGAAACATGGGTCTCAAGAGAGGATTGAGTGTGGCACAGAGTTGTTCTCATGGCCCAATCTCTGCAAAGGTATCCGTCTGACGCGATGGGCGTCTTGTTCTCCCTTATAAACTCTACCTTGGTCCATGTTCCAACCTGTATACATCTTCGATGAGGTATGGACGTGTTCTGTCTACGTGAACACGAAGTTTTCTCGATGATATAAGAACCGATCTTGGCTCCATTGTATAGAAAATGGTTAACGAGGGTTCAACGTGTCCAGTGAACGTATAGTGAAAACTTGCACCTGTGCAGGAAAATTGAACATTTAGGAACAGATACAGTACCCTTCTTAATCGATATCAACAATAAGCCGCGGTATATATGGGTAGAATGATACCAGGACGATACCTGACGATACCTGAGAAGCCGAGATTTGGTCCACATGGAAATCTGATTCTTCATGCTGTTACTAGCTGCTAATGCTTGACCCCGAATGACGCTTCTCTTCCGAGTTTGAAGAAAACACAGGCATCCATAGCTATCATATGGTCGGGCTTTTGAAGAAAGTTGAAGAAAGGTCACTTCGGAAGGGAGAGCCTGAAGATTTACAGATCCGGTTGATCCTCTTCCCACGGCAGCAATTCATTCCAAAGTCTATTACTTAAATCATCAGTTCAAACGAAGGTGAACCAGTTTGCTATGGTACCAGGGTCCAGCACCTTCATTCCTCGGTGATCACCTCATCCACAAGCTTTATCAGATTCTGTGGGTGGATTTCCAGTTATAAACATATATACCTTATACACACGACAAGTCTTAGTTTAGTCGCGTTCCGAGCTCGCGCGCACTCCAAAATCTCATGAAAACCGTACCGAACTGTGATCTCTGTTCTCATAATAACCTTAAATGATCATGAACACTTTACGAAGTCGTAAGCCCCTCTAGGTCGTTAGTCAATCCAGATAATAAGATGTATGCAATTGCAACGGCCGCTCCCCTCACATCATTTTCTCGAAGGAAAAAATATGTTTTCCTGAAGATGATCGTTCTAACAATTTTCGGCGACCACAGACTGAAATGATTGGTTGCTGAAGTCTCGCCTGGGTGATCCCCAACAGGATTCAATGGTCAGCACCACCGAATCGAGACCGTATCCGACCGTGTACATAGGCTCCCTCTTGAGTTCGAACTTCTATCGCCGAAACCATATTTTACAACAGCTAAACGATTGCCGGAGCAACATTTTATAGAAATCCTTGCTCAGCATCGTCCGATACCCGGTCCATCGAGCTCAATCCTATGAGCACGCTGATAGTTGCTGATAGGTATAGGTTTTGTCATCACAAAAGCTAAACTGCGTCCAATGTAAAAATGCAGAGGTGGAGCGAGTTTTTACCACCATCTTACATGGCTTCAGAGTACTCCCTGCCGTATATCTTACCTGTTCGAACCCTATCTACATATTCGGGTGTTCACTGCTTCCCTCCCCTCTCATACAAAGGGACATTTCTCAATGGTTCGTTTTTCTGCGTTTCAAGAACTTCCCCGTTGTCGTTAGCTTTGGTATTCGGGGCAGACCGGTGATTATTCGAAGGCTCTAGACACCCCAAGGGCTCGAAAAGCACGACATCGTATACTCTATCTCCAAATGTCAGATGTCGCAGCGCGCTCTAGTATTTTGGTTGGTTAGATGGGCTGATAACCGGGTAATTTCGTTGTTGCTCTTCTTGGTATGGTACTTGGGATCTCGGGGCGGCTTTGTGGCTTCACGGGACCTCCCGAGTGTTCAATCGGTTCTCCTGATTCGCCCATTTGTACAGGACGTATCGACTGGCATTCATAAAATATGAATACATGCTCTCATCGTGATGGCGTACAATCTCGTACAATCCAGTTGGTTTCACGCATTTCAACAGGTTCGGTGACAAGATGATTGTGGCGTCCGCGATCGCTGTAGTAGTAGTACATATGCATCGGGGTGGACTGGTAAATAGAGCAAAGACAAAGGAGAAGCATTCGAATAATCGTCACGGTAAAACAAGATCATCATTCAGATAGTCACTGGCAAGGATGTTTGTACACTACAGCCAGACGTATCAACTACAGTATGGAGTAGATTTACGCAGATCACAGACAGTTCAGAGCCACGGAATCAAAACTATTCCATGGGTATCTCTAGCCTCTCATGGGCTGTCATCCAAAGATGTAACTGATTCTCCTTCTGCATCACTTGTCAATGCCCAATCTTCCATGTCCTCTTTCACACCTCCCCCGTTAACCGACGGAATTTTTGCACCTCTTTTCCGAAGGAAAGTAACCACCTCGGTCGCATACCGCCATCCTTGAACGTCAGTTTGGACCTTCGACCCCACCACCGGCAACGACGGGTCAAATACATGGAAACGTCCGTCTAGACCTCCATAAGTCTCGGCAAGATGGCTGCTTGCGCGAACCTTTAATCTTTTGCGTTCACCAGTATGTTCGAGTTGATCGAAGAAAACAGCAAGCGCTTTAACAGCCTCGATACGCGCACGGAGGACATGTCGCATAATTCGGCGCGTAGGTGGACGACGGCGAGAGTGCGGGTGTGAATACGCTTTCACCGTGGGTGGAGGTTCTTGCTCTCTCGGAAGAATCAGAGTTGGGTCGGGAGGAAGAACAGATGAAATGTGATGCATGGAATTCAATGAGGTTCCCGAAGGTGTACAGGCCTCAGAAGAACTAACATTGACGTTGGAGTTGTCATCGGTTGAAATCGAGGGTGTTGATATTGGGTTAGTTTTAGGTTTTTCAACCCATGGATTCTCCTTTGGGGTTTTCGGAGTTGTATACAGAGAAAGGGCAGTGACGGACAGATCCCATTTCTTCGGCGCCCAGACGCCAATGAGTATACGCCAAGCCGTAATAAACCGCCTTGCGCTACATAAATTGATATGGAAGGGAAAAGAAGAAGCGACTGGTCGAACTCATGCGCCACATGAAGACTGAAAGAAAGAGACGTACGCTTCATAATTACCTGGTGGTAACATTGAGTTAATTAAAACAAGGCTGTGATGGTTTTATGTGCACATACCAGTGATAGTCCGATTATGGTAGATGGCAAACATATAAACCGTCGAAGCAGCAATGATAGCACCAACAGGTGTGTACCAGAATAGAGCCCATAGGAAGAAAAATGCAGCTGGGTAGATAAGGAACAGAGAAAATAACCCAAAGGCAACTTTGTTCTGGGCTTGCGTTTCTTCCTCGTCTTCAACCAGATGTGCGCCAAAACGACCCATGATGTAAACAGGCATATGAACAACGAGGGGAAAGAGGAAGAACGGCAGGTGGACAAGAGAACTACACGTGTCACGGACGAAGAGCAGGAGGGTGAGAAGACGACTAGGGAGGGCAACAGGTTTATGGGGATCGAGATCTCGAGGTAGAGGTAACGTAGAAAGGATAGAGTTGGTCAAATTTGTGGTTTGCAAAAGCGAATAGTATTCCAGCAACCGAAGTCGTGTAGAGTTGAATTTTGGAGTCACATCAACGGTGGAAAACAGATCGACGAGCCTATGTGGAGTTTGTATATTAGTGACCTCAGGTTTCGTTATGGAGCAACGTACGCACGTTTGAGAAATCGCGACAAAATCGTCCAGATTGATGGAACTGTCTTTCTGCCACAAAATATCGCGAGCCATGCGCGCTGCGTACAAAGTATCCCTGAATATGTTTGAGAGCACTCCTCCAATGGGATATGACTGAATTTACCAATCAGGAGCGTTAACAGTATGTTTTGTCAGCTCTGTCTCTATGTCATGACTGAGTCGTTTAGCTGCCGCTCGCGAGGCACCTTCGGTATCCGAGAAGAACTGTTCCTTGTATGGGTCAATGGAAATTGGTTGACCAAATCTTGGAAGACATCGACAATTAGAATGAAACTTGTACATGTGTTATGGGTAGATTCTCACTCTATGATGACCTGGCCAGTAGAATAAATGTCAAATTTTTCCTCAGAATATGCGAGAACACTCACACTACTCCGGTACTTGGACTTGTTAGTATACACAATGGCTACCGGAACGACTTTCACTTCTTGAGTTCCGGGATGCTCCTTTGCGTATTTCGTGTACTCGAGCGCAGCCCATGCAGCCCCGTCTTTGATTTGCATAATCCTCGGTTCAGTATAACTGGTACCCTCAGGGAATAAAGCGACAGCATAGCCCTTAGAAAGGGCTTCGAAGGTGCCTCGAAAGAGCACTCGACGGTCGTTGGACTTGCGGTCAACTGGGATGTTACCGGTGGATAAGAGGATTTGACGAATGACAGGATTGGCGAACAAGGAAGCTAACATATTGGCTATTATTATTTCACTCAAAATATGACAAGGTTTGCGACACACCTTTACTCCAGTAATGCAATATTCTCTGATTCGGAAACGTTGACGCTGTTGAATGACAATTACTCTTTGCTACGAGGCATTAAGCGCGTCTACGAACACAATATTACTGGGTCTAACATCATGTTGTGGTGGGTAGCCGTGCTGCAGCAATATTAGTTATGGGGAATATTGGCAAATTCAAGCACTCACATTATAATAGGACCGGTCTGTGGCACATTCTCTCCCCCGACTACTCGAATTTCAGAGAAGAAAGAAACGGCGGCTAAGCCGGTAACATAACGAATTAAACGATGAAGAAGAAAAAAGTTGAAGTCATTGGCCAACGACGACATCCCAGAATTCACCGAGCAAACCGTGATCACAAGGTGATGGTAAGTAGAACAAGTTTGTCTAGGGTCGTTTACACTTAGCGCCGTGCGCAAGCAGCAGTTTTCATGACCTTCAGTTCTACTAGAGCTTGTTGCTAATTGCAAGAAGCTGAGGGAAAGAAGGGCTGGAGTACATTATCAGGATAGCTAGGTTTTGTGTACACTGGCAGAAAAGCGTGATAATTAGATGATACACAAAGCACATGTGCCTAATCGTTGAAGCAAAACATATATGGACGTTTGGGTAACGGAAATAAGATGTACAGAAATAGATGAGTTGCGAAGACGATTTAAGCCGACGCGCTCTTATTGCGCGAAGATCGTCTAACTCCAACAGCTGGTTCAGTGGGTTTTTTGACCTTTTTCCCCCGTGCAGCATTGTTAGTAGGAGGAGCATTTCTGCGACGTTTAGATGGTGTGGGTTGAGCACCACTATCATCTGCAGAACCATTTTCTGCCGTCACCGCTACAATCTCCCCACCACTTCCAATACCATTGTCTGCCATCTCAGGAACAGCGCTTAAATCACCATGAGCTCTCTTACCGCGACGTTTTTCCGGTGTGCGACTTGGACCTGTCGCAGGTTTTCCTACGTCCTCTTCTCGTTTGCGTTTCTCGTCGAATTGGGAAAGCAACTCAGGCGAAGGACGCGGAATGGTCATTTCGCCTGCATTCGCTTCCTCTAAGACGTCCTTTCGGCGGCGCAAGACCCGAGAATTCTGAGGTTGGAGTTTTCTGGTTTGGGAGGGTGGAGGAGGGGTAGCATCATCCATTTGAGAATCGTCATCCGCAGCTCCATTGGGGAGGTCGGCGGAAGCGGAGTTTGAGGATACACCCGCGCGATCGTTAGCATTCGAAGGACCCACTTGCTTTTTATCGTTGATATCCAACTTCTGAAAACCTTGTGAGAAAAATGTAGATCCTGGCTGCTTTTCTTCATTGGTATTATCAGGAATCGCGTCCCTGCCTGTGGGGATAAACTCGGACGAGTCAGGCTGATGGTCGCGTGGTTTTCCTAGATTCCGGTCGGCAGTGGCATCACGATTGTTCTTCTTCACATAGTCCTGAAGCCACGAATGATCAAGCGCAGCCTCGAGGGTCATCCGAACGGCTGGATCGGGATTGAGTAGTCGTTCAATAAAATCAATGACTAGTGAATATAAGAATGAGTTCCGCGATCGAACTTTTAGCGTTATGACTTGCTCATTGGATTAGAAGTCTTCTCTCTGAGAATTCTCCAGTCTACCGTACGAGTACTGATTCTCACACGAATATCCGGCTGATTTTCGTCTTCTATGAAAGGACTTGCATTCGTGAGCCTACAGTGAAGACTGTGATGAGTTCAAATTGGCACGGCTCATCGTTGAAGACACACATGGAGAAAACGATAGCTCCGACACTCCAACTATCCACCAAATTATCGTAACCCTGCATATTCGTCTGCATAACAATCTCGGGCGCAAGATAAGCAGGAGTTCCGCACATAGTCTGAACGAGAGATCAGGTTCTATCTGATTGAAAATTGTCAAAAACCAATGCACACCTTCAACATTGTTTGGCTGTCGATGGCCTTCGCAAGTCCAAAATCCGCAACTTTAACGTCAGGCGGATTGCTTTTGGTAAGTAGAATGTTCTATGAGATACGACTCAGAGTCACAACTCAGTGTGAGCACAATGGATCACGCTGACCTCGGGTTTTAAATCGCGATGGGTAATCCCAAGACTGTGGACATACTGAACGAGCAAGGTCAACGAAGGATCATCAGGAACAGGAAAATGCTTACTGATAGCGCCAGACACAATTGATAAGTGATATGTTGTGTTATTTCCTCGCCTGTTGAAGCACATATCAGCGTCACCACGGAGTACGAAAAGAAAACAAACAACACTTACTAACACCCGAACTAGAAAGAATGTATTCCAATAGATCGCCACCTTCAATAAGCTCCAAGACTAGGACTATGGACAAATAATCAGGACTCCAACAGCAATCATGATGAAGAAGCGTCTTACTTAGTTTGCGTTCTTCAGTAATGAACGTCTCTTTGAGGAAGCAGATGTTCGGATGACTGAGCGTTTGTAAGATCCCAATCTCTCGAGAAACCATCTTTTCGTTTGATCTAGAGCCCAGACTGCTGCTTCCACCTCCCGTCAACAAATTGCTGAACATTTTGGCGGCCCATAAAATTCCAGTTTTACGCTCCAAGCACCTTACCACAGAAGCGAATGTTCCTCGACCGAGCTGATCATGAGAATCGTATAATCCATAAAATCCGTCTTCCCGTTGTTGACCGCTGGCGGTATGCCGGAAAATGAAACCTGCAAAAGAGATCTAGTATCTGTAAGGAAGAAAGCTCGAAATCGCGTACGATAATCCTCAGCGGGCTGGGTACTCGAGGGGCCTGGTGAACCAAAGGCGACCTCAGCGCCATCAGGGAGGATCCGCGAAACCCCTTTCCCCAGCCTTTGACCATTGACCTACCGACAAAGGCATCGCGTCAATATTTAGTCGAGCGGATGATGGAAATGAAACTCGCGTAAGTCCCATTACTAGAATTATCTTTCAACATGATAATTGAATCTTTTGTCTCTCTTCCATCCCAAGTTATCTCAGCATGCTTGTTGCCTACGAAGTTTATCGTCAATTGGAGCGCGACGAGCCTGGAATTACATATGTACGCACTGATCTTGTAGCCCGGAAAGACGACATCATTGTGCAAGCTGCGACCGATACGATAAGTAAGTTTAGGTTTGAAGAGGTTGACCTCTTTCATATCCTTCACAAGTGGATAAAAAGATCCCCAAACATTCTCATGAATTTCGCGACCAAAGTCAAGACCCTGCGAACTAGGTTGTGTTTGTTTTACCGACTGGCTTTCGACTACAGATTCGTCATCGTGCTGAGAGTGTTGGGAGCTCATAGTAGTGGGGATGGTTGACGGAAATTTTCTAGCTGAACGGATGGTTTCAAGGTTTATTTATGAAAGCAACGTGCAAGGAACGGCAATTGGGCACAAAGCTTTGACAGGACAAAGTTGTGGGTCGTGAAAGGGAAAAGTTGAAACTCCTTTTTCCCTTTTTGGTAGGATTGGTGATATTGTGGGGGACAGACAAAGATTGCGCGTAAAGACAAGGTCACAAAGAGAAAGCTATTGGAGATCCGCTTTGGTCGCGAACAATGAGGTCGAGGAGACTTTTTCTGGTTATTGTTGTTCATGTTGCACGCCGTTCGTCCGTCGGCTATCTTTGAATATGTAATCATGATTGACGCCCGACTACCTATTTTGGCGCTTTGGGGCTTAGTAAGACATTCTGCCCTTTCGAACTTCAGTCGTCCAGCGTTCTATCCGTCTTCTTAGGTCTTCTTGCTAACCTGCAACTTTTGACCGACCGTTGATCTCAGGACGTATAGCGGAAGAACAGCACCGGCAAGCAAGTAAGATTTCGAAGCAAGCACTCATGTGAGCTGTAGCACAATTCACAACCCCTAAAGGCCGCCAAGAGCTCTAATGGAGGAAACTATTGAAAGCTCCTGAAGGCTCACATGCACACTGTATGACTCCTCATCGACCTCACTTCTCTTATAACTCTCGAGAGCAGGGTTGAGGTTTTTCTCATTTGACCAAACATGATCTCTGCAACTCTGACAGACATGCGGGAATTCAATTACCAAGCTTTATGTTCCATTATTCTATCCTATCTTGATATCTTGATCGGCGAATAAAAACAATTTCCAAAGGTCCAACCTGGTTCATCCCGCACGAGCTGGCATAAAACTGAACCATCTTGCTATGTATCAATGCATATCAAAATCCAAAGCCTAGGCCCGTGGTCCAGTTTGAATTTCTTAACGTCTTTCCAATGCTGAATTAGTACAACTGCCATAGTACTACAGGGTGCTGCCCTGTACTAGTCTATTACAATGCATTGCTTCAGACTGCTTCCCGTTCTTTGCGGAACAACCTTCATTTTTCAATGAGTCTGAGGAGTCGGCGAGGACGACAACACGGCAATACGTTACATGTACTACCCACTACAAAGTTGACAATACTTTGCTACCCTAGACTACCCTCAGTTACCCTCAGCCGCCGGCGCAGGTTCAATCATACCATATTCAACGGGATGTGGACTTCTTAAGGACTCAGGCTATAGATTTTGGTAGATCCTTACCCTTCCTTACCCATATTCTACGGAAGTCCAAGAAGGTAAACCATCGAAAGACTTGAAGATTAAGTAGAACCTCAGTCTTGGAATGTCCTGAAGTATCGATCTAACCTATGAATCAAGGTAGTTGTTGCGGGACCTATATGCATCCATTGTTTGATTTATCATGATTGGCTAGGGCTCTTCTTCAAGTCAATTGCTCTTAGTCTTTATGCTTTCTTATGCTCCCCGCTTCTGCTTTCCTAATTGTCCCTGATATTTTCACTGCTATCTAAGTACATACATAAGTACCGACGTCGATCGCACAGATATCCATATATATTTACGCTGAACCCACATCACCTCCGAGTCTATATTGGAAATATCAGTACATATAATCAAGTATAAGTGAGCTCAGACAATCTGCCATAGCCTGTCACTTTCGTCTCAAGATTGTCAGGAACAGCCCTATCCATAAGTACCAAGCATTGAAGCGCATCGCTCACGACATAACGTGTTCGCACCTAATCGACTGGAAGTATGCAAAGTTGATGCAAAATTTCCTCACAACCTGAAAGACATCCATCTCTCGAAACCTTCAATGAAGATCGCCACAAATTCGACAGGCTGGGAAATGGTATATATGTGACTCGGAGGTGTCTGGTATCAACTGAGCCTTGGTCGCGTCTCGATTTCCCCCTGCAATTGATGCAAACGCTGAGTCGATATTCACGGCACGTATCGGGAACGACTTACCACTGGTACGTATGTGACCGATTATTAACGAGTATGTTGTTTTCGGGGGCGGGAGGATTGATCAGAAGAGTTGATGTGTATGTACATAGTCTACAGTGTAGGCGAACTGTCACAAATTTAAGTGAGGCTGATCAGAATCGACGTTGAACGTTTGAATATAATCGTATTGGACGCTTGTCGGTGCTCGGCGATGTTATATCGCTATCCGATCGCCATTAGACCACAAGCATCGAGCAGAGACTCGGAAATAGAACAATATAAGGATGATAGATATTTGTGAAGATTCCTCCGTTTCCACCATTGTCTTAACTCCCTCCACCACAAATCTTCCCTATAGGGGATAGAGGTCGACTTGGGAAAGATACAAGTTGACCAGATGTTGCTTACTATTGGTATACATGTGCCTAATAGGATTCAGGAGTAATCGGTCCCACCTGGCTTATACTTACGGTCGAAGGAGAAAGAGTTAGGTTTAGTAACATTAATATTAAATAAACGGGAGACGAGTATATACTGACATTCAGGGATTAATATCTGATTGTACCATCTGCTTCAACGACTGGATATGAATCGGCGTAGTTCGACAACAACCACCGAGAAGCACACCAGCCCATATTCTGGAAGGCGTGTATGACTTTGTAAGGGTTCTTGCCCAATGTTCCTCATTGGCCTGATTTTTTTCCACCCAATTTTGTGTCACAGGATCATATATATCTCCTCCATTCGGATAAAGGACCAACCACGGCTTGATTATATTGTTGTCCAGTAAATCGGAGTCGCAGTCTAAGGAACTTTGTGTTTTCTGAAAATTCTGTAGGCTACCCTCGAACTCAGATATGAGTTTTGGGAGATATTCCACCTGTGTACAGTTAATGCCCAGTCCGGAGGGACAAGGATGATTCATTGACTGATGTTCAATGGCAGCAGATACTATGTCTGCTACCTGTATCCTGGAAAATCCATCCTTGGTGGTCTCAGGATAAATTCCATTTGGGAAAACCATGCTAATCCACCACGGCTTGGCTTTATCCGAAATGGAAACCCTTCCTGCACCAACCCGATCATGAAGAAGCCCCATAGCCCGACGGATAGCCCAAATCTCTCGCGTAAGTGGTACCGTCTCAAAAGCGATACAGTCAAGGCTACTCCACATAGCTTCATTTTCGAATAGTATGAGCAATCGCTCAAGATGGAACAGTGTTAATGCGTCAATAGATTCGTTCTTCGCAACTTCATCGTCGCCAAAATTGTTGCCGTTTTCTGCATCCATATGAGTGTATGCTTTCGGTCCGAAGGGCGGCGGATAAAATCCGTCGAATTCCTGAGCTGGCTCGAGACTAGCCCCAAAAGGACCTAGAGAGAGAGCAATCCGTACGTTCCGTACAGGCGTTCCATTTCTAACTTGTTCGTCCCGGAAGATTTCTCTTGCTTTGCTGGCTAGTTGAACAGATTTAAACATGATACACCTAGCATCCGCAGTCGTGTAACCTGCGCGCGCGAACGTTGGGTACGAGCACTGATAACTAGCAAGCAACATTGTATCATCAGAGTACTGCAATTGAGGCCGATGTCGAGGATAATTTACGTGGATGTGGATATAAGTTCCGCACCAGCGCGCAGAAAGGCGAGATGTGCTTCGATGACAAGGTCAGCGTGATCCACTACTGCATTGGTAGACCAGAGAGGTGTGTTGGAAATATCAAGTTGAAACCATTGTTCCAACGTCGTGCCCTACAGAGCAGGAGTGAGCCCCACGGAAAGTTCTGAAAGAATGATCAACCAATTCACAAAACCCCCATCGATAACAACAGGACTGGTAATAAAAATCTTGGATAGAGGATTGTCCATCAAAAGAGCTGGCGCCTTGCAAGCGCTCACGGATCTTTACGACACGTATTGATCGGAAAAAATCTAACAGTTTACATCAGGTGTAGCGATATTGTAGTACGGTCCCAACTTCGAAAGATCAAAGACAAAAAGGAGTTGTACATAGGAACCCACATCTCAATCTCGATAAATTTGCTGCATCCCAATTTCTTCTGTTTGTTGCTCCGCTAGAAGCGAAGATTGCTCCCCACTTATTGCCTCTTTGTTTGACTTCGGTACAGCCTCTTGTCTGCGTTGTTTTGGTAGAAGAATTAAGCCAGCAAAGTATAGAATCGGCAGGATCTGCGTGATCATTTATGAAAAGGTGAGTGACCTACGACATATTCATATTGCTTTGACTTACTAGAATCCAGGTATACCACATATAATCTGCGCCTTCCATGAGATCTCCTCTCCCAACAGCCTTCGGCCATTCTGTTTTATAACCCGTACGTACTTGGAAAAATCCAAGAGCAATCAGAATCAAACCAAAGACGGCATGTAGATAATTCTGTAACGGACGTCCTGGCGAGTTTTTCGGCTTCACCCAATGAATGAAGGCCCCAAGGGCGCACTGAGAAACATATAGCGCAAACAAAATAACGCCCCATTTCTGAAGCATAGTGAATTTAGAATTTTCCCAAAACAACCGAAATACTGACCTTATGTTCGTCGTTGAAATGTTCAATTTCACGACTCTTATTGATTGACTGGACACCGAATATTAGCCCAAGGAAGATGCTGAGCCCAGCTTTTTTGGTTGAATCAGAATGGTATACTCTGTATGGACGCAAGACGACCCACAAACAATAAATTGTAATATCCAATGCGCTGTATACCACGCCGGAGTGAACGTTCTGGCCCATCTGCTAACAAGCGCACCGGCTGGGAGAAAAAGAAGGAATCCAGCAGTGCAGAACACTGCGTGTGCAAAGACTAGCCGCTGGTGGGCATTTAGAGGGAGAGAGTTGGTAGATGTCAGAGACGAGGACGATGGAGATGCTTTCGACGAGGAGGAAGCAGGATTTGTAGAAGGAGTGGAAGTGGACGGTGTAGACAAATCCTCATTAGAGTTCGCAGATATTGGTTTAGACAGATCAAAGTGAGCGTAGCCTGCATCAAGATGGAACTGAAATGGCGCATCCACTGCAGATGATCCTGGATTCTGAGTACCAAATGCCCAGATCAGATTTGTTTTAGCCGAATTATCCCACTTATTGGGAAAGTTGAAAATCAGATCCAGGAGACTTGAGACATGGACGTACTGGAATTGTGAAGCCATACCTATCATTCCCTGAAGACTGCGAAGGATGATATTAGGAACATGGAGTATACTACGCATAGACACAAACATACCGTGCTAAGATCACTTGAAAGAGTTGCTATTCTTGGAGGATTATCGACAACTTCAGGCATAACCCAGGACCGTGCTACACGTTGTGACAATGTGGTACTACCATCAGGATTAGACCACAAAATGACCATAGGATTGTTCGACATCTGCGTGCCAAACCCACTACCGCAAGTAAACTTCGTGAGCTTAACGACGCTGCAATCATCTAAGCTTACACTGCCATCCATCCCGGATCTCTCTTCCCCGTGCTCGAAAGCACGTCTACAAAATGTTTGACAAAAGTAGTAGTAAAAGATTAGCCGCGACTTACACTCCACAGTGTCCCCGGCCAATGTAGCATTGACACACATATACTGGTCCAAAATGTTAAGTTTACTAAGCATCACGTTAGGATGCGAAGGTCTTGCGTACATTCGAACAGGCGTAATCGCCCGTCAGCAGAGTTGCTTGCCTCTGAACGACCTGCGTTTGAGCATGTTCTTTTAAAAAGTTCGGGAATACGACCTTGACGTACCGTTAGATCTTTTCCTTTAGCGAGACTAACTATCAAGAAGGAAGTGAAAACCTGTAAAAGAGCGGAAATCATCGTAACTCAAGGGATACGAGAGAGGAACAGAAGAGGGGAAAACAGGGGAAAACGGTAAACTTGAAGTACTACATCTATTTTTATGTAAGCCACAGGTCAAGCCACTATCTGAGTATCTCGACGACACCCGCAAGACGCGCAGCAAATTCGGGTGGAAATACTACATAAGTAATACATACTGTACATGGTATATACATACATTTGATTGATGCAATTGAACTGGTTGTGAACGATTTTTCACTTGTTTTTAGTTGAAATTGGTTGAAAGGTCCGCAATATCGACGTACATTGGAAGAAGCCAGTCTGGTGTTACAGGTGCTCGACTTGTGCTGCAAGCTTGCGATAAGCCTCGAGTGGGGTCGAGAAGAATATGTAGTCAGTTCCCAATACCCACGACGTACGGACCAAAAGCCCACGGCCATCTCCCCTCCTCTCATGGTGGGAAGATATCACCATAGGTATAAAGGGTGTTTAAATACGAGGAACAGGAAAGATTTTGATGGACCCCAGTATACCCAAGTGTGTAGTAGAAGCTACTGTAACATACGGTTCATGCCATCCCTCGCTTTTTGTTCCTACGTGCATGAGAATCGATAATGACCATCCCGTCGTTCAACGTCAATCTATCCATCAAGGAACTATTCACCGTCGGTGCCGGTACCTGTCTCTGTCCCGCATGGTGGTTGATTTCACTCTCGATTGATAGTAAAAATTCTTCTTTCTTTGCAGCTCCCTTGATTTTCAGCCCCATATGTACGCTCGGCGATGATTCGGAACGCTGAAGTCGGGAATGCGGAAATGTTTGCTGGCGCACTGGTCCCGAGTGCGAGTGCGGCATTTTTGGCAGAGAAGGCAAAGTGCCCATTCGACTTAGCAAAGAAGGGATAACAGAATCTAATTCCCCACCACCTTCCCCACCGCCTTTCTTGACTTTCTTAGTAGGCTGAGAAGAGCTGTCGGAATCGAGAGGCTGTTTCCGGCTGAGCGTCTTCACCTTGGATGTCGGTTTCACTTCATTGCGTGCATAAGGTTGAGCGGGAATGGATACCGTTGATGACGACGGTGGTAGAGTAAGGTTTGCGGAAGCACGGCTAGTTGAGGGAACAGACGGGGCGCTTGCAGTTCTTGATATCGGAGATGGTTTTGAAGACATTTCTGGCCTTTTGGCAGCTATAGACTGAATAAGGTCCGATGTCAGTCAACGAAGCAAACAACGGGGTCCTTTGCGAACCCTGATTAACTCATGTATATCTTCTCCCTGGTCAAGGCTTGGGACGATCCGGCTTAATGATTGTACACTGTGTAAAACTTGAAAAGGTATCACCCAACCGTTATCCGCCACCTGTATGATGTGAGACACGAGAAGAGTAAAAAGAAAATCATCGAGCACTTACGAGCAAAAGTCCCCGAAGCAAAAGCACACATACTTTTTGAGGACTGACTTGAGTGAGATTTGCTTTGGAAAGACACTTCGAACACAAATATATATATTCATAATACACGATTAGAGCAGAGACGTTGTGCGCACTTCGAAAAAGAATGGCGTCAAATTGAGAAGACGAATAACGCTTGGCGGATTTGTTTTGCAGGTATGTAACGCCTCAGCAAAATGTCGTAGGATAATCAGTTGATCTTCGATAGAAATACTTGACAGGACGGTCTTTCCGAGGATAGGTGTATAGAAGTTGAATAAATCTTCTAGATTTCCCTGTCGTTTGCTGATGAAAAGGACACTTAACATATCAAGATAAGGTCGAGTTTTGTTCAAGGAACGTGTCCCATTCTGAGCATCCAGATTCATATGATCGTCGAAGAGCGCACTCTTTGCTCTCTGTAAAACTGATTGCGATAGTGTTGTTCCACGAGGACATGGCGTATCAAGAAATTGCAATTGCATCAAGATATCCTTTAGGATGACTTGGGTATCTGTTTCGCCCAATTTTGGTAGTGCCTACGAATATTCTGTCAATGAGATAAAGATTCTAACAAACACACACACACCGAGATCAACCCATTCACAAGTGTGTCTTCTGCTTCACTCCCAGGAGCCATATAGCGTATGAGCTGTCCCTTCTTCAGTTCACCAATTACGAATGATAGAACCAATGTCCGTAGACTATTCCTCATTTCGAGTTCTTCCGGGTCTGCAAGATCGTCAGGCGGTACAACCTGATCACACAGGACACCTAGTGTCACCCGAGAATCGAATTGCAGGTGATCAACAAGAGCCTTCCTGACCATGGTGACTTCATTTGGATCGTCTGTTTACGTGGTGAATGGAACATGGTAATACCTTGACAATACGTGTAACATACCGCTTTGCAACAATTGAACCAGAACGTCCGCGTTGCGTTTGACCCACTTCTTTTCTAGCCTTGACATTTGTACGAGAGCATTATAACCTGCCATCCTAACCTATGGCATTGTGAGAATAGATTATAAGTTGTAGAAGGAGAAGGAGAATGACCGGCGACATTTGGTCTTCACAAAGATCATAAACCGCATTAATCGCATCCTCTTCAGCTTCTGGAAAGTCTTGGAAGAAATCAGGTATGTTCTTGGCCGCAAATATCTTGAGCGAAACGTTCAATGAACGAGTTGCTTCTACAAGTTGCTTGAGGGCACTCCGACGCTACATGTAAAGGTGTTTTTAAATATCTGGGGAGATATTAGAGTTTGTGCAAACCGAAGTGCTGGTTTTATCTGAAGTCGCTTTGGCCCGCCGCACAAGCACTGGGTTATAGGGTTAACGCAAGGAGATGAAGCGTATCGGTAGGCCGAACCTTGTAGTTCGCGCTCTTCCATGGTTGTAGAGGTGTAGCTCATCGCAAGTACGATAATCACGTGTCAGTGTCATCGCTGGCGCACGGACCTGTTAAGCTCTCCAAGTACAATGTCCAAGTACGCCAACCATCTTTCGCCAAATCTTCCTTCAACCCAAAAGCTCACAAAGTCGCAGAAATCTCGGGCTAGAAGAGAGCCGTCTGGCGTATTCTCGCTGTTCCAGGCACCCCAAATTCAGCAGTTTAAGGAAGCCTTTCAACTGATTGACCACGACAAGGATGGTTGGGTTAACGAAAGCGATCTACGAGAAATTTTCACAAGTCTTGGTAGGCCTCATCTGGGTACTTGCAGTGTATATTGCTCACATTGGTGAGAAGGCATAACCCCTACGCAAACGATGCTCGACGACCTTCTATCATCTAGACCTGGAGATACTTCTTCTATATCATCAGTCGACAAAGGCATCAACTTCACAATGTTCCTCACTATGATGAGCGAAAGGCTCTTCGAATTTGACACTGAACCAGAGCTTCTGGTAGCTTTTGAAAGTTTTGATGAAAACGACAACGGCACGGTTAAAGTGGAGGATATGCGAAGGTGGTTGGCCGAATTGGCAGATCGAATGAGTGAACAAGAGGTAAGTCCGTAAAATTTCCGTCAGAGCCCTTCCTCGCTGAATCCTCCTCATAGATTGACAAGTTTTTGAAAGGACCCTTCACGGACAGACAAGGAAACTTCAACTATCGGGAATGGATCAAAGTTCTTCGCGTCAATGAGGATGGCAATGAAGTCGAAGGACAGACATAACTTCACAGATTGACCTACAAATGTATTCTGAACAGAATTTATGTGACGGTAATTAATCATACTGTAAACTAATTCTTGAGTCTTGACAATGGATTACAAGCAGTCGGGATCGCGCTTGGGCTCAAACCCGACAATCAAATTTTGATACCCCACTCATTCACTTCTCATAAGAGTTTTGCAACTACATATGCATACAGGAACTGATACGAAGTCAAGAAACATAGAAATTACTGAAGATTGGGGCGATTGCGATGCTCATGCGAAATATTCCGGTCTCCTGCTTTGATCTTCCGCGTCCATAAACAGCGCATCAAACTCTGCTGTCGACTGACCAATAACACCAAATGCATCTTGCAATGTATGTCCCAGTGTCTGCAACTCTTGCGTGACGCCTTTCATGGCCATAGCATACGCAAAGAAAAGCAACTGCCTAGAACCTTTAACGTCACGGTTGCGGACCACTTCGAGTCGTCGGATAGCATGAACCTGATAAACATAGTTCAACAGAATTATTGAGTCTAAAGGCCAGAATGCGCACCAGCTGCTGCCGAGATTCCTCAGCAGGCGGGAGATAAGGTGGTAGAGGGGCTTTGAGCCGAAAGGCGGATGCTAACGTTGAAAAGTAGAGAATGATATTTCCAACCATATCCCGCCGCTCTTTGTTGACCGGGATGATAAAGTCTTGTCTGACGTTCTGTTGGAATATATTCCAGATGCGAAGCACTCATTACGAAAAAAGGAGACTTACCGTATACCATTCCTCACGGGTTGTGACGCAGCGCATGCTATGCAGCTTATCAAGAATAGTCTGCAGGCTCGTCAAAATCCCTCGATACATCGCGACGGGGAACGGCCCCTTGAGACGAGGTTCATGTTGCGCTTGGCCAAGAAGGCCCTGCAACTCTATGAGCTTGATTTGCAGATGAAGTTCCCTATATCAGGGAAGTAAGTCACTGGTCCTTTACGCCGCGGCAAACGACTGACATTGCCATGAATGCTTTGATAGAGCTATTCACCCTAGGACGTTCCACAGAAGTGTTAGCGGTAGACGGAGGGGTCTCTGCATCCACATCCCCATCTTCGTCAATGTGTTCCGGAGTGAACGAATTTGACATGACCAGTCTAGTGTATAACCATCCGACATTCAAACAGAATCTAAATCGAACAAGTTTCGCGATCAATACTACCTTAGTCGAAAGGAAAGGAGATAGTGATAACGTACTCGCCAAGTGCCTTTGAAAGCTCCCGCCTGGCTTCAGCAGGCCACCAAAACCTTGACACCAGAGCAGCCCAGACGACACCGATTGTGACCGAAAGCGCACGATGGTAAGCGACCTTGGCAACGGACAAGTCCTTTTCTCGAAGGTTGTAACTGTAGAGGTGTAGACATTAATGGGGATCAGTCACTACTGAAGTGCTAAGTCCTTACCAATACAAACACGTCAAGTTATACGTGAGCAGCACAAAACGCGCGGAGGAGGCATACGCCGGTTTCGATACGAGATAGTAGAAACAGGGGATGGAAAAGAAGAATCCAAAGATTGAGAGGAATATAGCGTTTTCTGAGAATAAAGAGAAGATCCCTGCAGCTACGGCAGCGCCAAACCTGATTAGGGGATCAGAATAAGTCGGATATATAAGCCATGATACGCACAAAGTCCCTAAGATACGGTGTAGACTGAGAAAGTTGGTCTGTGAATGGTGTCCAGTGTCAATGTGGTGACGTGGTAAAAAAAAACTAAGTCCGTACAGCACCAATTGTAGGAGACATTACTACAAAGAACTAGCCACATACATGTTCGTCAGTTTCACAATCTCTAGCTACGAACAAAAGCGCACCGAAATCAAAGCCCAATCTCCATAATACTTTACGAACAACGGCCTCGTATAATCGAAGAACGCAGGAGCAGCAAGTATCGCGGTAGCCATACCAGCTTTCACAGCGAACTTGGTATCTCGTTCGCTCAATCGTTTCCCTAACGACCACAATCTTTGTTTTATCTTTCCAATGAAGGGAAGATTTTTTCTTGAAGGTGTTTGTATCGTGTCCGGGGCATGAGGCGTGACTTTTGGGAAAACGGGGCGGAAGGAACGAGTCTGAGGTGAGATTATGCGGGCTGTGATATCAATACGCGGGTGAGTGAAGAAATGAAATGAAAATACTGTGATTGGACATACAAAGTCGTTTCCGAAGCCCGCTGTCTCTTTTGGAATTGGGTTGAACAGGCCGCTTGCTCCCAGTCCTCCATTTTGACCAACCATTCTTCAATACATCGTAGACTCGGCCCCACCAACGACTCCAGGTCAGCCGTTCAGCTTCAATAGCATAAATTCTCTCCATGGCATCCACAAGCATAGTCATCTCCCTGGCGAATTCTTGCAATGTAAAGATAAAGCTGAGATAACAAACGGAGCTGAGTGAAAGATTTAAAAAGTAAGAAGTGAAAGAGGAACTGACAAGTACACCAAAAAGACATGCTCAGTGCCATCTCCACTACTGAGAAAGACGTTTTCAGATTTCGCCATTGACGTTACAGTATTCGAACGTCCTCGCGCAGAAACGGGGGTAGTAGGCATCGATTCCCCGGATGGGTATTGAGAGTTTGAGATCCGAGCTAGATCACTCTTGCGATAGAGTCTCATCATAGCGTGATTAGAGGTGCTTTCAAAGCGAAGTAGGGCAGCCTCGATTGATTCAATCAATTCATCGAATTCTGAAAGGTGGAACTGGCTGTGGTGTGTGCGACAATGGTTTTGTTGTGAAAGGATGAAAGATTCACGAAGGCGTTTGAGACCGGTGGTACAGGTGCTCTATATGAAAATCCAATCAGAAAATGAAGCCTTGATATAAGAAGCAAGTCACACACGGAAAGAGCTTTCATGGGGGGCCCGAGATCATCCACCAGGTCACCGAACATGACAGCAGCAGCTTTCAGCATGGCCGCCTCCTCGTCATCATCCTCCACCATAGAATCTGCCAATGAGACATCGACTAAAGGGCCCGATTTACTTGACGGCACTCCGTGAGTCTTCTTATTCCTTGCTTTTCGTTCCACTGCACCTGCTTGCGTTAGCTCGAATTGCAGCCTTGTACCACTTCTGAGTCCATTGAGATGTTGTGCCAGTCGGTTCAAACTATCCACCGCGTCCTGGTAAGCCTTTCTTCTCCCGCCATCATTGTCGGGGTCACGTATAGGTGCGTTTCCCCGTGCAAGTTTCGTGAAAGCGCCGCTGGTAGGCGTGCGATAACGTCCCCAGAAAATCCATTCGCTACTCGCTTCTTTGAGATTCTTTTTCAAGCTGGTGAAACTGCTTTGATGAGCCTCTACAGCACGTTGGATACGGCCTTGACTACGCGGATGTAGTGGTTCTTCGAGCAAAAATGTGTCAGTGAGCATTCCGAGGAGCGTAGAGAATGAGTCAAGAGTTTTGGTCATGTTGGATCGGAGAGTATCGGTAGCTGATTGAGGCCAAATCAGGTAGCAAATGAGGTTTGAAACGACCGCACCGCATAAAACGATGAAGACGACTTGTAGTAGTGTGAAAAGTCCTCCTTCCTTGACGAGCCTATTGCGAATACATCAGTGTATGCTGCCCGGGGGACAAATAATTGTACTCACACCACGAAGATGATAATGGCCATCATGCTGCCAGCTACGAGTGGATGAGTAAGACGACATGTTGCAAGATCAATCGCAGATAATCACCTGTGTTGAATTGTGGATTCGCCTAAAGTACAAACGTTCAGTGAAAGCTGGTCAGAAATTGGAAAACAGCTTTTGCACCATATAAACTTTCATCCAAGCAAGGAAACTCATTCCAGCCCCGACCCATACGATGGCCAGTGAATCAGCCAGCCATTCCCATCCAGGTTGCACGTCTAACCACCAAAACATTGACATTGAGGAAAGACAAATGAAAGCCGAGTAGAGAATACCGAAGAGGCAGAAGAAATCCGCTTCAATCATGCCGCCCATCGTCTTGGCAGGATTGAAGTATACAGCACTGACAAAGTATATTATGTACAGCCAAGGCAAAGAAGTTGGGATAACGCACACTGTGGCTACCATATGCCCACTAGGTAGAGGTCTACGCTCGCCTGAGCCGTAGGACACCAAATCGCTCATGAATCCCGAAAGGTATGGATTAAAAGTGAACAAGGACGCAATAAAATATGCAACGGCACATTTGAAGATGTTACGATAGAGTACAGGAACAGTCGGTATTCTTTCGCGTAAAGAATACCATTTAGGCTGGGTTTCGTCTTGAACCGTAGAGGCATATGAAGAGGACTCTTCTGAGTCCAGGCTATGGACTGATTCAGAGTCCGAGTCTGAATCTGTAGGACTTTGTCCACCAAAGAACTCTTCTTCAGCAACGGGCGACTGGATGTCGATGGAAGGATGTGATTCAATCATACTGCTTCTGGGTGTGATATTTCCGCTGGGTATCCTGGTACTGTGGGCCCTGCTTGTTCTCCTGAACGAAGCCGATTGTGGGGTAATCTGACCTTCATTTTCCATCAATTGTCCGAACACTGACCACTCGCGAGGTGTATGATTTCCTGTATTAAGCCGCAGGAGAGCGCTGTTTCGTTTGCGAACCTGAGGAAGATGAGGCGTGGTAGCGCTGCGGCCAAGTGAAGGTCTACTGAAAGGTTCCCCGGAGCTAGGCGCCACCATAAATGAAGTCGACAGTTTAGGTGTCGTTGGTCGTGTGCTTGATGATCCGGTGAGGACTGAAGCAGCTTCTGGTTGAAGACTACTGTCATCAACACTACGTCCAGCCTCTATATCGTGAACAGGGCCATTAGAAGGAGAAGACGATGGAACATAGGGTATCCAGGACGAGCTAGAGCTTATATTTTGGTGGTTCATTCCTATAGCAGGCAGGCAAGACCTGCCGGAGGCATCAAATTAAAGATGGGCAGAGAGAGAGAGATCTATGACCACTAGTTCACGCCTTGAACACGGAGCAGCCTGATTTTGGTAAATGGATGTTGTTAAGCCCTAATATCCGAATAAGCGCCCGATGACGTAGAAAATATTTCACAGAGCAGAGCATCCCTCCAATAATGGTTTGTCAAAAGGTAATAGACTGTGATTCAAGGTCCCTACAGCGCTACAGTGTAATATTGGTACGAAGTCCAAGAGAAGGTAGGTAAGTAAAGGTCACGTATGTGAGTACTCTTAAATACAGTAACAAAGTCCAAATTAGAATACAAACAAGTCCCACTCATGCAAATCACTATTCGATAACGAGCAATTAACTCTAGTGTTACTTAGTTGGGGAACAAGGCCTCAATCTGCGGATCCGTTGCGTTGAAAGGGAACATCAGCGGGGTAGGTCCCGCAACTGTTGTCGCATCCGTGACAGCCTCCGTGGTGCTGTTCACAATGAGCACAAAGACCGTACCCAAAAGACCCTCCTCCTGTGTGGGGAACGTCACATTGTATGAATCCGAGGAAGAGAATTGTTCGAAGATGGTGCCATTGGAAGTAAGGAACGCAACGAATAGTTCGGACAAATCGGAGGCGCTGGTCTCGTTCAAGTCGAACGAGAGCTGGACAGAAGCACCAGGTGCAGCGGTAGTGGGGATACCAATTGGCGGGAAAGCATGAGTAGCCGCGATAGGTGGGTTAGAAGAAGGGCATGTGACGATGAAGTTTGATGCGATGGTGAAAATTTGGTTGGGGGTCAAAGGAACCTCAAAGGCACCACTCCAGGGATTTAAATGCTGGACGGTAGATTGGATCCAGGTTGACTGGCGAGCCTCAGTTGAGAGGATGGAGGAAGCAGCGGGTAGAAGTTCCTGTAGTTCAAGAAATAAATTTAAAAAATTACTCTGCTGTCAAGAAAAAAGTGGAGCAAAGAACAAACCCTGTCTGAGAGAAGCTCAGAAGCTCCGGAATAAGCAGACGCGCCAACCGTTTCGAAGGCTGCACTCATCGCGATGAACGACGCAACATCAACTGAGCCGCTGCTATAGATGCGAAGAGAAATAGCGTTAACAAGCGCACAGAGAAGCGAAGGGATAATCTATACTTACAAATCGTAGGTACATTCTTGGACAATATCCGCACCCATCTCCTCCAAAACACTTTGCAACAAAGTGATGTGAGTCTCTTCATGGGACAAAATCTCGTCGTAGTTCGCCCTGACAGCTGCGGCAAACCCAGCCGCTGCAAAAGCATCGGCGGAGAAGTTGGCTAAGCCTTGAGTGTAGAAGGCGACCTCGAGGTGTTCGAGGGTAAGAGCGTAGTTCAAAACCTCCGCATCGGTGATCGAAGAATAGTCAGAGGAATACGATGAAGACGACGAAGAGGAAGAAGAAGAGTAGTGCGACGCTGAACCGCGCGATTTCCCAACAATATCGATTGTCCGCTTTGACTGTGGGATCGTATAGGCCTTCGTGGAAGAGAAAAATGCCAACGCAGAAAGAAATAGAGCGGATTTCATCATCGTCGTGTCAAAGTGAGAAGTTGAAAAATAGAAAAATAGAAGAAAATGGAAGAAAGATGAGGATAGCTTGGAAGTTTCACGACGGCTTTTATACTTAGATTTCAAACCTAGGACGCCTCAAATGCGTTAAGTAACCAGCTCCTCTTGTTTTTTCCCGAGCCAATGGAACACTTTGACCTGAGCTGGCCTAGCTTGGTCTATACTTAGAATTCAAGGGGGTCTCGCGAAGAAGGCTGTGTTGCGACGAGGCTGCCGACGGTGGTAAAATCATTATTGGCTAAAGACAATAGACATAGAAGACACTGGGGCCGCCGCAAAATTTCCCGCCCGTGAAAAAGAGCGGGAAATTTTTCGCAAAAAAATCCATTTCACAATAAAATATTTTTCCCTTTTTAAGACCTGAAAAGTTCAATCTTTCCCTAGTTAGAAATATTGTCTTTCGCGCTTAGTACAATTTGGCATTTTCCATGTAACATTTCTCATTAATTCCGACCAAAAAAGTCATAATATTTCCAACTGTATCGTTTATCTTTCCCACCCGATATAGATAATCTTTCGCGCTCGGTAATGATAACCTTTCCCCCTTTGGTACGGATAATCTTTCTTGACCCTGTATAGAGGTCCTTTCACGATCGAAATGAGATAACTTTGTCGTTTGTGTAAGTACACATTTCCCTTATGCTCAAAATGATCTTTCACGCAATGAATTTCTCATTTTTTTACGGTCGCGAAAGTCAATGCCCGCTTTTCACAAGCGCCAAGCAGGCGCCCTCACTAAGTGATGTTAGTATCTACTCAAATAATGTAGAACTATGTAGAAGGCGATATTTAAGGATTCTCACTGAACAAATTTGTGGGACAAAATGTTTGGAATTATGTTTACTGTGAGGAAGAGAGAGGAAGACATATCTCTACACAAACATAGTGAACAATCAGTTAACGAGATGTGATATGCGGAATCCCCCTGTCCGACGGATCCATACAGTTTTGATTTTCTTTGGTGCTGGGATACCTTCCATCTGAGCCAGTGATTCAATCAAATCTCGTAGACCATCGCAAGGTACTGGCTCGGACACAAGCTTCACCCTACAATCTCCACAAACTGTATCTTCTTTATTCACGATCGAAGCGTGCCTTTGCTTTCTCATGCAACCAGCACAAAATAAATGCCCACAATGAGTTCTATGTGGAATCAGCATATCGATTACAGAGGGGTGGAGCCACTCACAACCAAGGCTGAAATGCAAGATTAAGACACATGCCACAGGATGTTTCTCCCCTTATCCTCTCTTTGAGGAACCGTAACTGTTCTTGATTATGCTAAGATTAGACAATGAGACAGTATCATTGGGATTCAGGGGATGCAAGTTTACCTGGATTCACCTTCGTGAATCTCCATCCACAATATCTTCAAAAGCAGGAACGGAAGGAGTGGCACCGCACGGGGAAGCGCGCTCCATGGTCACGGGTGAGGATATATCTTCTATGGATAATGGAACATCGTCCAGAGCTGAAGGACCAGTCGTAACCCCAGCAAGGCGACGAGCACGGCGGCCATACTTCCGTGTACATAAGATCTGTGATAGTGTTACGCAGCTGCAATATCATGATTGTAGAGGGGAAGTACTACTCACTGGACGGGTAGTATTCGAATCAAACGGACTCCTCCCTTCAGTTTGAGCTATACTGATATGATCGTCTTGATGAGTTCTCGTAGAGGGCATCTATGATCTGTGGTGAAAGAAGCACTTGGCGATTAGATTGATCAAGCACGTGGTCGCGTAGCCTTTTGTTCTTGAACATTGTGCGTGGCGAGAGTCATGCCTCATGTTCATGTCTTTCGACCTTCATTACTAGCGCTTTGGCGAGGTACTACAGAGGACTTTACAGCGCCGTTATGGAAAAGGTGAGTCCATATCTCTGATTGTTAACCGTGAAGGGGTCAATTCGCTCAAATTTTGTTTAGGATAACTCTGTACCGGATGAACCTGTACCGGATGAACAGTCAGCGTTGCATGAATCACGAACACCTACGCATGCGCAAGGCGACCAACCCATGGTAACTCTATCATGAGACCAGTGACCCTTCCTGCTCATTTCTCATCTAGGACGAATCTCCCCCCGGTGCTCTCCCCGGACTTGTGCCACAGCAAGCTGGTCGACCTCTGGTGAATCACTCAATATCCTGAGTGATGACTACTGTTCTCATTGAATTTAGGTTTCGCTTCCCCGCTCAAAGAGGCCACATGAACAAAGCGAGCGAAGTCCTGAAAGAACTACACATCCAATTGATTCCACAACCTCTCCACCTGAACAAGCTCTTGCCTCGTCTGAGAAGCCCCCTGCTGCCGATGTGAGCTACTTTTCTACCCATATCTTCGTCTCACAGCCTGATTCCAAAACAAGAAAGTCCGAGTGATTGAAATTCCGGGTCCTCTCATGAAAGAGATGCTTGAGGAGAAGGATAGAATCATACAGCGTCTTCAGGAACAAGTTGCGGTCGAGGTATGCTCTCTGCTGCCACTCATCTCAGAGCTCCGTTCTAAAGATCTTGTTTTCAATCAGGCTATATCCCCTGACCGAAGATTGAAATCGCTTGAGACAGAAAAGGCAAAACTCAGGGTATTGTAGCCGTCTTTCATAATTCATCTGCGTTCAATCTGTGTCGTAAGAGGATCTCTTTGCAAAATCTGAAGCTGTCAATAGCTTGTCAAGTTTGAACATGGCCCTACAGCGGAAACATGCTGATCTGACGGTTGTACCCCATATTCATCAATTCTTGCCCAAGCTCATACATTTCTTCGTTTCGACAGAAAGATCTCAAAACGCAAGAGGATGATTTCAAAAGGCTGAAAGTATGTTTGCTTTTAGATGCTCCATATTCGATCACAAGACCGCAATGATACTCGCAGGACTCCATCACCGTCAACCAGAACAAGTTAAATCAAACCATCTCTGAACTTCAGATTCAGAAACAAGATGCTACTGTACGTGTTTTCCTCATCATCCTGAGAACGAGAGTTTGAACTGTCTTCGAACTGTTGTCTTTGTAGACCGATGCCACAAATGAGGCACGTAAACGACAGACCGCCGAAAATAACGCTACGAAATTGCAGAACCAGCTTGCAAGTAGGGATATGAAGATTAGTACTCTGCACAAAACCATTATCCAGCTAAAGGTCGTTGATCATTCTGCACACCCTCCCTTGTTCCAGCTAACACTCAGCCATTGCCAGGATTTAGCCAAAACAGAAACCACACGGGCGAATGCACCTGTCTGTTCCACGTTATGAATTTTCCGGGTGTCACTGTATTGACATTCGGACATAGACATCGAGTAACTCTGATCGTGAGGAGCTAAAGAGAATGCGGGAAGAGGAAACGGTATGTGTTGATCATGTAACAGACCCTTACTGTCTGCTCACCTTCACTATTAGCGGCTGAAACAACAGGCAACATCCAATCTCTCTCAAATTCAAGCCCTCCGGCAGTCTATCAAAGCGCTTCAGGACGAAAACTAAAAATGTCATTTTTTCCCTCCTCCTATCCGTGCTGGACTCATATCTTCTACTAGGAATGCACTCAGTTAACAGACTTCCAGAATCAAATTAGAGTGCGTTCCGAGTATACGTGTAATGTTCCAACTCAATTTTTTCAGGATTCTGCATCGAAGATTACTGATCTAGAGAGTTGTGTCGAGCAACTCAATCGAAACATTGATGCTCTAGAGCGAGAGAAGCAAGATTCCGAAGCCCACATTGAATCTGACCGTAATGAGCTGAAGAAATTACGAGAAGAACAAACCGTGAGTATTTTGATATCTTCATGATGCTTATATTATGTTCATCGGTTTCATAAGACCTTGAGGCAAGAGGCTACATCGCGTACTTCCGAAATTCAACGCCTTCAAGATGAGGCAGAGATTTACAGGGTATGTTTCGTAGAATATTCCGACCATGTTATCCAGTGATATATTCTTCCAGATTGATATCACAACAATGCGCTCTGAGTCAACAAAGTTACGAGATAAGTTGAAAGTGAGCATCTGCAATAAACTGATCGTTTCCTTCTTATCGTTTCTAGGATTCCGTGCTTGAAGCTTCCCGGACCACCGACCTGGAGAGGCAAATAGAAGAGCTCAATCGGAACATCCATGATCTAGAGCAAGAAAGACGAGAATCTGAGATGAAAGCATTGCTTGAGCAGGTATGTGCATCAGTTTCTGCATGCCAAATGCTAATATTCTTTCTTGCAGCCCGTGATCGCTTCCAATAATGACAAACTCATGAAATTACAAGAAGAACAAACTGTAGGTGGTTTGATATCTCATTTTCTCTGTCTCATTCATCCCGTGCATCAGACTGACCGTAATGAGCTGAAGAAATTACGAGAAGAACAAACCGTGAGTATTTTGATATCTTCATGATGCTTATATTATGTTCATCGGTTTCATAAGACCTTGAGGCAAGAGGCTACATCGCGTACTTCCGAAATTCAACGCCTTCAAGATGAGGCAGAGATTTACAGGGTATGTTTCGTAGAATATTCCGACCATGTTATCCAGTGATATATTCTTCCAGATTGATATCACAACAATGCGCTCTGAGTCAACAAAGTTACGAGATAAGTTGAAAGTGAGCATCTGCAATAAACTGATCGTTTCCTTCTTATCGTTTCTAGGATTCCGTGCTTGAAGCTTCTCGAACCACCGACCTGGAGAAGCAAATAGAAGAGCTCAATCGGAACATCCATGATCTAGAGCAAGAAAGGCGTGAATTTGAGATGAAAGCATTGCTTGAGCAGGTACGTGCATCAGTTTCTGCATGCCAAATGCTCATATTCTTCCCTGCAGCCCGTGATTGCTTCCAATAACGACAAACTCATGAAGTTACAAGAAGAACAAACTGTAGGTGGTTTGATATTTCATTTTCACTGTCTCGTTCATCCTGTGCATCAGACTTTGAGGCAAGATGCTGCCTCTCGTGTTTCCGAAATCAAAT